AACCATACATTAAGTTACTTTTAATTGATCTTATTTCTTTGTTATCTGAACCCGTTTTATCCAGTGTAACTTCTAGGAACGTGTACTCTTCACGGACTTCTATTTCTTCTGAGTTTTTTCAACATTCATAGTCCGTCCCTAATCTTCATAGTTTTCGTACCATATATTCTAGATCTTCTGTATCCTCTGCTATTACTGCCTGATCGTCTTCAAACTTTAAGCTAAATACCGTTCTATTTGTTAGGTTCTATTAGTAAGGCTTCTTTAACATGTTATGCAGAAATCTAGGGAGAGTTTGTCTCCTGTTTTTATTTTTGAAGCTGAGTTATTATAAAGGTTTTTGATAGCATTTATTATACTTCTCAAAACCTGCTAGGGGGTATCTAATCATAAGCTTTCGAGAGATCAATGAATAAGATATGTGTTTCTAAACTAACCGCGTCACTTTTCTATATTATCTGCTTCATACCGAATATGTTATCTGTGGATGATCTTCCGCCTCTAAATCCACCTTACTCTTCACCTTCTATGAACTCTGCCTCTATTAGTGAACTTGTAACCGATATCCCCCTCTACTTTCGACACTCCGCTTTGTGGACTTTGTTGTCATTGCTTTTTTTTTAATAATTCTGAGTACATTCCCTCTGATCCACATGACTTTCCATTTTTCAATTTGGTAACCGCTTTTCTTACTGTTTCTTCTTCTAAATATACTGTCTTCTTGTTTCTATCAATAGTTCTTGGTTTTGATATATTCTGAAAGGATACATTTTTAGTGACTCTATTAATGAATCGCCATGCTTCTGTGCATCTTCTTCTGCCAAAATATCTGTCTATTTCGTGACATTATCTATCCCACATCTCATTTTCTTTGTGATTTATTTTATTTCGTGTTTCTCGCCTAGCTCTGTTATATGCTTCTGTGTATGTAGTATTTAACCAGCATGGTTAACTGCTTTTTGGCTGTTATTATTTCATGTGCTATGGTTCTTGCGCTGCTTTGTGTATGCTTTCTATTATGTTGTTGTACGTTTCTTCGAAAGACATATTCTCGGACAAGTTTAAGTCTTCATCTTCGCAATGATTATTTTGATTAGTTGTGTTGTCGAAACAATAGTCATGTCAAAATATAAAATTTCGTGAAAATCTGAACTTTTAGTTCGTATTTATTTTAACATCTTCACTTTAGGGACCGACAACACTATGATTGAGTTTCTTACCTGTCCAACTAACTTGTGTTGCTAACTCAAATTTCCCTTTTGGCGCATCAAAAAGGAAGTTTCTATGCACCTTTGAGTGTTTCAAAGGAATCCACGGGAACGAGTAACATAATATATTTCGTTTACAATTTGGGAATAAAGAAAAGCGTTTTTTGCAATATTTTGTTTTCTTGTTTTTTCTGCTGAATTGATCTGTTGAAAATAGTTTGGGCATGGTTTAAATAAAGCGAACGCTTTTGACCCGAAACCCATCACTACCGAACTTTTTGGTTTGCTCCCATATGTACGCGAGAAATTGAGACAAATATTTGATTATTGTCTGAGCTACATAACCGCAGCATATACAGATTAGGCCTGTATAGAGCTTAATCAATGGAAACCCAATCATTATTGTCCGGCTGTTTCGCAAAGTTCAATTAACAATACTGCTCCTCGACAATACTGATTCTAAATGTGTACCAAGTGTCCAAGTAATAGAAGTTGAAATATTCGCATAAATAAGTTTCTGATAAAATAGTATGGTGAGTTAGTTATTGGCTCAATTAACGATTAGGTTAGTCTGTACATAAAATCACCCATGGTGGATATTTGGAAGGTTCCAAACTTCAGGGGGTTATTTTTTTCCGTTATTTTATGGCAAAATATAAAAGCGTCCCGCTCACCTTAATTATTTTATTTTTTCAATTAAGTGGCCAAAAATCGGAAAACGATTTCTAAAAGCACAAAAAAATACATCACAAAAATTGTTTAGTTTAACACCGTGTAAAGCGTCACCTGGTATATAAGTCATAAATAATGGGAACTTAGACAATATTAATAACATCCCTTTGAAAAAATGCAACCATATCTACGATTCCTTTACCTGCTTTAGAAAATAATTAAAATACTAAAAATTACTTACATTTTTTAGTTTAAACATTCCGTATTGCTTCACTCACTCCCTGGTCAATAAATCTTTATATCAAACTAATAAAAATGGACCAATAATAAATCTATAATAATAATAATAATAATAAGGTTTCCTTCCAAAGGAAGTTGCTGTTGAAGGAAACCAAGCTATATATATATATATATATATATATATATATATAGATCACAATGTGGATCATTATCAAAAATCTAAAATGCATACAGATATTATATACATTATATACATATACATTAAATATTTAATACAAAATTATTTACATGTTTACAATATTTCTAATATATAAATAATTGAAATATTAATTAATTGACATATTTTGACTTTAATGCTTATATTTATTGTATGTATGCTTAGAATGTATTTGATTGTTGTTCCATTTTCAACACTAAATTATTATTACAAGATAGTGGATTTCATTTTTAATTTAGATTATGTTACTAAAATTTGATTAACTTTGGTTCCTGTATTAACATTTTAGTTTCTTCAAAATTAAATTCGCGGTTTGCGCAAAGCAGCTAGGCTACTTTTGTAGAGAGCAAAGTAGACACAGGAATAAGAATTAAGGAAAAATAAAGAAAGGATAGATGCTAAGAAAGAGCAGGAAAGAAGATGTTTTAGTTTTGGTTAGTTTTGTATCTGAAAGGATATATGCACGAAATAATATGAATTTTTATTGTCCTTAATACAGAGCAACTCCATGGTAGGTATTTCATTTTAAAAAATGAACTTTTTAGTTGACAACATAGTATTCGGTATGATCGAAAATTTTACATTCTGTGTTTACAAGTTGGAATTACCACCCAAACGGGTAACTCAAGTTTTTAACCAACTTACATAGCTCCTTAAAAAATGCTGTGATTTTTCACATAGCATCAAATCTCTTAAAAATTAAATAAATGTTAGGTTAAATTTTCACAAAGAATTGAAAAAAAATCCGAAAATATAGGGTGTCTCATATAAAAAATCTAAAGCTACGGCAAATTCGGGACACCCTTATGAAACTAATATATTTTTAAACAAACTATACAATTTTTGTATTAACATTTTTCCTCTCTTCTGGATTTCCAGATAGAAAGCGTACATCCCTAATTCGCATTGTTTCTGGGGCGATATTTATACGTATGAGTAAATTGCCGAAGCGACTATAAACGAGGCTTAATTTACCGGAATTATATTGAGTTATTATTAAATTCTCTTCGACGGATAAACGGAAAACTCGTTAAATATAAAAAAACAAGGCGGAATTCTGTCAGTCGCTTAGTTCTCGTCGATAATAAAATTAAATTTTATTGTTTTAGTTGATCGGAAATAAATTCGCGTTAATCCGTGGGACGCGTCAATTAAAAACGGAAAAGCGTCGGGAGTTATGCGTTCGACAGACGTTCAACTGGTTGCGAATAAATACATCCTTCATATACGGGGCATATACGTTAATATTTTTTACCTGGTAACGTGACGACTACGACGAGAAGGGCAGCGACGAGAAGCTTAAGCAGTGCGGACGCGCGATTTTTTCGTAACATCTTCTTCGCCTCTTCTAGAACGATCCCCCAGACTTGGCCGTCATACCCCGAGAGAACTACCCGTCGTCGAAACCGAACCGAAGAAGTGAAAAAAAAAAAAACTACTAGCCCATTGCGGCCACCACGGAGCGCGATACCAAAACTGCCATATAATTTCGGAGCGGGAGGCGAGAACGGACAGCGGTAGCAGCGGCGAGGCAGCCAGCAGGAAACGGGTAGCAGGAGCGGTGAGGCGCACGCTGCGATCTCCTGCACTGGCTTCCGTTTTGCCTCACACGCGTGCTTCTCTGCCGATGACCGTATTGCTTCTGATTCGTTCCCGACTAACGGATGCTGGACGTAGATGCGGGAGAGCGGGTTTGGGAGATCAATAGGGGGTAGGATTGTGCGCGCGTTGCGCCTCTCGCGTGCCCGGATTGTTTCTTGTTCACTCCGGACTCCGGAGGAACTTTCGACTTTGCATCGGCGGAAGTGAATGGTTTTCGGCTTCTCTCTGACGTGCGTCTGTGTGTGTGTGTGCGTGTATCGCGTAGTTTATTTAGTCGCGGTGCATATAACGGTTTTCGGCGCGGGGGGGGGGGGGGGTGACGACAAGTTAACGGTTCCAATCGGTTGCCGTTGGAAACTATAGTCGAAATCAAAACAAACGCGGCGCCGTTTGGGCGCAGACGGGAGAAGAAATTAACGGTACCCCCACCCCCACACCGTAACTATGGTACCGAAATACACGGGGAACCGTGCCAACCCCCACGCTCGGATGTATTCCGGGTCGTTAGAAGTGGGCAAATATAATAACAAACTAGTCAAAACTATTATAATAACCTTTCGCAAATTTATAGTTTCCTGATAAAATTGTCAGCTATTTTGTCAATGTATTACAAATACAATGCTCGGCATGGACTTATCGTAGTAAAGTACGTTATTGCCCAATTAACAATAATTATAAATTCATTGTTTTCCTCTTCGTTTGTTGTGTTATTAAAGTAGGTTAGGGTTTAGCTTAAGTTTCTTTATGCAATTATTGATTATTATTATTAATAAATAAACAATAAAAAAAACAAAATAATAACAACGCATGTATGATTATGATTAGCCTCAAGAAATCAAGATTGTACGCCCTGTATAACGCGTCTGTCACATCTCGTCGAACTTCAAAGTAACGACAAACTTTGATAAATATAAAAAATTGTACAAGTAACAACGATTTGAAATGGTAATTTTATAAGTATCTCGCGCACCCTGTATGACAAAACCTGAAACTCTCTCGCTACAGTTTACGATACTGTTTAAATCAAATTATCCATTTATGACTAATAACTTATCCACAAAAACGGCAATTTTTGAAACTATGCAGTACACCGTAATAGCCAATGGCGTCATCGCGTCTAGACTGATTTTCGTATGGATTTTTTCAAATATCTCGAGCAGCCTGTGCGATAGACGAAAACGGTAAATACAAAAATTGTAGCTCTTCATGTTGTTTGAACCGATTAGAAACATTAACGTTTAGTAATTTAGAAAAGAACAATTTTCATTATATACAATTTGTACAATGTATACAATGGAAAAAATTCATAAAACAAGGATTATAACACTGCATCTCCCGTTTTCTGCGATTCCAAAATTTTACCGATCGGGTGAATGGTTATGAAGGAAAACACATTTTTCTGGAAACCTAAATTACCAAAAAACAAATTTCAATTTTTAAAAAAATATATTTGGTGAAATTTTATTGCACCCAATTTCTACTGTTCAAATTTGGATTACAACTCATTTTATTGTCGATAACGGTTGTTACTTTGGCACATTCTACCATTTACAACCCCCAATTTTCAATATACTGAGAATACTAATCATTTTTATTTTCGAAACGACACAGACGAAAGCGCCATGTTATTTAAAAAAAATGTTTATCATTATCAACACAAAGAACCTAATATATGGAACAGCCAGAAAAATTAATCAGCAAGACCAACAAAAATGTCCGCCTATTGAATTGTCGACAACTAGAATAACGAAATGGGGAACAAAATAAATCGACTACGCCGGTAAAATGGAAATTAAAACAAAGTAATAATGAACCTAAAAAGCCAAAAATACGAATTAACAAAGTAAAAAAAAATGCTTTTCCGGCAAGAGAAGCGAAATTGCCGAACTTTTATTTTCCTGATGTCTAAACGAAATGAAAATGAACACCGACGGTTGTTCATTTTATGTAGCTCTAGTTTTCAAAGCCCACCGTTACCTCGGTAAATATTTGACGCGAAAAAAAAGGGCCCTTCTGCATAATTTTATAACGCTGTGGAAATGTTTACCCGAGACCGACTTTTTTAGCGTACGTGTGACTCTATTACACGAGTTCCTCTGTCGAAAAATGCTAATGTATAAATTAAATCCGCGTACAGCCAAAATGGCAGTTTTAAAATAGCCCGACTAAATGAATTGATAATTAAGCTCAGTAATTAATTATAGACTTAGGCGTAGTTTCTAAAATTAAGAATAATAGCGGCCTAGGCTAGATAACAATTAAACTAAGGTTAATTTTAACTAAGTTTTGCAAAAAAGTGAGTGGCCTGCACCCCTTTGGCAATCGCACTGGTCTTCGCAATTTTTGTCTAGTTACAACAAAATGAGTCCTGCCAAATTTCAACAAAAATTGTTCTTTTCCTTGAATGACAAATCTTCAGTAAAAGGTTGAAGCGTGTTCTTGAAACACCTAGTTGTATAAATTAAAATTTTGTCGCTTATACAAAACAAGCCGAAAATGACGAAATTACGATGCGTCTCCATGCCAACGCCAGTAAAGGGTCATCGCTCTCGCTGTACACATTTCTACGGTACCTAAATATTTTGAGTTAATTATCTAGTTAGTTGAGCAAAATAATGAGCTTAAATATTCCGGCGATGCTTTGGCATTACGGCGAAACAAAGAATACTCCCCGCAGCCGCTTCCAAGTATTTGACGTACCTTGGAATTTTATTATATTTAGATCTCTCCGTTACTTGTACAAACGGCAACATACCACATAAAACTTATATTAAACAAATATTTTTGAGCACTACTTGAAGGCGATTTATATGGTTACCTATCCCAAAATTGTTGACTATAATCTAGCAAAATCAAATTTCAAGCTTTTATCGGCTTTGAAATTGAAGGAAAATCCATCTATATTTTTTCTAGAATACAGCAAAATAAAGTTTCCCAAAGGTGTTGTTTCGGTCGGTTGTTTACCTGACACTTTGTATAAGCAAAGAGACAGAAGGGGGCAAAAATTTGGTTTTACCAGGTACCGAAAATTTATGTTGATTGCCTTACATTTTACCTGTCATTGTGGTGCCGTAACCAAACAGTTTAACCCGAATATTTTTGACCGTTATGGATTATTTCAGGTACGATTTCTATTGATTTGCCGGTCGAGCCAACAACTTGGTGTAATGGCATTTTATTATCAGATACTTTTCCAAGAAGATCGCTCCTAGAACGTTATGAAGCGGTATAACTTTATTGCTCAAATATTTATGCAGGACACGCTGACGACGAATAAAGCAAATGACATTTCAGTATTTCCCAAATAACAGGTTTTGAAGTAATTCTTAAATTCAAGTTTCCACTTGTTAAATATCACCTTACACATCACATTTCCAGCAAAAAAAAATGCAGTTGACATAAAATTTTACATACATTTTATTTCCATATTCAGCGAGAACACCCTATATAGTGACTAATTAAATTCAATGCAATGTATAACAGAAGCCATCTGCTCTCGAAATGTAGAACTCTAAACTTTCCATGCGAACAGTTAACTTTAACTGGAAATGTAGCCTAGTTCGCTTTCCCGAGTTCCCTTTACCAGCGGAAATCGAATTCGTTTTCTGGAAAACCGCCATAGATGGAGCAGGCAGCGTTATTTTCCGAATTACTTGCGCAACTTGGCACGATCGATATCTGGAGAACGCGTTCGCAGAATTACAGACGGACCTTTCTTTATTCCTTCGTATAAAACGGCATCTTTACAGTTACTATGATCTAGAAATTTCACAGTTAATATTTCACTCGACAAAAAGTGAGAGGTATATTAAAGATTAATTTCAATTAGTCTTTCTAAAATGGTGGATAACATTAATTAAACATTTAACTTTTATAAAATTCATTTAATAATAATAAATATTAATAAAAATCAAAAATTATTCAAAGAAAAGGGGAAAGTTTTATCTATGTTAGCAGTTGAACAAAATTTTTGAAATTTTACATAATAATTTTTTTGGTTAACTTGACACAGATAAATTTAAAAAAAAAACTAAGCTCAGATTCCATTCTACAATTTTAAAAATTAAAAAAAGACAATGCTAATTTTATAACTGTGAATGAAAACAAATCGAACAAAATTCTCACTCTTGGTTATTATCTGGAGTTTTGGAAAAAATGAAAGTTTTAACATAAGGATAGTCTTAGGCTACGAATTTTCTAAACAACAACAAAAAATGCACCTAATCAAATTTTGATTTCGGTGATGTTCTGAGACTTTTGGAAAAATATTGAAATAAAGAAAAGCGTTAAACATGGTTGCGTGGAAGGAAAAAAAACAAATCGATGTAAAATCATGAGATACATAATAATATGTTCACTTTAGACAAATTTCGTCAACAAAAAAAATTGCACCTAACCAAGTTTTCGTGTTGGTGATTTTGTGAAATTTTGCAAAATAATCGGCAAAAAAAACTATAAACATAGTCGTGCGACGAAAGAAAAATCAAATAACCAAAACTAAACCGATAAAAATCACGTGCACCATATTTTCTAGAAAAATTTCCTTTCCAATGAAAATTGCGCCTAACCAAAATTATTGAAAAAAAGGAAAGTGTTAGTTTAAAGATGGAAACGGTGAAACAACATATTTTCCAAGATTTTCAAGAGTTTAGAAAATTTCAACAACAAAAATTGCGCTCAACCAAGTGTGCGCCTCGACGTTTTTCTGGAAATTTTCAAAATTCTCGAAAGAAAAAAAATTACCAAAATTAAATGGATAAAAATGACATGGACTATATTTCCTAAAATATTCGGGCTTCTGAAAAATTTCCCTTAAAAAAAAAGTGTACCAGGCATAAGGGCGTTAGTTCAAGGAGTGCCGCGGTTAAAGAAGCAAAAAATAATAATTACAAAAAAAATAACCAAAACCTTTCCAACTTTTGAAAGAAATAACAAATCAAAATTTGTTCTACGATTTTCCAAAAACTGCATACAATAGAAACGAAAGTTTTATAGCATTTATAAATTTTCGTTGTATACTCTCCAGCCGTTCGATATATTTAAAATACATTGGAATAGTAGAATATTCCAACACGGGTATGACAAGACTCTTTAGAGCCCTTTGAACAATGTTTTCTACGTGCATCTCCAAAAAAAGCCCCGAATCCAATATGACATCCAGGTCCTTTACCGAAAAGTTCAGCTTGTAGTAGAATTCGAAGAAAACCCCCGGCTCTCCGAAAAATTATGAAAATAATTGGAGATATCCGAAAAAAAGGACAATAATTACCAGGCGTACATTGAACAAAGTACGAGAAACAGGCCATCCCCCGGGCCCCCCGCCACGCCCCGCGTAATATCCGGCGAAGCGTATACGGCGGAGGGTTGGGGCTCGGTGCGACAACGACGGACGGCAGAGCCGAGCAGGCACACGGGCAGTACGCGAAACGGGGTGAAATAAAGGACACGAAGATATAATAAAGGGAAGGGAAGGCAAACGGAGAGCGTATAGAGTAGCGCAGAGGTTCTCGGGCGCAGCACGAGGGTATATACGGGAGGGACGCGCGCATAAAACCACCTGGCGTCGCCCGCTCCCCCATTCAATCCAGTATCGACCGGCTGCGAAGTTACAATTTCGCTCACGGTTTAACCATCGAACCTAAAATCGAAAGTCCGGAATCCGATAATCCGAAGTCTCGCGGTTTGTGCGTACGGGTCGGGGGGGGGCGAATGCGGAAGCGAATGCGAATGCGACCAAATCGAAGTGACGTCGCGACGGCCACCATCCGAGACGGAATGCGTCGTTCGTTTCACGTCCGTCGCCGTCACCGTTACGATAACGAGGCAACCACCGCCACCCCCAGGTCGTCGTCGTCGTCTTCGTCGTCTTCGTCGTCGTCGTCGTAAAAGTAACACCGGTGCCGGATGCGAGCGTCGAACGGGAACGCGCGTCTTTCGAGAAGACCAAACGGCGACCTATCGAATATGACATGATGGACAATATCGGGAAGATGATCGAACAACAGACGCAGCACACTCTGGCCGAGCAGGCGGTCGATTCCGGCGACGGTAATGCGCACTCGCGCGCTGTCATTACGGGTGGCATGGAGACGCGAGTCGTGACGACGATGAGGGTGCTGTCACGCGCGGTGCTAGAGCGTCGTGTTGTTAAACAGGAAGAAGCCGATGGCCCCCTCTCCGTTATCGTGCAGCCCCAGGAGGAGTCCAGAGACTCGGAGCTTCTTAGTCCGGGGAAACTGTCGCCGAACTCGGTGTCGGTCAGTGTGGCCAACATGATCGACACGAACGACTATCGGAATCTGAACCCGGAACCGACTTATCAGACGTTGACTTCGGTGAACGGCAGGATGTCGCCGCCCGGCTACAGCCCCAGCTCGTCGTACGCGACGCTGACGCCCTTGCAACCCTTACCGCCCATCTCGACCATGTCCGACAAGTTCGCTTACGGCCACGCGAGCAACGTTACCGGCTCGTTTACCGTCATGCAGAACAACGGGATAGGAGTAAGCGGCATCGGCATAGGGTTGAACGCGAACGCGCCCTACACGATGAGCAACATGGGGATGACCCCGCCGCATAACTACTCGTCCCCCGGCATGGGTATTCAGCAACAGTCGAGCCCGATCAGTCCCCAAAGCGCGTACAGCCAAAACGGACTGCCGTCGCCGCAGAAAAGCATGTCGCCGCCTAGTTACGACTCGCCGTACGGTACTACCGCGCAGCGCGATATCGTGACGCGAACGTTGCACAGTCCGCAGTTAAGTCCGCCAGGCTCGGGCTCTTTGAACTCCCCCGAAGGTACGCTAGTGACTAGTTTTAGTGGTACGACGTTGAACGGACTCGGTTTGCAAAATCATCCGCCGACGTTGGTACAAATCGCGCCACCGCAACGCGAATGTTCGCCGTCGCCGCCGGTAGTGACGCTACAACAGACGCCTCCCGGTAGTCAGCATCAGCAAACTCAACCGCAAAACCAGCAGACGATGCAGATTACCACCAAGAACGGGAATTCCGGTTCGTTGAGCGTGCCGGCGATCGCGGCGGACGTCGAAGAGATCAACACCAAAGAGTTGGCGCAACGGATCAGTGCCGAACTCAAACGGTACAGCATCCCTCAGGCGATATTCGCTCAGCGCGTACTGTGTCGTTCGCAAGGTACCCTGTCCGATTTGCTACGCAATCCGAAACCGTGGTCCAAGTTGAAATCGGGACGAGAGACGTTCAGGAGAATGTGGAAGTGGTTGCAGGAGCCGGAGTTTCAACGGATGTCGGCGCTACGATTAGCAGGTTTGTTGAAACGGTCGAATCGTGTGCGCCGCGTAAAATAAACTACGAATCCTTAAAACCGTTCAAATCTAATATTACGGGGGCAACTAACCGAACGACGCGTCATTTCTCCCGTTTCCCGTTTTTCAATTAACATTTTTGCGGTTTCCCGCCCGAATCGTCCTACCGCTCGCTACCGTAGCCCGAAAAGCATTTCTTGGCGGATTTTTTGCTTCTTGGCCCGCTTTAGAAACATCGCCAAATTAATGTTCCTCCCTTGCTTCCCTATATAATCTCAGAGGGTTGATTAGCTCAAAAACTTTATATAATTTTGGTTACCACTTTGTATTCAAATTTCTATTGTCTGGAAAGGGGTCTCGCTAACATTTCGTAGTACACAGTCCACCCCCACAATTTTAGCCCCACACCACCCTTACAATAAGATCGGCAAAAATTGGTACCTCAAATCGCTAAACATAATGACCCGAATATTAGTTTTGCTAACTAAAACCCTATTCGCATATTACGTTTCTTTCTTCCTTTCAAATAAATGCTTTACAATATACGTTACTGGTACTGCTACTGAAAATTCTAGATTAAGTGAGTTCTGTTGACGAATAGAACTTGCTGAAGCTTCCAGAATCATCCTGTTGGCATCTTCACAGCTTAATTGCAACTGAAACATCTTCGAAGAAGCAAACATGATGAATAGTGAAACATCAGTTCCATTCAAAAATAACCTACGTAAATTGATTAGAAGTTACGAAGTAAACCAATTCAATATGGTAAATTCAGAAGTCTGATTTTCTTCGATGACTTATAAACGATTCGGTCTATTTAATTGAAGCAATGGCTACCAAATCACCAACTTCTTGCTAATAATGCTGGACGCCATCAATTTTACCATCTTCAAACTCAAAAACCGTAAAAGTTAAGTCCATTTATTTAGTCTTTAACTTATTTTTAATTGACGTTTTAGAATATTTAAATCCCCAAACCCATTTTTCAATCTAATTCGCTTTATATTCACCATTACTGCTTCTTCTAATGAGGCCTTCCATCCAAGCCTTCGTTGCACAGAGCGTGTTAAAAAAAGTAGACTATACCTTTTAAGATAATTAGCAAGCTTTGTATATTCCTGATTCTAGTATTAATTATATTAAGTAACAAAAATAAACATATAAATAATGAGAGCATTTTTGTCAAAAAAAAAAACAAACTAGTTGCACACTCAATATTCAAATAATAAATCTATGACCGTAGCATATTCTCGAGAGAAACTAATAATAATGTGGATTGGATACTTTGCCTGTAATGACTTCTGGAACGTGTATGTATAAAAATACGAAAATTCAGATAATTTCGTCCCTATAGTTCATATCTATCCTTGAAGTTGCTCAATAGTTCAAAGATGCATCAAAAGTGAGTCAAAACTAACTACAACAGAGAAGATATTTTATCTTCTAAAATTCTCTTTTAAACACTAGACTCGATAGATATCGGCTTTAAGTCCAATGTTTAGCCGAATCAAACACCTGGTTGAAACTGCCAAGGCGGCGGAAAATAATTATCAAACTAAAAAGGTTCCAGTTTGTTAAATCCACGGCAAAAGTGTGCGGGTTCGACGCAGGTGTGTCACGCCGTTTGGTCACGGGCACGAGCCCAGGGGGGAGGATGTTAATTTAAAACACACACTCGACGATATTTTTATGATCGGCCTTATCTGATAAGCTATGGTACGTACGACTGATATTACCGTTGAATTTCAACTCGAGCTCTCATTTAATAACCTCGCCGCAATTCCTTTGTGTGACCGCTTACTTCAAGGATATGTATTTTTTTTAAGCCTCCCCCCTTAAAGTAAAAGCTCCAAAGCCTTTCCTTCCCCACGGCTTTTACGTTAAATACGAAAATTTGCTCCTTGGAGCCGAACATTGAGATCGGCGTTGCCAGACCGCGTCTATAGCGTTTATTGCGTCCTTGTTTTGTCCATTACCGAAAAGCGCACGGAAAATGGGGAAAATAAATATCGTAGCCGCGTTAACAGTCCCGGAAAAATGGCAACACTGTGTCAGTAAACTATCCGCGCGACGTGAAGGTGAATCATCAAACAGTTATCGATTTTTTTCGTACCAATACAGCTTTCAGCAGACGCGCGGATACGAGGTGAATATTGTGTACGTTGTAAAAAGAAGGACGAAAGGTGAACTCTGTAATAATTCTGCCACTTGCAACGCGGTAGGTTACATTTCAATAACCGTTTTCAATTGATACTGGCAAAATTTGCGATTATTAATCGCGACGAACGTTATTAACCAAAAATTATACGTCATATTACGTGCAAATAAGGGTTGAAGTATATACAAAAAAACCTGTTTTCCTTCTACGGCCCCCATATAAACAACACCCCTTTTGTATACCACTTCTTCGTCGAAGGAGACCTTAAATGCAAGGCTTAGCTATACAGAGTGTGTTAAAAAAGCAGGACTGTCCCTTTTAGGGTCATTAGTAAGCTTTGTACTTATATTCCAAACCAAAAGTAACCATTGAACTGAGGTGGCTTTTACTTGATGAAAATCCATTTATCAAAATAAATAAGAACTAAAAGTTCAGATTTTCACGAAATTATATATTTTGACATGACAATTGTTTCGACAACACCGTGTCTTTATCAAATGTAATACATACATTACATTTTTTTATTTTGTCAAAAGTAACCAAAACAACTGAACGAAATTTTGGTAACAAAAATAAATGTGTAAACAATTATCGCATTTTTTTCATAAAATAAGCCAATTTACCAAAATTCTTTAAACACATTTGCAGTGTAACGAACTTAATATTTAATTTCTAAATATTTGATTCATTCTGATAGCTGCTGATTTTAATTATATTTTAAAAATTCCTTACACTTCTTCCTAATAGTCCTTATTGATGTTTTGCTGCTTTTTTTGTTCAATTCTTTGTATAACTTCCATAAAAAAGCAGCATTACTACGAGCTGAACAGGTTATGTTATTTCTAGGGGGGGGTGGGTGAAAGAGTAAAAATGGGATCCCAATCTCCCAGACACCAACGACATTTAAAAAAAAATCTGAGTGAAAAGTGAAAAATTATCCAATATTCCAAGTTAAGAAACAATGCAAAATGATTGCCAAGCAAACGGAAAAGCAATAGGGCCACTTTTCATTTTGCTCGGCGACCTTCCAATTACTTGATGTTTGTACCTCTGTTAATGACAAATTCGTTTATGCTGACTACTCTCTTGTTTCATTGCAGACTGCCAGACGCGCAATGTAAACGTGAGGGCAGTCAACATCAAACGAAGAAAATCACCTCCTTCTTCATGCTTGTGAGTTCAATTCGTCTCTCACGTTCTCGATGTTTAACAAAAATGGACGAAGTCGATTATTTTGCATGATTGTTTTATGTTAACGTTGCCGCTTATGCATGACAAAAACCGATATACGACAAAATACTATTTTTTCTCATTTCCCGTTAAAATTTTCACCCCCTGATTTATCGACGTTTTATAAATAAATTATTCCTCGAAATAATGCATTCGTTGTGAATACTTTTAAGCGATTATTGCGTACGATGATATCAAACGCTTGTCGCTTATAAGAATCAATTGGGATCGCTGATACACGTCAGTTTTATCGACCTGTCCAATTCAAGGCCGCATAAAACTCCTTGCAGTAATTAAAGGGCTTTTGAATAATTTATCCGCTTTTATTCGCCCGCTCTATAATTTTGCGTTTTTCTGAGCGTTCCTTTTTTTTTCATATACTTCGAATGTGTACGTGCCGGTGCATCTAACACCTTCCCGCTGATCTTACTGAATGAATTCGATGGATTGATATCGGAGTGTCGTACAACCTAATACCACAGAATACCACATTGATTGATTATAGTAATGATTGAAAAACAGCTTTTACACGAAAAATCCTCTTTTATTTGGATTCAGTTTACAGCTCAGAAATGAGAAAAACGTTTTTGTGACAAAAATATAACATCGTCCACATTTTCTATTTCCTATATTTATTTTGAATAAAATTAAAAATAATAACACAATAACAATAATATCTTTATTATTATGTTTATTGTCAATAATTAAACTTTAAATTTTGAAATGATTCAGAATACACCCAGTTATGTCATTGCCCAGCTATATGGGAAACTATTGCAGCTTAGGTGTTACGATTCCAGAGATATAAAGAGACATATTTCTACATTTTCATTTGAATGATGCAGCTTCCTTGTTGCACTTTGTATTGCCGTTTAGGTCCTTTTAAATCGTCTAGGACTAAAGTTGTTTGCTTATATATGGAACTAATATAAACGGTATATTCGAGTTTCAAAAAATTCTAACCATCCCATTTTTCTTTCTTTTACAGCTGCGCAGATACCACAACGAGGCAGTAAGTACCGAATCTCTCCGCAAATTAACCACCAAGTCCCTGCCAATTCGAAAAAAAGATTAGTTTTGATTTAATTTACACGAATTTTCAAAAAATTGAAAAATTACTTTAAAGCCCATTTAGGAAAACCCAGTTAGCCATTAGGTAATCTAGGACATTTTAGTAAAACAGGGAATAGATTTTATGCGCATCAATATTGGTATATGCAACCCATTATACATTTACTGTTTTTACAGCGTTCAGAAACACATTTCGAATTTCTCTCAGACTTGACTTGTGCGCAAGAAAGATTTGAAAATTATATGAAACAACAAACCTCTGATTGGTTCGTTTGAAATGAAAGCCTTATTGGTTGGAAACGAGAACTGAAATGACAGCGCCTGAGTAATATTTTTTTTAAGGTGGCTTTGAAAGTTCCTGTTTTATCAGCATAGGCATCTGGTAGCTATGTGGGAAAATCTAAATTACTCTCACCTGCATGGACTTGCTTATATAAGTTAATTTAAGCATTTTCTTATAAAAGCTTATTGAAAAAGCATTACGGTATAAAGGAATATAGGCCGACTAAAAGTTCGTTATTTTATTTCTCAGGCTGCAAACGGAAAGAGGACCCTGCGAGCAATACGGACCAGTTGCCTACGCCCAAGAAGCCACGTTTGGTTTTCACCGACCTCCAGAGGCGTACTCTACAGGCTATTTTTAAGGTTAGAACAACAACCCCCAATACATTCCTACTTTTTAAAATTGACTAAACCAAAAGGAAAACCTCTTGTGCCAAAAAAAAAGTTGTTTCCCCCTACATTTTAATCAAAACCACGTAAAAATATATAACAGTATGTGTGTGTGGGTGTTTGCAGGAAACTAAAAGGCCTTCGAAAGAGATGCAAGTGACTATAGCTCGGCAACTGGGGCTAGAACCAACCACGGTCGGGAATTTCTTCATGAACGCGAGAAGGCGATCAATGGACAAATGGAAAGACGAAGATCCAAAATCGACACAATCGTTGATGCATCAGCAAATGTCGCCCGGTATGGACCAGGACGATTTAGATCACGACGGCGACATGGACAATGACGTAGACGAGCACGACGACGTCTTGTGACATGCGTTCCGCGATCGTCATCTGTTATTGCTGTGACACTGAGCCTGGTGACGTGTAATTTTTTTATAGCTTTGGACATATTTTAAATATATATAAAGAGAAGTGTAGATCCCGCGACAAAGATCATTGTATATTTGACCTAGAATTTGAATCCGATGTTTTCTTATTTGTTTTATAGTATCAAAAAATGTTGACAATCTTTCATTGCGCTTGGTTTATAATCAAATGTGATCCCGAGAATAGATTGTTGATTTGTCTTGGCGCAAAGTAGTTTAATTATCGTCCTAGGTATAGCAGGCGTTCCAAGCGATTTTTTTTGTAAATTCCATTTTCGTTTTTTTTTTCTAATTCAAAGATCGCTCGATTGTTTTTATAAACAAATTGATGTAGCATGTTTTTCTTTTGTCAACGCAAACTAACGCGGATATATTATATTATTGTATAGGTTTCGATTACACCGGCAGTACAAAATTTATCAAGGGGGTATTAATAATTGTTTTTAATCGGCAAGGTGATATATTAATTTCTGAATGATTCCATTTTGAACAAAAACATTCCGAGTTTGCTGTCGATAGTTTTAAGGTAAATGCACATAATATACAAGCTTTGTACCTCTGGCGGTTTGAAGTATTTTGTTATCTAGTCAAAAAAGCTGAAAAAATGTAAACACAAAATCCTCTATATTGTATTTAACCTGTATATAATTATACTGTTATTTGCCATATCTTATTGTAAAAAATAATTTATTGTATTTATTACTAGATAGTAAAATGTCAGGATATTTGTTCGGATATGACGAAGACGTGGTGTCGAATGATTTCAGTTGGCGATAGTCAAAGTAAACGTTTGTTCTGAAAGTGAATTTTAGTTTTAGTCTGTGATCTGATTGTTTTCTTTAAAACGCTAGTGTCGATTTAACTACAGGTCAAATAACAACAATAACAGAGAATGTTCTTCACGAGATTGTATATTAACAATATCGCTATATTTTGGTAAAAAAAAATCTAAAAGGTATATTTTAGCACAAATAAAATGATCTGCACTGATAAGCAGATAACGTAAGATGTACAAAATAGAACTCTACTTTTTGCAGTTGTAGTTACTGAAACTACGACTACACTATCCCGTGAAATTCTTACCGTTTAAAAACGAATTAAACATGTATTTCATATGATTTTGCAGTTCTTAAGATATTACGGGAACCCGCAATCACAGTCTTCTATTATTTAAAATTAAAACAGCTTATAATTTTGTTTCATGTTAAGAGTACTTACTGTAACTGGTAATAATATTACAAAATCTATGTAAATATAATAGAACAACAAAAGTATATAAAATATATGTTGGGAACACTTTTTGCTATGAAAAATGTTGTAATTATTCTTAACTCTTAGATGCATTGTTGGCTTTATATTTAGTTTTTATAACAGATAAACATATTAGATCCCGTCGGTCCTAGACGCTATTGAGAGATCCTTTTTTGTAATACCTATTTTTAGATGAATTACCTATTATATTATATACCTACATCAGTTCGTGACGAATAGATCTACGTTTACGAAAAATGCCTTAAATATGACAGACACATTACTAATTGTTGTATAAATCTAGTCAGCGTGTGAACAATGTTTCATGTTTTTTTTTCAGTCTCTGCTATAATTTTATTAATTTTCTAGTCCCGCTGTTTTTTTTTTGTAATTTAGTGAAGAACTATATATAATACTCTCGTAGCAGACTACTGATGTCAGGCAGCTGCACTGCACTAACAGCTTCTGTTTTTAATTCATGACTTGTCAATTTCTGCACTGGCACTGTTAATTTCAATTAGCGAAAAAGATCCGGTGTTAAGCATAATTATATTAGTACCATTAAATTTCGCACTACATAATATAAATTCCATTGATTCCGGGTATAATTTTTTAGTGCAATAGGAAAAAAACTCTTGTAAAAATGGCAATACCATATCCCCTTTCCGTGTAGAATGGCATCACACATCTACACACGATTCTGTAGAAATATAGATTGATTAAAAAATTGATTGAAGATCGTTGTTTTATTTCTTATCAGATTTATGCATTTTTTCCATGACAATTATATATTTCGATTGCTAAAATAGATTTCATATTTTCAAAATCACTTAAGTACCTAATTTTTATGGAATTTAAATATCGAATTGACCAAGGGACAACCTTCACATTAGTAAGATTTTTTTTTTCTTTCTTTGGGTTTCTTATTCGCTGAGTCACATAGTGCTTGGACAAACAGAGTAAAAATTGAAAAAAAGTAAGGGTAATTTTTGCTTTCACGCAGGAATTTGTTGTGAAAAAATAATAAAACCTTAAAAGAGCCGTTTGTCTGCAGCACCCACGATGGGAGTACTAACAACTTGAACAATTTTTTTTGATGAATTCGGGCATTATTAAATGCAAAAAAAGTATAGAGCAAGTTGTGCTTGAATTTGAGCCCGGTAGGCTTTTCTTTAATGTCAATAATAAATCCTTGGAGGCGAACGATACCAAACGAACTAACGACAACAACGCCGTGTTAGTTTAACAGTTCTTCCGCCAGAGGTCTCATTAAAATATGGATGAAGTTGGTTTCGGATTGGGATTCGGGTTTGCAAGTCTTAAAGTGGGCCATTTCGCTACTTTAATGGAAAAATTATATTCCTGTAGATATGGTGGACCATCAGGGAACTCCCAAAAATTATATTCACGGTTGCTGTACAGGAAATTTAGAGTTTTGAAATATATATTGTCCAACCACCTTGAGATGGTAACGGTGTCCCAAATATGGAACTAAGTTCTTAAAGAACCACTCAACAAAGCTCTAACAATGAGGTATAGCCGGAACCGGTTGGAAAGTTAAAAAACTACCCCTAAAGATGAAATACCTAAAATCTCGTTATAGTGATTCTGAAATGTCAAAAAAAGTTTTCCCACTGAGCTATTAAAGAGCCACTAAAATCTCGTTTTAATTAATTTGTAATCTCAACAAAATCTAAGCTTTGACTCTTTTTTTTATTTAAGTAAGCAATGTCAGAAGAAAAAATCCCCCAGAACAAAATTATATTTTTTATTACATAGTATAGTTAATATATTTTTTTCTTAAAATGGATGCAAGAATCAGCCCCCAAAAACAAAGTACTAATTTTAGCAATCACAATGCATAAAGCACAATTTTCACATTAAAATGGTTGTTGGGTTAATTCACGAAAACATTTTTCCTATTTTTTAAGCCTTGTTCTAGTTTTTTTTTTGCGCAGGATAGTACCTATTCTCAAGAAAGAGATCTTGCCGATGAGAGTTTAATGAGTTTTGTCTTTAATGAAATGAAATACATAAATACACTTTCATGATTTTAAATCTGTTTTTTAAACATATAAGATAACAGTCTCGTTCTTTTTATTTTTATTTTATAAAGTATATATAAAACCTGTCTTTCTCAAAACTACAATATTTTCAGATGCGGATAAGAAGGCAAACACAGCACAAACATCAAAAGAATATTAGAATTCAATAGCTGCTTGGGTGGAAAGACAGAAAATCTGTCAAATATTAGTTATTCTTTTAGAGTTTAGTTCAAGATATAGTATCTTTCTCTATGTTTAAGATACTTTAGGTTAGGTTGTTCTATATTTTCGCTATATTATATACCTGAAATTTTTTCATATCTACAATAGAAAAAAAAGATGAACATAAAATGTGATTTATTAATGGTATCAATAGACAGTCTTTCACTTTTACCACGAAAAGCAAAATTAAAGACTAAAAATTACCAAATACTCTGATAGAATTTTTGTAGTCGTACAACCAATTGGACTACTGGACATTACCTTTGCAGTATTTCTCATAGGCAGTTGGAAATAGCCCAATAAGTAAGGTCCACTGGTATATCTATATAAGATCCTATATCCTCACAGTCTGATATACTGTGGACGTTACGTTCCGTCAAATATCCCGAACCATTATATTGCCTCGATGAATATTCACAGGTGCACGTTGTCTGATTTTATTTTTTTGTAACTCATTGTTAAACTAAGAAAATTTTATGACCATAAGTGTTATCATTGAATCCAGTGCCTTACAAACATTTGCTTTCGGCGTGTCCTATGAAAATACTTATACCGGGTGACAACGAAATTACTGTCCACGGCTGTATTTCAAAATGCCCTGAGATAAAAATTTGCAATAGGGTAGAATACTGTGAACATTTGTAGCATAAAAACAATTGAATTGATTTTTCGGTTTTATCGGAAATAACCTCAACTTTGTTATTTTAAATGGAACACCCTGTATACTTCTAATTTTTTCAACGTACTTTAACAAATATTTTGCACACTATTGGTTTTGGAGATGAAATATGGTAGACAAAAGTTGTTTGGAATTGCTTAGCGAGTTAAAAAAAACTGAAAATATACTGGGTGATCCGTTTGAAAGTTGATTTTATTTCTATTGAAACCGGAAAGACATTCAATTGTTTTTAAATGTTCACAATATTCAACAGTATCTAATAATAAAATTGCATATTTTAAAATGCCGCTGTGGACAGAAGTTTCGTTGCCACCGGGTATATGTGCAGCACTAACGAAGTATCTATCTATAATACGACCAAAAATATAGTGCATCTATTCCTTTGATGCTTTAAGTATTTTACAGTACCTTAACGGCAGACCTTGGCAGGACTGTGGTAAAACCCATCCCAACAGATGTTTATTCTGCATTAAGTAGGTCTTGCCTGAGATGGACCGTAACGAATATTTTTAGAAACATGAAATTTTTATTTGAAACGTAAATGGATTGATTGATGCTGCGGGGTATTTTCGAATAAGTAGAAGCGTTTATTTTAACATCAGGTGATATGCATCGTCCTTAAGAGTTTAATCTAAATTGTTCTAGATATGTTCGTATATATTATGGAGGTATTTGACTGTGATCCATCCAGTAAGTACGTATTTATGTAGAGAGTCTCCCGTTGAAGAGGGGCCTTTACCTTATCCCGAAACCTACGGGGGTTACAATTTTTTTTTATCATTTTAATAGAAACAACTTTTGGTTTCTATTAAAATCACCTTTATTTTTTTTTAGTTTCCCTAATCGTCACTTTTTTATATACAGGGTGGTAAAACAAATCTACATTTTATTTAAATAGAGCACCTTACATTTTATTGTATTTTTGAATAGTCCTTTCTAAGACTAATTCAACGATACATATTATATGAGTATAGGTCTATGATCATCTTCAGAATTTGGGTTGTGTTTAAACCATCATTGTTGGGTTGCTTATTAACTTTTTCAACTTTCTTCCATCTACTATTTTTACCAAAAAGCAAAAAGCTTTTTTTTAGGCAGTGATCAAATTTAAAATATTTTCTTAAAATACGAGGTATTCACAGAATATATTATTGGGATTAACTTTAATAGCAATTTCAATTATATAACATAGTAAGGGTCTCTGACTTACCGTTTTGGCTCAATTTGCAGATAAAATTAAAAACTGTTGTTCACAAGCGTTTTGGAGCATTGTTAAGAAGTCGTATTAAAAACAGAATATTAAGCTTTGCAAAATGTTGCTCAATTTCGCAAATTATTTAAGTTTAAATGTCTACGTGAAATGATTACTAACGTATATTACTTGCAAGTAAAATTAATTAAATTTGTTTTTCAATATGTCAGTTTTGAAAAGTACAAGTAGTATTTCTAAATGGTATATGGCATTTGAGACGTAATTCGTTTTATTTATTTATTATTTATTATTATTTATTATTATTTATTATTATTATTTATTATTGGCGATGTAACATTCTAATAGGTCAACTTTTTCCTCCTTCATATACATTATACAAAATATACTCAGCAAAAAGACAACTTAATAAAATAAATAGAAAATAGTGCAAGTCCGAAAAAATACGCTTAAAATATTATAACACACCGATACCTGTCAAAAAATCAGTAATATTACCACAACAGAGAACTACTATTGTTTTTAATGCTACTGTGATGATTATGTCAAAAAAGTCAAAATTAATAATATCATCAATTTTACGTTTGTGTCTTTCAACAGGCAGGTTTCCATGTATTTTTTTAAAGATGTGTTCTATTATATTAAGAATTAAAAGTCTTTTCCATCCAAGGAAAAGATTCTTAAATGAATGGAAAAGAATTTATGTATTATTGGAAAAAAATGCCGATTCAGCCAAAACGGCAAGTCAGAGACCCGTACTATGTTATATAATTAAAATTGCTATTAAAGTGGGTATTCGCAAATCCAATAATATGCAGGGTGTCCCATTTATTTGAGAAAAGTATCATTTTGAGAAACGTGGCAACACCGCGTGATTTAAGATAATATTTAAAATTTGATCATTGTCTAAAGAAAGATGCTCGCTAATAAGTTCGAAATGGTACATCACAGACCCATAGTCGTACATATCGTTGGATTTGTTTTTGAAAGGACTATTCAAACATACAATAAAATGTAGGATGATCTATTAAAAAAAGGGACTTTGTTTTACCACCCTGTATACATAAAAGTGGCGATTAGGAAAATAAAAAAAAATTAAGATCATTTAAATAAAAACAACTTTTGTATTTAAACTTTTTTGTAAGCCCCGTAGGTTTCGAGATAAGGTAGTGGAACCTCTTAAACGGACCACCCCGCACCTGATTCTCGAGATTTAACCCCCCAAAGCTATTTTTACTGGATAGTTCAAAGCGTAAGGGTACTCTATTTATCTTACAGGTAAGTTTAAAAATAATCATTTTTGTCTTGTATGCCTTGTATACAACATTCTTCTTTTTGAATTTTTGTGTCTTCTACATAGTTTTTCGATTTGTAAACAACAACATTGCACCAAATTTTAGTGATAGTACATACCATAAACGTAATTCGGCAAGAGGTAGGTAAAATATCAGTACAAAGCTGGCCTAACTGTGAAAAACGAGTAATAAATGGTTACAGGGCTGCGATTAAGCAAAATTATCTATTCGTTAATCCGTATGTAATTTCAACTGAAATCGATAATAAAATAAAAGGCGCAGAAAACTTTATGGAAAATTCGTTTAATTCCGCAACGATCACGAAGATGTCGCTCATTATAGCGACGCGGTCGACTTGAAACCGAAACTTTTAATAACGAAATCACGCCCAGTTTGAAAACAAACACACACACACACTCAAGCGCGCACATGGAGCGTTAAAAAAATGCAATTTTTGAGGGTGGGTGCGGGAGGACGAGACGTCGTTTATCCCGATCGATAGAGGGACGCGTTGCGTCGCGATCGGATCGCGAGGCGTCGGCGTCGATCGTGCGACGAGAGAGACGGAAACGCGGCCCAGACGCGGACGGGGCGAAACCTTCGCGACAGATAGACCGTAGCGGCATCGAGCGCTTGTCCCGATCCCGAATCCCCTTATTCCCAAAACGTACAACACAACATGACCGCTCGCGTTAACCGGACCGAAATAGACGACCACTCGCGTACGTATCGTCGCACGTATCTGTTTTGTTGATATGTACGAGCGCGTACGCGCTTTATTGACGCTATAACAGTGATAGTGAGCGGTTAGTGAGACCAAGTCATCGTCGACGGTCAGCTGAGGGCCGAGAGCGGTGAGCAAAGTGATGCGGGAGGATTAAAACGGCGGCCTCGACCAAGACATTCGGGACTCGACCGAAATAATAAATAAAATAAAGGCGAAGCTAACATTCCGCCGCACAGCATGGCCTCGGTCGCCGCTTGGCTGCCATTCGCGCGGGCGGCGGCCATCGGATGGGTCCCGATCGCGACGCACCCCTTACCGCCACCCCCGATACCGAAAGATCGTCGCAAAACCGACGACGAAAAACTGCTGATCAACGTCTCGGGCCGGCGATTCGAAACGTGGCGAAACACGCTCGAAAAATACCCGGACACGTTGCTCGGATCGAACGAACGGGAGTTTTTCTACGACGAAGACGTCAAGGAGTATTTCTTCGACCGCGATCCGGACATATTCCGGCACATACTCAATTATTACAGGACGGGCAAATTGCATTATCCGAAACACGAATGCCTGACGAGTTACGACGAAGAGTTGGCATTCTTCGGCATATTGCCGGACGTAATCGGCGATTGCTGCTACGAAGATTACCGCGATCGCAAACGCGAGAACGCGGAACGTCTGATGGACGACAAACTGTCGGAAAACGGCGACCAGCATCTTCAGCAATTGACGAATCTGCGGCAAAAAATGTGGCGAGCCTTCGAGAACCCGCACACGTCCACCGCGGCGTTGGTGTTTTACTACGTTACCGGGTTTTTTATCGCCGTATCCGTAATGGCCAACGTGGTTGAAACGGTACCGTGCGGAAGCAGACCGGGCGGCGCGGGTTCGCTGCCGTGCGGCGAACGATACAAAATCGTATTTTTCTGCTTGGACACCGCGTGCGTGATGATATTCACCGCCGAATATTTGCTACGAATGTTCGCCGCACCGAATCGCTACAAATTCGTTCGTTCTGTGATGAGCATTATAGACGTCGTCGCTATACTGCCGTATTATATCGGTCTGGGTATCACCGATAACGACGACGTATCGGGCGCGTTCGTAACCCTCAGGGTGTTCCGCGTATTTCGAATATTCAAATTTTCGCGCCACTCGCAAGGTCTACGCATCTTGGGTTATACGCTCAAATCGTGCGCTTCCGAACTCGGCTTCCTGGTATTCTCGCTGGCGATGGCCATCATCATTTTCGCCACCGTCATGTTTTACGCCGAGAAAAACGAAGGCAAGACGTTCACCTCCATTCCGGCGGCGTTTTGGTATACCATCGTTACCATGACGACTCTCGGGTAAGTAAGACGACGAGGTGCTTCGCCCTCATTCGAAGCCCAAAACGAATATCTTTGCGGGTATCGGTTACAAACGTAAAAATTTTAGTATCACGTGGGAAGAGACCCGATTATATTTCCCGTAATCGTAATTATTTCAAATATAGTGCGAAATGGAAAAACTAACTCAGGTAGGTATGCCTACAATCTTTGGAATCTCTTAGTGTTTGGATTTGTCTTTTAAACTCCGGTGTGGTGCAGATGTGATGTGATGTGAATATAAAGTACAATTTTACCATGTTACATTTCTAATTTTTTATTTTGTTTTTAGACGTGCCACGCCGCAGAAAATGAGAAACAAATAGAGGCCCGCCAGACGAACAAATGAGGAGAACTGCCAACGTTGTTCTAGAACAAAATCTTGTCGAACGCCAAGGTGCAAGAGAAATAGATTACAATATCCTAAGATCCTCTTGCCAGACTAAATAGAAGTTTTTCTAAAATATGGGATATCTCTTTTCGGCTTACACCCAAAGAAAAAATTTAAAAAATTCAACAAAACTCAAACTAATTTTGAACCGGATTGAGAATATGGAGGGTGATTGAGAAAAGAAGTAAACTGGTGACATAAAAAACATGAAAAGGAGCAAAAGACAAACAAAGTCAAAAATTTCTCAGTAAAACCAAAAAGATAACCGAAACGATGCACAAATGAAGATTGGGCTGATACATTTTTTAAGCTTAGCTCAAATATAACTTCAATCCGGCGCAGCTCATCTGGCTCATCAGACTTTGTGGCGATGTTCGATACTTCGATTAGTTTTACTTTTTGTTTTTTAACCGTTTCAACTAGTTGTTTTCCTGTTCTCATTTTTCACTTTTTCTTGTCATCATTTTTTTGTTAATTAAGTAAGTACGTACTAGATATTTCGAATTACCATTTGTTACTTAGAGAAAAATTAAAACGTTATTAGTTGTTCTAAGGGGTTTGTTTATCTATTACAATAAAAATACGTTTAACAATGAAGCATACAACTTCTGCTACCCGATCCCACCTACAACCTACAAATATAAACCAGAACTCAAACAATCGAAAAATATCAAGTAATTGCTATAGCAAACCAATTGAAGTATGAATTGAACTCTTCTACATTTTTATACGACCTTAGTAAAAGACTCGGAATGATGCGCATCAATACTTGGACACGAAATCTATTAAATTCTTATATTTCAATTTTATGAGGAGATGGAAACCCCTCTAAATGGACAATAAAAACATGAACATAAAGTACGCAACAAATTTGGGTTAAAACAAAAAAGAATAGTATATTTGCGAACATAAAATACATTAAATTATTTTATTTCAATTTTACGATGAGACTGAAACCCATTTAAATGTATAATAAAAGCATGAGACTATAAAATACGCTACAAATTTTGGTTATAATAAAAAGAATATTCTATATTGCAATATTTTTTACAAGAAACCCTATTCCAAAATGTCAGGAATATTTGTAAATAAAGTAATTTTAATGTAGTCTTTTAGATACAAACGAAATTATCGATTCACAATAAATACGGCCCAAGACAGTTTATTTTAACCGAAAAATTAATAAAAATATATTTTTTTATACGTCCAATAATTAGATACTCCATAAAAAATATTTTAAACGTTTGCGGGATAACTTTAGACAACCTACAGGCGATCACAATATATCGTTTACGCCAAAGTATTTTGTGCTCAAAAGAGAAATTCAAACGGGATTTAAATTCGCAATTTTGACGGCGTTTTTACGTCGAAGATGATTTCGTTTTATTGCCAACGCGATAGTAAAACGACTTTGAAACGCAGATTGTGTTTCAAAACAATTCTTTGAACGGTTTCGCCGTATTTTCAATAACACGCTTTGCTTATTTTTACGTACACCCTCTATACATAAAACAACCGACGTGAAAATACAATCTCGATGCATTTTCCGTCTTTTGACGCTAAACATCTTCACGCGTTTTATTTTATTTCGATCGAAAATAAATCGCGACCGCGAAAAATTAATTGCAAAATTTACATACTTATTTTTAGTTCAAACATTCAAACGAATTGCGCGAAAATTCTTACAATTTTCGTATCGGTTGTACGTGCGGGGGGGGAACTCGAGAATTACTTATTTATTTGTTTATTTACTACAATACTTTACCGGCAATGCCAAAGTTCTGATTAGTTTTTAATGGTTCGCAAAATTAATTGGCAATTACCGAAGAAACAGATCAATATCAATTTGTGCCAGCGACAAATCATGTCTAATTACTCTTTACGTCGGCCAGAGTTTGTGTTTATTTTGGTGATTTACTGGAGCTATTTCCACGCTTATAATCATGGAAAATAAACGGGCCGTGAAATATAATACCCAATCGCGAATATAACGCGTTTAACGCACGTATTTGATTAAGCACGAACTGGACCGGAGATATCATTAAACAATTTACGAAAAAATATTTTAATGAACGAGATTTGGGTAAGTATTTTTGCAAAAATATTTTCTAAATATTTATTTGAACAACGATCGAGTTTTCGAACTAGACCTGACAGACGCAAACGTAACGAGGATTACAGTGCCTTCACAGTTTACGTATAATTATTATAATATTTTTTTGCATCACGCGATGACTTGGTTTAAAAAAATATATATTCTGGAAACAATCTAACGAAAGTTCGAAAAATTAATGATGGCTTTACCAATAATCACAAAACTGGTGGGATTGGAATTCATTTTATTTGTTTCTTCAGAAAAAGAAAATAATAGGCTAGGACATTTTTCCTCTCCAGCACATTTATTTCCAATATTACAATATTACAATTAGGGTTCTAAAAAAATGTTGGTAATTTTTGAATTTTTTTGGATTTTTCATAATAAATTAAAGTTATTTGTGATCACTATTTTCGTGTTTATTGAATTGGAATTTGCTCCATTCAAACTTGAGATTCTCTGTATACAAAAAAAAATTCCTGGAAACCTATTCTGAAACCTATTACTTTCGTATTGTTTGTATTGTTAGCTGACAATTTAAAATTGGAAGCTCGAACATAAATTTTATCCCGCTTAACATAGCCACCACGAGGAACGGTCTAATCTTATTATATTACATATATATATTATATTAAATATATATATCATATTACATATAATCGATGTAATTTTATTGCGCATACACCCTGTATGAAGTGTCTTTCACATCTCGTCGAACTTCAAAGTTAAGGCAAACTTTGGTAAATTCAAAAATTTTTGCAAAGAATAGCGCTTCCCAATTATAATTTTTCAAGTATCTGGCGCACCCTGTAAGATACGAAACTTGAAACTCTCGATACTGTTTAAACTAAATTATATTTTATTTTATTTTATACTTTTTCATTTACGTCTAATAATTTACCCACGAAAACGGCAATTTTCAGGATATCTTTATTTTTTTTTTTTAACAAATAATCCCACGTTCCCGGTATATGAATTTTTTCAAGAAGATAAATAGTAGCCGAGAAAATACCTCTTTTCTGAAACCAAACCATACACACAAATAACCACAAAAAAAATCAAAAATTTAAAGAGTATAAATGTGGGTCCTGACTAAAAAGTCGGTAGCTGCAAATTTGGTGCACTAATTACTTTTTTTAAAGTTGCACGGAATATCGCAGACACCCTGTACAATAGTTAAAACCTTAAATACAAAAGTTTTAACTGCCTATACGGGCTATATCGTCATGTAAAAGAGAAACTGGTATCTAAAACATAGATTTAGTTTTTTCGAATTTGCGGAGCACCCTGTATATTTCTGAAAAATTGTCAAGAATAAAAGTTTATGGACCCGTTTCTTCTGCGTTTTCTGGTTCAAAAATTTTTTCGTTTTTATACACGGTTTTTGAAGAATGGTCTTTTTTGTAGACCCATACAAACGCGATTTTTAGTTTTTTTTTAAATACTTCCCGACCCCCCAGCCCCCCTCATTTTCAATAAGTGTCGTCACGTGGCGAGGTTGCATATATGCGTCAAATATGTATTCGATTGCTTCAAACTTCGGACACTTATCGTGTTTCATAGCAATGTCCAAACAGTCGCGAAAAAAAGATGGATGCCGGCCTCAAATCGGGGCCATTTCCTATAAGCTTATGTATCTCATGGACGGTTAAAAAGGATGCAAATTTCAATTTTCTAGCTCCAAGGGTTCGAAAGTTATTCAGGAAAAGCCAAAGACGAGAACGGAGAACAGAGAACGGACAAAATTTTTTTTTCGACGCTGATGCTATGCTATGGGCCGGTCTAAAATCATTATTTGAAAAGATAATAAGTAGTTAAAAATACGTTCTTATATTGAGCTTTTTTATTTTCAAAAAATTACGGAAAGTGATCAGTACTAGTGAGTGGTTGCTCTGTCAAGTATTGAGTTTAGAAACGTCGATGTGTTTACACTAGCTATTTATACCAGACTATTTGTCCTAGGCACAGTATTTCATTTAAAAAAAGCATTTATCTATAGCTGTAAAAACATTAAGGACTCATGCCTCGACTACCATGAAGATAAAACGGCCAAACTTTTTGCAGTCGTCAACTACGTAAGATTTCAGCGTCGAATAAATCAAATTGGAAATTTAATAAAAAAATATATTAACGATATTATGGAACAATCCGGTTAAAAAAATTCTTATAATACTCTCTATTATAATACTCTCTATCATATTGTTACACCCATTATAGTAACACAGCGACAGCGACGCAGAACAATATAAACGGGCACATTACAATATAAGTGTAGATAAATACGAAGTAAACACAATGAAATGTAAACCTCTTAGTTCAGTATTATTCCTTTCTTTCCGCAGTCCTGTACTACATATATCATCTATAAGGTTGTTCGGAAAGTCATTTCGTTTTTTCCCGTCAGAGGACTTAATTACGTTTTTTCGAAACCAACTTCACACTTAAGCCACATAACCATTATATGTCTTGAGAGCTGATATTGCAAGGCTTGTGTGTGAAAAAGTTCTATTAATTTTACGCAGTAGTTTTTGGTTGTGCCCTTTTAAATATGGAGAGCAATAAGCAGCATTTTCGTCATATTTTACTTTTTTACTTCAGAAAAGGTAAAAATGCTGTCCAAGCGAGAAAAAAATTGACGGATGTGTATGGAGAAGGCGCGTTAAAAGTACGCCAGTGCCAGAACTGGTTTGCAAAATTTCGATCCGGCAATTTTGATGTCGAAGATGCACCACGGTCTGGAAGGCCGGTCGAAGCTGACAAAGATGCGATAAAGGCATTAGTTGATGCAAATCGGCGAATAACCACACGAGAGATCGGTGAGAGATTAAATTTGTCGAATTCGACTGTTTATGTCCATTTGAAACGCATGGGCTTAACCTCGAAGCTCGATGTGTGGGTGCCCCATGTCCTTACGGAGCGAAATTTGTGTCGTCGCGTTGACGTGTGTGATTCGCTCCTCAAACGTCAAGAAAATGATCCATTTTTGAAGCGGATTATTACTGGGGACGAAAAATGGCTTGTATACAACAATGTTAAACGCAAGAGGTCACGGAGCAGAAAAGATGAACCGGCTCAAAGCGTGTCAAAAGCCAACATTCACCAAAAAAAGGTGATGCTCTCCGTTTGGTGGGATGTCAAAGGAATCGTTTTTTTTGAGCTTTTGCCGGACAATACAACGATTAATTCAGAAGTTTATTGTCATCAACTGGACAAATTGAATGATTCACTTAAAGAGAAGAGGCCCGAATTAATCAACAGGAAGGGTGTAGTGTTCCACCAGGATAATGCGAGACCTCACACAAGTTTGGTCACTCGCCAAAAACTTTTACAGCTTGAATGGGACGTACTGCAGCATCCACCATATTCTCCAGATCTGGCGCCTTCCGACTACTATTTGTTCCGGTCCCTGCAAAATTTTTTGGATGGCAAAACCTTTACCTCAAACGAAGATGTCAAAAACCACCTGAACCAGTTTTTTGCCAGCAAGGACCAAAACTTTTATGAGAGGGGAATTATGTTACTGCCAGAAAGATGGCAAAAGGTGTTGGACCAGAATGGCCAATATATAATTTAATAAAATATTTATTCATTATACGAAAACTGTCTTTCATGTTCCCCAAAAAAAACGAAATGACTTTCCGAACAACCCAATACATTGTTCTTTTACAGCATATTTATATTGCCAATCTTTTGGCCGCACAATGGGAACGGCATAGGTAGTTTTATAGCATCCAATAAGCCAAAGCCATTTATCCTGAAAGCGTTACAATGGCTTCAGGCGATACTCGGAAATTGGATTCTTATACATTGTACACATTTATGTTGTGTGTACGATTAAGTAAGAACTTTCGTTATGTTCGACGTATAATAAGTTTGAAAGATGATGATGAATCTCCGAGAAGCAGAAAGCTTTTAAAAACTTAATTATTTTTACTAGACGGGTTCGTTTTTCGTATTGTCACTGTTTTCGACGCGTTGTTTTCCCCGGAACGATTTCATGATTGATATTTTCGTTTGATTTAAAAAGCCGGAGGAGAACGCCACAAACTATGAGACACACCGCTCGGCAATAAACGCCGCGTGTTTAGTCTGTGATTCACGAAATTTTAATGCCAATAACACACCTCAATCGGATTTACAAGTTTATTTTCGCCGATTGCCGTAAAATTGCAGAGCAGATGGTATATGGGTATTTTTAGTAATCGACGGAGTTTGTTACGAAAAACGTATTCCGAAAGATATCAAGCGTTAGGCACGCGAAGCTACCGGCGATATACGAAAATCAACAGTTTAATAAAAAAAAAACCGTTTCGGATAGATCAAACAAAAATCCCAACTTAATGCAATTCGAACATAAATTACGGATGTTTAGATAGGCGAAGTATTCAATAAATAGCAGCGCGTCAAGTGAGAACTACCTTTTGTCAAAACAGGGGGATATTTTGGCTTAAAAGAGACAATATTTATCCAAAGTACGAATTTAAAGTTGACCGCATACCCGCATTATAAATAAATCCAATTTAGAATTTACAGTAAACGCTAGTAGTGATTGATTTACGCAAGACAGGTGCATTTTTCACGAGCAAATCAATATAAATTGTCCAGCGGGAGAGGCGATGAAAATAAATTAACAGCCGGCAAAGTAAACCGCGTCAGATTTTCACGCTATTCCCATGGATCTGAACGCCAAACATCGATCATGTTCTGTTTCGAATACAACGGAACCGGATAACTTCGGACAAATGCGAGCGACAAACAAAATATTGAAATATTAAAAAACTTACCATTAATCCGTTTGACTATTATTCAATATCAATTTGTTAATTTCTGCATAATGTTTCATTTGCTCAACCGTTGTCTTGGTTGCAATGCTAAGTTGCTCAGACGATGCTGCAGAAAGGGTAGAAACTGCATCATCCGCGAAAAAGTTAAAGTAAGTATGGGGGAAAGATGAAAATACATCATTTATAAACACTATAAACAATAAAGGACCGAGTAAACTTCCCTGAGGTACACCACAATTCACTGACCTGGAATCAGAGACGTATTCAAATCCTAAGGTATCTCTCAATTGACCAACTGCGTTCGACCCCCAAGAAAAGACCTTAACCAATTTAAGGCGTTACCTCAAATACCATATGAACAAAGCTTGTCCACTAAAATATCAACATCGACCAAGTCAAATGCTCTGGGTAAGAATATGCTTATATAAAGAGAGAATGGCATCCTGCGTAGATCGGTTTTTTCGAAAACCAAATTGCATGCCGGAAAAAACGTCTCGACTTTCCAAAAAATTAGAAAGATTTTTGAAAAAACGGATAGGAGTGCTATAGCTCTATAATTTGAAATAATTGTTGCACCGTTTTTTTTAGAGTGGTGTGATTACCGCATTTTTTAGAATGCTGGGAAAGGATCCATGCAAAAAGGAATAAGTAATGAGATATGTCATCGGTTCTGCAATAGTGTCGGCCACATGCTTTAACACAGCACAGGGAAAATCTTCCGAGACGATCAATCATCGTAATTACACTCTTCAACAACAAGAAAAAAATATATAAAATAAATAAAATAAAATAAAAACTTACAAACTAACGATCCCTTTACATCGCCTACCCATTAGGTTAAGATCTGTTCAGACGAAATCACCGTAATGGAACTCAGCAACAAAAATATCTTTTTACTATAGACAATATGGTTAATGTTATGATAATAAAATGTTACATTTCAAAAACTAACTAAAGAAAAAACTAATTGTCATTTACCATATCGTGGAAAAAATCAGCATTGGTAACGACTAATATAAGAATTTTAACCATATCCCTGAGTATTTGGTGTTGGCTGGTTAGACGACCTATTTACAGGGTCGAAGGGAAATACGACCCCACGTGATTGTCAATGATAGCGCAAGGAGCGAAATAATGAAATCCCAATCGCCGCCACTGCATTAGTTGAAACGTACAACTACTACTGCATATTTTTAGAAAGTTATTTACACATGTCTCTAAAATAGCCACAATAATGTCTATAAAAAGAACATTTATTTCCATGGATAATTAGCCACTTGATAAGATCGCAAAAGTAAATGTAAAAATAACTATTCGAAACGAGTGATGACGAATATTGATGCAGATCAGGAAAATAAGTATCGCCAGTCTTGACAAACGCTATCAAATATAAAGCCCCAAAGAAAAATACGGATAATAAAATGATCAATTTACGTAATGATTGCAATTTGTAAGTTACATTTAAAAAAAATGATAAGAAGTTTCGAATTGCCAACCTACTACCCAGTTGTACAATCGTAACTAAAAATACCAAGTAAATTTCAACTAGACCGGAATAATCTTCAGACCGCCAGGCAAAAGCCAGAACTACGAAGACGGATGAAACTGGCAAAAGCAAACAGAAACGAGATATAGAAAAGTCGCGAGTTCCATATAATGGAAACTTCTGTTTACTTGGAATCTTATATTGATGTGTTTTTCTTGTATTGGAACGCTCCAAAACAAACGATGAATTTAAAGGAGATCGTTATGGCTTTGTTGGCTGATTAGATCAGCCTTCGGGAAACCAAGGGCAAGAAATATGAGTATTTACAGAAGCAAGTTAGTTAGTGTATCGGAAAATTAAATTGGAACGAAATTATGATTATTATTACAAAAAATAAATTCAAATTTCAGATATGGCGACATGGTACCAGCAACAATAGCGGGTAAAATAGTTGGTGGCGTGTGCTCCCTGAGTGGCGTGCTGGTCATAGCCCTCCCGGTTCCAGTGATTGTGTCAAATTTCAGTAGAATATACCACCAAAACCAACGAGCGGACAAGAGAAAAGCGCAAAGGGTAAGTTAATCTCATTTTAAACGCTAAACCGATGTCCCAAGGGAAACCAAGAAAATTGCTTCGGCGGTTAAATCGATTAGACGTAATTTAATTGCATTGCTTTTTCCGCAATTTCAATTTGTCGCCTCGACGAAATCAAATTCGCGATTTTCAGCTCAAAATTTTCGTAATGAGAAAAGTAAAAATAAACTCGGAATATCACAAGAAATATCATATTTTTATTGCGCATAAAATGAATACCAAACTGTTGCCCAAAACTTTTAGTCACCAGGCATAAAATTATTCGTTAACAGTATTTTAAGATAAACGTTTTTGCCGGAACCTCTTTTCACAAATTTCACTGAAATCGAATGCATATATATATATATATATATATATATATATATATATATATATATATATATATATATATATATATATATATATATATATATATATATATATATATATATATATATATATATATATATATATATATATATATATATATATATATACAGTGTGTCCAAGATAAGGATGCACAGCATGGGGATCTCGGAAACTATAAGAGATACAGTGTCGGTTAAATTAGACAAAAGTTGCGCATTTTGATACCGAACAAGATCCCGTTTTACAAATTTGAAAATTCCAAGCCGTTCCGGAAATATCCGAGAAAAACCGAAATATTGCGATTTCGTTTTTATTATTTTTTAAAGCTATTTGAAAAGATATGAAAAAACGGAAAACACTTTTCCATTGGCACTTTTTAATCTCTCCAAATTGACGTTAACAAATTTTCATTACAGCGTTTCGATTCCATGGAACCACCATCAACTTTGATTTTTCTTATGGGACGGAAAAAAAGTACACACAGTATTAGGTTGTGCTTTTCATTGCGAATTCAACGATGTACGATACAATATGGTTACTTATGTTTTTATCCAGAAAAATGGCTTTTTAATACATTTCTAGTATTTTATTGTAGTAGGCCATGAGATCCGAACGATGAAAGGCAAAAGAAAATGATTGACAAGTTCGAGTTAATGTGTTTATTTATTTACTAACTCTAACTGTTCATAACAACTAAATCCAACAAGTTAATGAAAAACAAATTCTATAACAAATGTTCGAATAAATGACCTCCATTTTCTAGGCATAAGTACGCCCGTCTCACGGTAGACTCCAAAACACGACTTAACATTTCAGGAGTAATTTTATTAAACGCTGCTCGTACTGATTGACGTAATTGTTCCTCGTTGTCAAAACATTCTTTGAATACCTCATTTTTTATGTAGCCCCATAAGAAAAAGTCCAAGGGAGTTAAGTCCGGGGACCTTGGAGGCCAAGGTGTTTCACTGTAAGTCCCAATGTATTTTCCATCAAACCGTTCAGTTAAATATTGGCGAACTTCTCTGGAGTTATGGGCTGGGGCACCATCTTGTTGGAACCAGCAGCCTTGCACAGCGCCTAGCGGTAAATCATCTAAGGCATCTTCTAAATCGTGCCTCAAGATGTCAAGGTACCGCTCGGAAGTTAAGGAATTATTATAGAAAATAGGGCCTATAATCTTGCTACCAAAAATCCAACACCAAATATTAAACCCAAAGCGAACTTGATGTCTGGATAGTCTATTAACACGTGGATTTTGTTGCGACCAATAGTGTGTATTGCGCCTGTTATAAATACCGTTATTGGTCACCATACTTTCATCAGACCAAATCACTTTATATGGAAAATTAAAACTCTCATCACACATCCTGGTATACCACTCACAAAAATGTCTACGTCGTTCGTCGTCACCCGGTTTTAATCCTTGACATATTCTGAATTTGTAAGGCTTAAATTCATTTTTCCTTAAAATAAACTGAGCTGTAGATTTAGCTACCCCATTCTGGTCTTCAATTTCTCTGGTAGAAGTTTGTGGATTTTCGATAACAGATTGTAGAACAAGGTATTGGTTTTCTTCATTGGAAGGTTTTTGTCGGGATAATGCAGGCTTCTTAAATGATCCATATTCTTTCAGATTAAATAACAAACGCCGAAAAATACTCTTGTCAGGTTGTCTCCGCTCTGGGTATTTGTTAGAATACATACGCTCGGCTTCCACACAATTTCTTTGGCATCAGATGTAGCAAGACAGCATATCACATTTTTCTTCGTTTGTAAAATTACCTCCCTCCATTGTAGAACAAAATAAATTAGAAAAAGACAACAACAATAAAAATACAAAAACAATAACTAAAGGAATAAACTTATGATCGACTGATAACAAAGACAAATAACATTAATGTGTCATTGAAATTGACTGGATGTCATTTTGTCATGGCCTACTCCATTTAAATGCTGAAATGTATTAAAAATCCATTTTTCTGGATAAAAACATAAGTAACCATATTGTATCGTACATCGTTGAATTCGCAATGAAAAGCACAACCTAATACTGTGTGTACTTTTTTTCCGTCCCATAAGAAAAATCAAAGTTGATGGTGGTTCCATGGAATCGAAACGCTGTAATGAAAATTTGTTAACGTCAATTTGGAGAGATTAAAAAGTGCCAATGGAAAAGTGTTTTCCGTTTTTTCATATCTTTTCAAATAGCTTTAAAAAATAATAAAAACGAAATCGCAATATTTCGGTTTTTCTCGGATATTTCCGGAACGGCTTGGAATTTTCAAATTTGTAAAACCGGATCTTGTTCGGTATCAAAATGCGCAACTTTTGTCTAATTTAACCGACACTGTATCTCTTATAGTTTCCGAGATCCCCATGCTGTGCATCCTTATCTTGGACACACTGTATATATATATATATATATATATATATATATATATATATATATATATATATATATATATATATATATATATATATATATATATATATATATATATATATATATATGATGACACTATATTCCGGGATATCATCCGTTCGCTCGTTGAGCTCCGACTGGAATCCTGCATCCGACTGGAATCCCGCAAATCCTGCATCCGACTGGAATCCTGCAGACGTTTCGCCAAAATCTCACTTGGCATCTTCAATGCTCGCGCTCCGAAAACACTTCGAACACTTCGAACACTTTTCAGTTAGTAGTTCCAGATAATAATAGGCTTTCCATCTAATTATTCCAAGAGGGTCTATTAGCTTTGTCTCCTTTTTGTTGGTCTTAAGAGATCTTAGAGTTTTCCAAGCCTGCCTTGATGTCGAGCTTCCTATGCTTCTGTCAATTTCATTGCATTGTCTTGGTAGTTCTCCGTAATCGAAATTTTTAAATAGGCTCGTTTCTTTTCCTCCACTAATTCTTTTAATTCTGTTGATCACCAGGAATCGTCCTTTCTTTTTTTGCAATTTCTTTGCTTCTGACCTAACGCTTCTTTCGCCGCCTCATGGATAAACTTTGTCAATTTGTTATATTTGTTTTCTATATATATTCTTCTATAGTTTTAAATTTTCCCGCCATCATCATAACTTATACAAGAACACCGTGAATTCGTCTTTTAAGTTTACATTTATTGTTGCTTCTCCGTACCTTCCAATGAAGTTGTTTGAAATTTTACTTCCTACACGAGCATTAAAGTCGCCCATAATAATTATTTCGTTATCATTTAATAAAAAAAAACCTCTTTTACTAACACGCTGGCATCATCTGTAGGTGCGTATATTCCGATGATTACTATTCTCTGAGCCGAGATCTTCAGTTCCACTTTAATCAGTCTTTCACTAACCGGTTGCCAATTTTGAATATGTTTTTGCAGTTTTTTCGTTCGTTTGTTCGTTTCTCTTTTCCTACGCCGCTATAGAAGTGAATGAAGTTATTTCTATTTTCATTTCCATTTCCTTTTTTCTTTGTCTCACTCAGGGTAACAATATCCATTTTGTAATTTTCGAACACTTTTCATTATACTTCGTACTGATTCCTTGAACATTCCAACATCCAAAACTCAATAACCTTTTCCGTTGCGTATGTCGTTCATCGTGTGTTCCATTGTGATTCCGAAGTTCTTGGTTGAGATTTGTAACAGTAAAGAGTTGTTAACCCTTTGACTAACCCTCCTCCTTTCTCCGGGCTTGGGACCGGCAACAGCATCTTCCAGCTACTTGATGCACCTTCCGATGCTGCAGGCGGAGTTAATGGTTTAATAATAATACTAATAATTAAACACGAAGATTTAAAAGAAACCTGAAAACTTACCAATAGTGAATAGTGAAGAAAATATAATAAGGAAAACATATTTCCTTCATTAAAACCGGTTGGTTCCTGGTTTAGATGAACCACCTCCCTTTATAGAGTTATTTGTATTATTTGGGGTCTAAATACAGCAAAATAATAATAATAAATAATAAATTTAGTCTTTATGTTTTTAAAACACCTTAAAAGTCTGTTCCCTGATGCTATACACTGCAATACTGTTCCCTCAAAATTTCCACCCCCACGGACTTAATACCAATAGACGCCAAAACAGAAATCTGTCCCGACGAAAGCCGCTGATACGGATGACATAACCTGCAAAAGGAAGTTAAATGTGAACAATGCAGTTGAAGTTATATTGAGAATTGATTTTAAACGCAGCGTTGATGAATCCACCTTTAAATACGATATCGGACTGTTTTGCTTGCGGGGACGTACGATTCCGGTGAAACATACACCCGGAATACTGGCAAAAGAAAAATAACGTTCCGCAGATACCGGCGTAGCTATTCTTGAAACAAACATTTACGATTTCTATTCCCTAAAATTTTTTCCCGTATTTGTGAAATCGGCAAATATAAATGAAATGAGAAGACATGAATCTGTATTTCCAAACTTCTCATTGGCATTGTCACGTAACATAATACATTATTCCATGATTTTGATGCTCAAGTGACGTCTCTGGTTTTAGCGTATCCTTTTTTTTAATTACACAGGAGAATAACGGTCCAATAATAATGATTAGGGCCGAGTAAAAATCAGGGAAAACATCCACAAATTGTCGAACAATAGGATTTACAACTGGGAAAGGATCCGTTTGACATTAATAATATCATACCACTCACTAAGCAATTCTCTACATTACTAGTGCGATTTTAAATAAGCAAAACAAACAAAATGGCTAAAATAAATTAGAATAGAATTAGAATAGAATAGAATAAAATAAAATAGAATAGCTTTCTCCCGAGTAAGTTTTTTTTAATACAAATTTTTAAATTTGTCATTTTGTCCACAAATAAATAAATTCAAGGAAAGCGACCCCGGAGGGCGAGAAAACATTTTCGACTTTGACGTAGAAATTTACGATTTCAGAAAGCTCGTCTTGCCCGCATACGCATCGCGAAAGCTTCTTCGGGGGCGGCTTTCGTCAGCAAAAAGAAAGCGGCGGAGGCGAGACTGGCCGCTCAGGAATCGGGCATCGAATTGGACGACAATTATCGGGAAGAAGACATATTCGAATTGCAGCACCACCACCTGTTGAGGTGCTTAGAGAAAACCACCGATAGGGAATTCGTCGAGCTGGAGGTACCGTATAACGGGCATCCGAAACGGCCTGGTTCGCCGTCTCCGTTGGCCAGTCCCGCCCATTCGGCGGTTTCGATTGGTCTTTTGCAGTCGTGTTGCGGCAGATGCTGCCCCCGACGGTACCAGCAAACTTGCGGCAAATATATGCCGGCAGCGTCGACCGCTCAAGCCAATCAAACCGGTAGCGGAATGGACGGTACTTATCTAGTCGAAGCGTCTTTTTAGACATATCACGACCTATTTGCCTTGTAAGTCGTTATCAAGTACCTACGGTATATAATAAGTACGCCGCCGCCGATTCGATATATGGTACGCTCAAAGATTTCCATTCCACTAAAGACTGGGTGTTTCGTAGGTGACGGTTAATATTTCAATCGGCTATTACCTACTCAGCCTTGTTTTTTTTTATTGACTTTCGATAGTGAGTAGGTGGAGGATAGACTATACTGAATGTCTCAAAAATGTGTACGAAAGTAAAAATATATCTCTTCATATTTGAATTCTATCATTAATTCCTTCCTATGGCTACACTTAATAGTTTTTTTTTAATTAATAATTCGCCATTTTGCAAAAAAATATATGAATTGCAAGGTGTTGACGATTTAACTACTTCAGTTAATACAGTTAGCCAGCGCTTTACAGGTATTAAAGAGAACTAAAAAAATCAAACCACAACAAGAAAATTTGGTTAACATGATTCGTTTAATTAAATTAATTTCTTCTGTTGAATATATCGAACTTTGATTAATCCAAGAAAAATACGTCATACTTTTATTTAAATTTTAACATACAACTTAGGCCTTTTTATTTCCATTTTTGTCATTTTAAGTTTCCATATTTACACATTTCGGAAACATGTAGGTATAAAAAAAGATATGTTTAGAATTTTCTTAATTTCTTCCCATACTTGACAAACCCTATAAGCACTTAAATTGTAGTTTCAGCGATATTTTTGTATGAAACTTTGTAATTCAATTTTTTCTATCGCCAACTGTTTCCAATAAGATATCAACCATCGACGCACTATTGGGACATCCTGTATAAGATAAACGATTAAAATAAAACACGATAGGGGCGCAAAATAATCACGCAAGGTGTCAACACACGATTTTATAGATGAATGAGTAAAATCCGGGTTTTCTATGTATTTCGTAAAAAATAATAGTCAAGTGAATTATTATTAAATCCTCACTTTATGCAAAAATATCTCATTACAATGGTCGGAAACAATTTCGTATATAAAACTAGTAGTGAATATTTCAAATCGGTATTTTGTGTAATAAATTACCCCTGCGCATTTTGGAGTCCGAAATTTCCAAGAAATGATCGGAATAATAGCTTTTTGAAATGTTTTAGACTACCTACTTAAGAGACATCCCGCGTTGGGCAGTAAACCTTTCTTTCTAGGCACTTGGGCCGTGATTAAATTTTAAAAAAAGCAATATTTAAATCCAAAACAATATTTAATCAATTACCACTTGTAAATATTAAATAGTACAAAATATAAAACGTAGATACGAATAGTACAAAATAATATTCTACCTTGATGTGTTTCGGAAGTGGAAGAAATCGGTTTAGGAGTCCGTATTTTTACACAACTTATTACCAATAAAAAAAAATGTAACTATTGCCAATAAATTCCCATCACATAGCACAAGATCGTTTTGCACAAACTACCTAATATTTTGTATAGAAAAACTAAAAATCACACAATAGTATTGTATAATATAACAACAAATGAATTGTTACTGTATAAAGAAAAGAGACGGGTCGAATAAATTACGATGAAAAGTTTACTGCCCATTACTGGCATTCAAACCATTTACTGGCATAGTTTAAATCGGAATTATATGTGTTACGCATTGTTTTTGAGGCGCATCGAATTCTGTCAAATATATTTTTCCATATAACTCCTTTAAATGTCCTTTTACATAATATTGCTAAGACTTTGTTCCTTTCGCCGTTCATTTTATCCTGTAAATTATGTAGATTACCACATTGTAATATAATTATCGCAGAGATAATAGAGTATAAACTGTAATCCAAATCTAGACTATTTTAAATATCGAGGCAAGGCATTTTTGGAATATGAAACGAAAAATGCATGTCTTTCGATAATAATTATAAGTATATTAGTGTGTGACAAATTCTAAAACTCTCGATTTATTGATTGATACGCTTGGCGCTAAACTCGCGTAAAAGGCTGGGAACAAAGTTTGTAAAATGAAAATGTTAAAAATGTTATTTCACACCTCACAGTAATACAGATGATCATCCCCACTAGCTGATGACAATAAACAACGTTAGCGTTACTAATTAAAAGTTCGAATATAAACACCCAGCAACATTTATAATGTCCGAAACAGAAAAAAACAATTGCAGGTACGACAAAAACACGATAAGTATCCCTAAAAAATAAGTGTACTTAAACGCCATTAACCAGTCTAAAAGTTCTTCGTGAGAAGAAACGGTGTACCTAATTACAAAGATTCTTAAATGAGTAAGTAAATTCTTTAAAGGCGTTGCCACTTATTTTTAGGCGAACTGTGGTTTTTCGAATGTTATGGACACTCCCAACGTTATTTTTTCCTTTTTTTTTTTCTTCATATTAGTACGACAAAAATGTATAGCATAAAATAAATAATTGCCAAAGCATAACATTTTATCGAATAGAAGAGTATGCATTAGACGCGTTTATAGTTTAATAACTGCGTGATACTATCAACCAATTTTCAAAATAAATGTTAATGTTTACTTAAATAATAATCATAAAATAGAAAACACGATTCCGATCGCTACTTATTGTCAAAAGAAAAAAAGTTCTTTAACATCCTTGCTCTATATTGTCAATAAAATTCAATTTTGTTAACTAATGTCGAACTAGTCAATTTCTTACATTTTAATTACAAAATAAAACAATCTTTTTATAAATGTTGCCTTATGAATGGATTCTGCATCGAATTATCAGTGCTTGGCGTTTACTCTCTTGCGTAATAATAATTATTGTCCGTCTTCTAAAATTTCTCGACGTTTCCAATTCTAAATGTAGCTGTGAAAAACGTCAACGTTAACAGTTTAACCAATAAGTCAATGCGGAATTTACCCTTAATCTTAGTTTAGAACATCAGACCGATTTCCAATAGAGTGTATTATTTATACATATGTGTCAGTAATTTATAAATTTTCTTTACATTCCTAAATAGAATCATAAACAATCAATTCGTATGAATCTCTTTTGTTATTTATTTACAAAAGCTTTACGCTTTACTATTACCGGATGCTTATGTAAGAATAAAGTTCTCCTTCGTACGCAAATTTTCACGAAAGCAAATTGCAAAATGATATCAGTAAGGTAGAACCTTGGTGCTTTCCGAAAAGGGAAACGTGCTGGTCCTATATAATTTTTAAAGCGAAAATGTTTTCCTTACTGGCATATTAAGAGTTTTTCTTTGCGTAATGAAGGAATCAAATGTTAAAAACTATTATATTAGAAATGAAGTTGATACCTATTACGCACATAGGTCTACTCTACGAATTGATTTAGATAAAAAAATATATAGATACTGTAAAATTTCAATTTAACAATACCAAATGATAATATAGTTAGATTGCAAAACGATTTTTTTTTGTATAGTTAGCGTTATCTCTTCATATTCTATCTTTTCGAACTTATGATAAAACAATAAATTTTCAGTAAGAATGGAGACTATTTAATTTTCCCTAATATAATGTTTCCTTTCTCCTTGCTGCACTCTAGGAGCCGATACGGAAGTAAAAAATAAATAAATACGGATATCAAAAACCAAAGATTTTGCAACTCTACTTCATTAAATATCACAAAATACACGCCAACATATTACAACATTTTCGATTTGAATCTCAGTCGACTACGATGGTCGATAATAACGTCTCGACGGACATCTGACAACCTAAGCCTAAAACTTAACCTTCGTCAAGAGGCCACCAGATGGAGGCAAAAAAAATTTATTTTCCTATAAACGAAAGCCAAATACTAAACAGACGTTTGCCCAATCCGATAAAGGTCATAGATACGTAAAAACAGAATACTAACCCAACATTTTCTTAACTCAGACTGACATTTGGAAATAAATTGCTTCGAAATTTTGTTATTTGGATGTTAACGTGGATAAGTAGCATATATTGTAAATAACAATAATGTTTTTTGAAAATTTTAAAAATGTTGGTTCTAACGGTAAAATTGGTCATTCTAAAAGAGCCATTGCTAACCAAAAAAATCACAAATTGAACGGTAAATTACTGTCCCATCACAAATCTGAACCCAAGTTGCCTGACGTTAAAGATTTTGCTAGTATTCCTATCGTTAAACAGGCCGATAATGCCAGGTTACTGCCTAAATATGCTGCAAGTGAGTAACTGCTGCGTGATTTAATATCTTTTGGATATGTTTTGTGTCTTTTAGTACTTGGAAAAACTAAAGAGGAAGCGGTTGGGATGGATGACTTAAATCAGTTGCAACACGATTTGGAGAAACTTTTGTCGACAGCTGCCGTTAGACAAAGATTCTTTTTAGGTGAAATTAAACCCTCAGAAAAGAGTGAGCATGAAAAAAGGGCCCATGATAAGGTACTTAAGTTCTTTCCTAATATAATAACCAAACCAATTGAGTAATTTCCTTAGACTTCATTTAAAAGAAAACGTCCATATAAAAAACCTTCCCTGCCAAAGAATGACAATTCAGTGAAATTTTGGACATCTACTGAACCATACTGCGCCCCTGTTAGTAAAAATGATGTCGCGGTAAGAAACTTCCAAGATATTTATTTGTGTTAAATTTCACAGAATGACATAATTTTTAGTATCTGGATACCCTTATACAAGAATTTTCAAAAGAAATTGATTATGAAATACCAGAGATGGGCGAGCATTACGCTAACACTTGGTCAGAGGAACTAATTAATGAAGAACAAAATCTTGGTAAATCTCCCAATAAAAAAGTGTGTACAGTCGATTTAAAAAAAAATCGCCTGCATAGGTAAGTGATGTGGTGTCTATATTGCATAAATGTTATTTACACCTCTTTTAGCATGGTTGCCGCATTTTGGGCCCCACAAATACAAAGCATACCATCCGCATTAATACAGGAAATTGGGGACAATGGATTAAAAGTTAACAAAACAAAATGTAAGCAAATCATGTGGAGATTTAATTATTTTATCTTGTAATTATAATTGTAGCTTTGGACTTTTCCAAATTTAAACAGAACCTAGTGATTGGGGCCTGTTTAAATAGAGCCTTAAAACTGGAAGAGGTGCCTGAGGTTAGTGGTTAAATGTGAAGCAAACATTTTTAGTGTAACTGAATATTGTTCATTCCAGTGTACACCCAAGGATGAAATATATGCAGAAATAAAAAAATGTCAGCAGGAATTATCAACAATCAACAAATACAATGTTGAGGAACTAAATAAACTAAGATCGCTGGTCTTTAACGATATTCATTGCAATGATTTAAAAGAGGAACTGGATAAAGTTGACCGTCGGGTAAATTCAAAACATTTTTAATGTTAACTGAATGTATATTAGAATTCTTTTTCTGCAGGTTTTGGATCTTTACAATAATATAATAGCAACCCGGAAAAAAGCTCTGGAAGAGGAAGGCAAAGAATTTGACGAAGATATGTTTTGCAAGCAAATATTGAATGAATTTGGGAGCAAAGCCGACGCATTGTTAAAACAACAAGTTGTACTTAACCGTGAAATTAATAGCCTGACGGACATGTCAATGCTTTATTGATGGTTAAATTCAGTATAATCACATTCTGAAGGCACTATCCCAACATATAGTTCCATCAAGAATGTGGTTATATTGAAACTATTCCTCAGCACCTTTTACAACTACAAACTATATCCATATAGGAAATGTTTACAGCTTTTGATATATCAACAAATCAGCTACACAGCTGTGTAACTAAAATATATTTTTCTTAGTTTTAATAGTTAAGTCTAAAGGTATAATCGAAAGAAAACAAAAATACTCTAGAAATAAGCCAATGAAATAATATGTAATAAAAACAGGAAGATAAAAAATGCCACCCCAACTTGAGGTGGAATAAATTATTACAAAGTAGTAGCAAAAATATAATCGCAACAAATGTGAATTACAAATGAATTAAAAAGAAATTGTTTTGTCATTTAGAATAAAAATATGTCTTATGAAAGTAATTTAGGCAAATGTAGTTTAACCGAATATTTGTCACATACAAAAGTATTTGGGAATAGAGAACATAGGGCAACTGCTTTGTTTTATTTATTTATGCAGCCTTACTTTATGGTACATGGACTAATTAACCCGCAAGTGGCTTTTAAAAATGATGAGTATAAAACAATATTTCATCCAAAAAGGTAAAAAAACAACTCACTTCAAAAAATACATTTTTATTGATCAATTTAATAAATATAAAAATTTGTTCAATGTTCAATTTTTCCTGCGGTAGAAAAACAATATTTTCAGTTACGTTGTTGTATCCTAAAAATATAAATGCTTTAACAATATTGAGTATCATTTTGTTTTCTATGAAATTTGATTTAACTAATTTCAAAGATATTTTGAAATCGGATATATTTGACGCAGGTATCATTATACATCAAAGTAGTTCAAATGTACCAAACTAGAAGAGTAAAATTTATTGCTTTCTGATCTGAAATTGCTCAAACATACCCAAAACGAGATTGATATGTTGTCATTTTATTATTTATTCTGCGTTGCTACACTTCCGGTTTCAAAAACATTAGTACATAACAAATATTTGTCTTGAAATATCTAGAAAAACATGGAAAATGGAATTAGAGGCCCGGCTCTAGTAACCCAATATCATGAAATTTCTAATATATTTTTTAGATCGTCGGGTAATGAAGCAACAATATCATCCAGTCTTTGAGATAATTGTGGTTTAACAGTGTTACCAATAGGAATCTTCGTTTCGTCACATTTTCCTATATTTGCTTTTATTTTCAACACCATATCCATAATTTCCACTTCATCACGGTCTTGTACCCAACTTTTTAAATCCTAAAATGCCAAATTTGAATACCAGTTTACCTCAAACAATTAAAAATCAACTTACTGCAGTAGCAAGTGCTTCTAACTGCAGTGCTTGCAGTTTCAGTGTTAATTCAGTATATCTAGTATGAAACCAGGCTGTGAAATTTGGCGAACGGAAGAATTTCTTGTATAATCCTATCCAGTCCCCCTTTATCCCAGTGTTGCCGAGGGTTAATTGAGGTCCAGCATTTTCTAATGTGGCAAAAAAATTTTCTGGGTTAAAGGTGTCTGGCTTAGGAGCGGCCTAAAAACAGTCAATTATGCATAACCTACTAGGCACAATTCTAAGAGCAGGGCTACCTTAAAAGGTGTGACGTCTTTCTGTAAGGGCATTAAACTGGCTAAATATCTCTCCAAAGGGATAATAAAGCTTTCTGTAAGCTCCAATAGATGTCGCTTTAGCATAGCTGACTGAACTTCGCAAGGTCTTTTTGAACTTACCCCGCTCATTAATTTTTTTATAATATTTTTGTCTTTATGTAAGAATGGTTTATATGTTGTGTAAATACCTGAATCTCCCTCTACAATTTTCGTTGACGCTGTCCTTTTTAATTTGTACTTTTGGCAATAGCCTGCAAATTAATGGTACATTAACATCTAATCTGCCTTTATAAAACTAAAATTTTTACTTAAATTTTCACTTAGTCTAATAGTATGGGGCCAGTGATGAAATGTTTTGGCAAAAAACGGATTTGTCACTCCTAAAATCACAGGCGGTGGACCTTGAATTCTGCTAGTGTATTGCTTAAAATCACTGTCATGTATTGTAAAATATGGTCTATAATCTCCACAAAACTGAAGAGGTGAAATCATCCTAAACATAAGACATTAAAAAAAATTAGTAAAATTTGGTAATCGTTATCAAATCGAGAACAAGAAAGGTCCCCCAGTTTATAGTTACCTTGTTAGGGCTAAAACCATTGACGAGCAATTGATAGGAGATGAAGCCATAACAACTATTGGTTCTGATGTTATCACCAACTCCCACAATAAGTGAATATGTGGCAACACTGGCTGTAAGATTTCAAACAAGTTTAGATCTTCTACATTCATTATGACCTGATTTCCTACAGAATCACTTTGCGACACTAAATTTGAATTTGCTGTGTAGTTTCCTGATTTGGGTATATAAGTCTAAAATTTGAAATACCCTGAATATTTATCCTTTTTGTATCAATACCTAGATATTTACTTGAAAAACTGAACCTAAAATTGGGAGCGCAAGTGTAGAACCAGGAACTGGCGATGGCCAAGCATCAATGTTACAACAAACGGCCTCTAAGCTAGCATCGCCATGTTCAAAATATTCTGGGGCTATATAGCCACATAACTTACTAAACAAATTAACAAATGGAAGATAAGATAAAAGAACCACACTCTAAAAAATATTCACATTATTATCATTATTATCAATTACATAGCATGGCTTACTTTTTGGAAGTAGCCCCTTGGCATCGTAATGTCTTTAACTTGTCTGAAGTATACATATCCCCAATAATGTGTTTCTACCACTTTTAAAGATGATAAACATTTGGCATTATATTGGACGAGTTCAGATCTGAGTTGCTTCGTACCTTGACTGGGTACTCTTATAACAAACGAAGTATCACCCATACAACCCGAATTGGAGTCAGGAAAGGCCAAGTAACATATATTGGAGATCTCTTGTTTAGTGAGCCGTATGTGTTTAGGATAAACACTCTGCAAAAAATCTATCTTTAAGTGCATATCACTTTTATAGACAAACGAAACAGATTTACCTCAAGAGCTTGCCCCAATTCCAAATCAAACGTAATTATACATATGCAGTGCAACCAGTTATTAAATCCTTCCCAAGACTTTTTATTCAAGAAATCATTGTTAATGGCAGTACCAGATCCATCTGTCATAATTGAATTATGCAAATAAAACTCAATTCAAAACAAAAATACCTCGCTTCATATTCCAAAACAAATGACCATGAATTGTCTATTGAATTGAAGCATAGAACCATTTTTCTTTATATACTAATGACATAGAGAAAAAAATATTTGGCCAAATGATTCTTACACCTTTGCCCAATAAACAAAGTAAAAGAGGAATAAAATGTTTTCAATAGATTATTGCGCGCCGTCTATCGGCAATGATATTCATTCTTCGCAATTTTTGAGGTTAGTTTGTACGTCAGTGGAAATGACCCAGCATATTACTATTTGAAGCAAGTTAAATTGTGGCGCAGCTTTTAATAAAAAATAAGAAACAACTGAGAGAAAAAGTGTGCAGAATGAGTCAAATAAAAGCTGAAGCTCCAAAAGTGGACCCCAAGAAAGAAACTGAAGATGACAAAAGTGAATTGGTAGGTTATAATTTAGCAACCTTGCCATAATAATTAACAAATATATTTTTTTTAAAGACAGTATGTCTTCATTCTATGCAATCTTATGTTTTAGTCTGAAGAAGATAAGCAACTTCAAGATGAGCTCAATCTGTGTGTTGAAAGATTACAAGTCAGTGTGTTTTGGTATATTTTACCTTTAAATTTTAATAATGTTCTTTCAAGGAAAATGATGAGAGCTTATATTTAGCGGCTTTATATGCTCTGGCCAGTCGAATCAAAGCTTCAACCACTTCAATGACTTCAGTACCCAAACCATTGAAGTTTATGAGGCCACATTATGATACAATGAAGCAAATATATGAAAAAATTAAAGATGAAAAGGTAAAAAGGGTCTGTGCTGATATTGTGTCAGTATTAACAATGACATTGGGGGAAGGACGTGAATGCCTGAAATACAGACTACTTTCAGATCTAGATAAAATTGGAGAATGGGGACATGAATATGTCAGGTAATAAATAAACTCTGTTGTAATATCCTAAAAATCATTCCAAAATTTTGGTACTTATAGACATTTATCTGGTGAAATTGCTGGTGAATGGGCTGAAAAAGATGTTGATGACAAGGAAGTTGAAGATAAGTTGATCCAGTTAGCTAAACAAATTGTACCTTACAACATGAGTCACAATGCAGAAGCAGAAGCCTGTGACCTACTGATGGAGATAGAAAGACTAGATTTACTGGAAGAAAATATTGATGAAAGTATTTATCCAAGAGTGTGTCTCTACTTGACCAGGTAACAGAACAAAAAGTGTGTTGTTCAGTTCTCTTGATATTTTTAAATTTTTAGCTGTGTCCCTTATGTAGCTGATCCTGAAAATACCACTCTGTTACAAACTGCCTTGATGTTGTTCAGGAAATACAATCAGTATCCCCAAGCTTTACGTTTAGCAATGCAACTTAATGACCACAGTCTTATTGAAGAAATATTCGTATCATGTAATGACACGTAAGTATTTTAAATCTAATTTATCCTGGATTAAAAATATATATATGTATATATATATAATGTGTGTAGGACTGTTCAAAAGCAATTAGCCTTTATGCTTGGAAGGCAGCAAATCTTTGTTGAAATTCGCGAGAGCACAAATGAATATGAGGATCTAGTGGAAATTATGGCTAATTGTCATTTAAACAATCACTTTCTCAATTTAGCACGAGAGGTAAGTAATATCAAGGCATTAAAATTTAAAACTGTAACTGTGCGCCCAGCGGGTTAACTAATTAAAAAAATAAATTGTATATATCTATAGTTAGACATAATGGAACCAAAAACTCCCGAAGATGTGTACAAATCCCACTTGGAAAATACACGGCCTCAATTTGGAGGTAGTCAAGTGGATTCAGCCAGGCAAAATCTGGCGGCCAGTTTCGTCAATGGTTTTGTTAATGCTGCTTTTGGACAAGACAAGCTTCTAATGGAAGACGGCAATAAATGGCTTTACAAAAATAAAGAACACGGAATGCTGAGTGCGACAGCATCTTTGGGGCTAGTACTACTTTGGGATGTTGATGGGGGTAAACATTTTAATAACTCACAAAAAAAATGTAGTTTCTATGGTAGGTTTTTGTAGGTTTGACCCCTATTGATAAATATTTATATTCATCAGAAGACCATATTAAATCGGGGGCTTTATTAGCCTGCGGAATTGTCAATTGCGGGGTCAGAAACGAATGCGACCCCGCATTGGCACTCCTCAGCGATTATGTACTCCATAACACGAACATTATGAGAATCGGAGCAATTGTCGGGTTAGGTCTGGCTTACGTGGGATCAAATCGTGAAGCTGTCTTAAGCTTGCTCTTCCCCGTATTTTCCGATCCAAAATCTAACATGGAGGTTATAGGAATGGCAGCCTTAGCGTGCGGTATGATTGCTGTTGGTTCCGGAAATGTGCAAGTCACGACAACGATCATGCAAACATTGATGGAAAAGTCAGAAACGGAATTGAAAGACACTCACGCACGATTTTTGCCTCTCGGCCTTGGTTTATGTCACTTGGGTAAACAGGAAAAAATCGACACCATCATTGCAGCGTTGGAAGTAATACCGGAACCGTTTAGATCAATGGCAACCACCATGGTCGACATATGCGCTTACGCGGGAACAGGGAATGTGCTCAAAGTTCAACATTTGCTTCACATTTGTTCAGAACACTACGAGGGATCTGACGCTTCCGACAAAGACAAAAAAGACAAAGAGAAAAAGGATAAATCGGATGAGAAGGAGAAAGATCTATCCGCGAGGCAAGCGATTGCGGTTATAGGAATCGCCCTTATCAGTATGGGAGAAGATATTGGAAGCGAAATGGCGTTCCGTACCTTTGGACACTTGCTACGCTATTGCGAACCAGTCATAAGGCGGGCGGTGCCTTTAGCATTGGGTTTGATATCGGTTTCGAATCCGAAATTGAGTATATTGGATACACTTAGCAAGTTTTCGCACGATAGCGATGCCGAAGTAGCCCATAACGCTATATTTGCCATGGGCTTGGTAGGTGCTGGCACCAACAATGCCAGGTTGGCGGCCATGCTAAGGCAGCTAGCCCAGTATCACGCCAAGGATCCAAATAATTTGTTTATGGTTAGGATTGCTCAAGGTTTAACTCATTTAGGAAAGGGTACCTTAACTCTTAGCCCTTACCACAGCGACCGGCAGCTTATGAGTCCCGTAGCTGTAGCCGGGTTATTAGGTACCCTTGTGGGGTTCCTCGACGTTAAAAATAGTAAGTGTATGCAATAATTAGGATTCTTTTTCTGGAAGAAATATCAAAAATGGGCCAACAAAGAAAAAAACCAATTTTGGCGTTCTTTACAAAAAAAAAAATAGAATTTTTCAAAGAAACTTCCAGAGGCTACTGTAATACTATTTACAAAACTTCTGGATATTCATGTCCCTCATTTAGCTCCGCTTCCCCTCAAACAATATATAAGTAGGTACAGAGTAAAATATGAACCTGTTTCAGTTTAGCTCTGAAGAAGCCAACAGGATGATTGGCGAAACGTCAGCAAGTTCGCAAAAACCGAGAGGAATCCAGAAGTTTTGTAAATAGTAAAATTGGATTTTTTTTACAGGTCAAAATTATCCCAATTAAAAACGGAATCTATTATTTTCACTTTCAATTAGTGTTACTTAAATATAAGGTCACCTTTCATTTCCAAAAATATTATGTTCTTAAACAATAAAAAAATAATTTACTTCGATTTTTTCCTCAAATCAGTGGCGCGGGTACAAAAATTATCGCTTTACAACTTCCGCGAATTAGCTTGCCTCCTCAAAAAGAATGATAAAAATAGGCCCGAAAATAATTATGTATAACCAAGTCTCTGCAGGCCAAATATTAATAAAAAAAAAAGGTGAGAAGAAATGTGATTCTTTTTTTAAATTCTTAATAAACAACGTAATCCTGCATCAAATTAGGTTTCAAAGAGATTTTTCGTGAAAAAAAAACAGGGAACTCGATCTGAACTGGAGCGGCAACAGCAAATTATACAATAGAAAAAGAGGGTTAGAGACGCGATTGATGTCTTCTTGCTCCTTTGTATAAATGGGTGACTGGGGGTGGATTACTTTCTTTGCCTACCGATATATATTCTTACTGATATTTACACCTATATTTATATGCAACACAAGTATTTGCGATTAAAAAAAAAACACTTATTAATTAACGCCGTCAAAATAAATCACAACCACCTAGTTCAAAGAAGATTTAAACAAAACACTTGCGCTCAAAAACCTCAAATAGGAGTTATGAGTTGTCCGTCTCACTCTAGATAAAATTTCTGGATCCATCAGATGCAAAAGATGGATTTCACCGACAAAATACGAGGGTTTTGAGGTTTTCAATTTATTTACAGTAATTTTGGCTAAATCTCATTACCTGCTATACACGCTGGCAGCCGCGATGCAACCGAGGATGTTGGTTACGTTCGACGAGCACTTGGATCCGCTACCGGTTCCGGTTAGAGTTGGTTTGGTAAGTTTCTCTATCACTAACACTATAATCAACTCCACACCAAATATAAATTAAAATATTTTACATTAAAACCTCCAAAATCAACGCCCAGTCGCTCTCGCTATCGTCCATAATGATTCATAACGTACTCTGAACATACGCGGGTATTTGATTACACAATATACTACGACTACATTTTGTCGATAGCGTCTTTGCAGGTATAAAAAGTGTTCGTAAATTTTTATGAAAGTCTATTACCGTCTGCCAAACCGTTTGAATTAACGAAATTCATGGATGATATTTGGCAATTTGTTTTAACAAAATAATTCTTCGTCTCTTTGCTTATGTTGCACTTAAAATCGATAATTTTTTTATAAAATAAAATTTTTATGTATTTATTTTTGTTTTTCACTAGGCTGTCGATGTAGTTGGCCAGGCCGGAAAACCGAAAACCATAACCGGATTCCAAACTCACACAACCCCTGTTCTGCTCGCTCACGGCGAAAGGGCTGAATTGGCCACGGAAGAATACATTTCTTTGACTCCGATTATGGAGGGATTTGTAATATTAAGAAAAAATCCAGACTTCAGTCCCTAGGTGTTACTTTATTTACTTTAATTATATATATTTTGAATATACCTAAATACTAAAACCTTTTTTTCTAAAAATTTTTCAATTTGTGTCAATAATTTTTGTGTAAACAAAATAAATGTGGTAACGACCCTAACGTTATTTTCATTAAAAAAAAAAAAAAGATGGGAAATGAATATCCAATGCACATTATAGACTGCCTTAAACATTTTTCAAAAATCTCCAATAAATAGTAATATAAAACATTCTATTTCATATTTATTCAAAAATTATTTTTCATGTTGCTCATGTACAGGACACCCCACATTTAATGTTACAGGCCATTTTATTTTTAATTATAGAAATTTGATTGAAAGCTCAAATTTATATACATGTCGGCCCTTCCTCTACTGGAAAGTCGCTTATAACGCAGCGGCTGGGGTGTATAGACTTCATTGGCCTCTACCTTCAATAAAAAAATTGACTTTGTAGGAGCAAAAATAAATACAATTTTTTTTGGGGAAAACCCCAGCCCAAAATGTTTGAGTTTTTATATCTCGCTTATTTACAATCGAGCGGGGCTGAAATTTCTGCGTTATATACTTTGATCCTTTCTCTATTGGTGGCAGATAACGTTTTATTCTTAAATGGCCCCCTGTTATAATTTTTTAAAAAATTTTCGGATGTTCAAGAGGCAATAAAAGCCACTCGTTGCTCCACAAAGGACGCTATACGTGGGTAGAGCTTAATTATATTAAATAAAAAAATGGTTATTTTATGTAATAATTTGCAATAAGTAATATGATTCAGGTTGAATATATATTTTAAAAACATAAGTCTATAAATTATCGTACTTAGAAGTTTTTCTCCGCTTGACTGTTACAAATATTACAATTTTTTATATTTAAGGAAGAAGCGATTTTTAAAAAATATATTTTTATGAGATAAAAATAAAAGAGTTGCCTGTCATGAAATATATAGCCCCAATATGCAAAATTCAAATTCAAATTAATAACGCAATACATTTTTTTCAGAAGTAAAAGATTTCAACTTATATATTAAGGACCTTTTGAGGCCTGCCACTAAACTCACCATTAAACCCATCCTGACTTGACAAATCGACGCATAACAGCGAAATTTGCATAATTTATACATAGAATAATGTATAAACGTGGTTTTTAGTTCTATTGTCGTTCTATACAGATTACATTAGATTCTCAACAATTTAACATTTATATAACACAAACACAAATTAAAGGCAAGTCTAACCTCGTCCTCAAATACTTGCACTTATTGGTTATAATGTTATAAGTCAAAAATCAAATAAATAATTAATTTTTATTTGTCCGCGAAATTTCTCTGAGATTCTCGTTTATTATAAGATCAAACAGCTCCTATACGAAGTTTTTTTCTTGGGATTCAAACAAATTCGCGCACTTTGTTCAAAAATATCCCTGACTCCCAACGAACACATAGACGAACATTCAAAATATCCTTGGGCTTTAATTCTCCGTCTCACTTTTAAACCGTCGCGATATGTCGGCGTTTGGCTACCCCTTCGCAAGTCCAATTTATTCCCGACTAAAATGTACGGAACCCCCGGCAAAAAATGTTTGATCTCAGGATACCATTTGGATTTGACATTCTCTAAAGATGTTCGATTATCCAATCCGAAACATATAATTACAAGATCCGTTCTGGGGTAAGATAAAGGCCTCAACCTATCGTAGTCTTCTTCACCTGCCGTATCCCATAGGGCCAGTCTAATCTTTTGGCCGTCGATTTCGATTTCTTTCAAATAAGTTTCGAAAATTGTGGGGATGTAATCTTCAGGGAATTCGTTTGTCGCAAATACCGTTAGCAGACATGTTTTTCCGCACGCACCGTCTCCTACTACCACAATTTTTTTTGTTTTCGTGTGGTCCATTAGTAATTTCGTATTCTGTTGACGACCATACTCATTTCTTAAACATTTTTCTGTAGAACATCTTATCTGTCGTTGGAAGCCGGCTGTATTTACATACTTGCCGTACGTAATGTAAAGTTCGGATATGATTTATCTAGAGATAACGGGTAAGAGTTTATCCACGAGGTGATACGCTTTTTCAAATTATACGTTTGAAAAATAAAGTTCAGATCGTGGAAACGCTTTTAATCACAAGAAAATAGAGACTTGTACCTACTTGCTATTGCCAATTAAAATAAGTCGTATAAATGAGTTTATCTACGTTCCACCAAGCATACGGTTTTATCTTTTCAATACTTAGTTGTTTCGGCACTCCTAAAGATTTGGAATAATTATGGACAGCTGTAAGAAATGCAAATAAAAAAAGATTTTTGCTTCCTATTGCTAGTGATCCGCGTGACTCGTTGCCAAACCATTGGGAGTTTAATAAAAACGCCCTATATATTAATTTACGATGTCCACCGAAAACGAGTAACTGAGAATTGCCGCCCCTTTTACCCGCCCATATTAATATTGTCCAAATGAGAACAGCATCGGCAGTTTAAAGATGTGTCGCTAAACACTGGTTGTGCATTATTAGTGACTAAAATGCGGTACATCAGGATCATAACTTTTATAATTAGCGCATTTATAATTTGCGTTTTTGCAAAATCTTACAGTGATCGGTAAGTCGTTTGAATGTGTAGAAGACCGACGTCATCGTCAAAATTAAAACTGCTAGCAACTTTCAGCGTTCAACGTTGAAAATAATAAGGAAAACTAGCATTTATTCTGAAAGCGCCAAAACCAGACACATAAAAATTGTAAATATACCCTATTTCGCGCAGAGCTAGCCCAACTGGGTCACTTTTCACGAAATGTCGAGTCTTTACGCCCACCAACTTTGGCTTACGCTCCTCCAAACACCCTGTATAAAATATTCATTTCTAAAAATAGTCCAGCAAACAAATCTATATTTTTCGACGGACGGATAAAGTGTCCAAATCGAAACCACTTTTAGTAAATAAATAATGACGTCTTCCACCCCTAGATTATTATGTCAATTTATGACGCTGACAATGAATTTCTTAATCGTAGTCCACAAATTTACGTTGAAGACGGCCATTTGTACTTCGAAATGCCCGCCGATAAAAATGTTAAATTCATTGCGTCTGCTATGAGCGTCAACGAGATGGACTTGATGGCGACTCTTTTAGGAGTAAGAGTTTGCGACTTTAACATTCGCCGATTCAAAAACCTGACGATTTTAGGCACACAACGCAACGAAAATTCTAAAATCCTATCAAAGCTTTATTTCCAACTACTACACCAGAATAGACGATTTGGAACAAAGGCTGATGAACGTCGCGATTCCGGTAAACGGTAGTAACTTCACTGCGACGGCCCGAGGACCATCTCAAGACGTTAGATTACGGAGAATCAATCAAAAACTGGCCAGACTCCAAACGTCCTTGCTGACGTTGCAACAACTTCTATCAACCGATGATTGCGCTTTAAACCCCTGCAAAAATGGTGGCGCGTGTAGGGATCTGTTCAACGGTTTCCTGTGCGGATGCCTAGACGGATGGGAAGGTCCGACTTGCGAAAAAGACGTCAACGAATGCGCTCGATTTGCAGGAACCGACTTGGGGTGCCAAAATGGCGCGACATGCGTAAACCGACCGGGAACTTACGAGTAATCCTGCATCTGCGATCGTTCAACCCCCCACCCTGGGTTATTCATGCTACTTCTCTTGCAGATGTCTATGTCCGGATCCTTGGATCGGACTCCACTGCACTCGAAAATCATCGGACTGTAGTTCCGGATCGACGGATATTTGCGGCCACGGCACCTGCATCCCTCAAAACAACGCGGCCGGTTACAAATGTCTTTGCGACCAAGGATGGATAAACGATGGTCTCCACGCTGCGTGTTCTGCTGACGTGGACGAATGTAAACTCGATCACCCCCCGTGTTCTACGAATCCTCTGGTGGGATGTGTCAATGTCCCAGGATCGTTCTACTGCCACCAATGTCCTCAGGGTAATCTTGAAGTGACCTATTTTAAGTTACGGTATCTACAGAAGCGTTCTTAGGCTACACCGGCAACGGGTATTACTGCGCCGATATCAACGAATGCGAACTGTTTAATGGCGGATGCAGCGTGTCACCGTTTGTTGAATGCGTCAACACCATTGTAAGCCGAACTTCTCAAATAAGAAACTCTTAATTGATTTGACGCTTATTTAGGGGTCGAGTAAATGTAGTTCTTGCCCGCCAGGGTACATGGGCGACGGTAAAACCTGCAGCTACAAGGGTGTATGCCATGTCAACAACGGTGGATGCAATATCGTTGCTAGATGCGTGGATAACCCAAGTACCCCTATAAATTACCCGTGAGTTTCATAGTGATCGTCTATAAAACCTTCCAGGTATAAGCGACACCTACGTTCAATGTATATGTCCAGCGGGATACACTGGGAACGGTATAGGCGTCGCAGGTTGCGTTCCTGTAACAAATTCCAGCTCTTGCCACCCCAATCCGTGCGTCTACGGAACGTGCGTCGTAAATAACCAAAGTTACAAATGTATTTGCCAGGCACCCTATTCGGGGACGAATTGTGATATCCTCGGCAAACCCTGTGATTCGAATCCCTGTCAAAATGGGGGCACTTGTCAAAACGTCGGTCTGTCATTCCGTTGCGCTTGTTTGACCGGATTTTATGGAAACGTATGCCAAGAACAAAGAGAATCTTGCGGAGGAAACCTATACGGTGCCAACGGTACCCTAAAGTATCCTCCGGATGATTTCAGCGCGTTCGGAAAATCGACAGCGTTCAGCTGCGCTTGGATTATCCAGACCGACATAAATTCGGTCCTCAATATAAAATTTGAGAAATTTAATCTCGCAGACGAGCCGTGTACGTACGAATGGATACAGGTTATTGGAGCGTGTTTTTGGAATAACGAAAATCTAAAATTTACATTTTTAAGATACATGACGGAAGAAACACGGTAGCCAATCCGTTGGGACGATTTTGTGGAACCGCCTTACCTTTAAACGGAACTTTCAAAACTACTCACAATATGGTTTATATTTGGTTTAAATCCGATAGGAGGACGACCACAAAGCCGCAGTTTGAAGTTAGCTGGAAATCTGAAAACCCCAGTAAGTATGCCAAAATTCGCGGTATTAAAACTAGTTAATATTCATATAAAGTGTGCAGCGAAAGTTTGCAAGCCTCCCACGGCACCATCAAATCGCCAGGGTCACCAGGAAATTACCCAAACAACAGGTACACCACAAAGTCCAAAAGAAAACATTTTTATATATCTTAAAACTTTTGAATCGTTTATAGGGACTGTTTTTGGTTACTACATCCCCAAGTTGGAAAAAGGTATCTCTTTCATTTCTATTTGCTGGACATCGGCAACAATCCAGATTGCTCCCGTGACTTCTTGGAGGTGCCTCCATAAAACACCAATTTTTCTAGTTATAATCGAACAAAATCATTGTAGTTTTTCTCCGGAATAATTTTAAGAGATTCGTGGAACCAAAGCAAACCGTTTGCGAAATTTTGCAATACTTCTCTACCGTCGCCATTTTATTCGCAATCGTCTTTGGTGCTGATACATTTCCATTCCGATAATAACACAAATTACCGAGGATTCCAGTTGACTTACTCTACCGTCGACGGTAACGTAGTCAAAATTAAGTGAAATTCAATCGTTGAAAACGAAATTCTATCGACACAGGCGTACCAGGGTGTGGGGGCGTTTTTACGTTCGATAATGGCATTATAAAATCTGCGGAGCTAACTGATGCTGCGCCAGAAACAATTGAATGCGACTATACCATTCAAACCATGAGAAAAACTAGGATTAAACTGACTTTTTTGGAATTAGATGTGCCAGATGATTCCAATTGCCGCGACAACTACGTTGCCGTAAGACTTTGTCCTTCGGAAGCGAATGCAAGAAATTGCTAACAAAAGTTTTTAGATTTATGAAGGGATCTCTAGGTCGGCTCCCTTGATAGGAAAATATTGTGGCACCACCTTGCCGGGATCTTACACATCCGTATCTTCTGATGTGCTCGTAGTTTCAAAAACGTGGAAATCTAGAAATCATGGGTGGAAAATACACTACGAAATAAGTATGGAGCAAGTTAACGACTTGAGTATTCACATACGAATACCGTTTAAATTTTAGTATGCGGAGAGCAATTTACTGGCGCCGTAGGTGGATTTACTTCATCTCTAGGCACGAGCACCAGAACTTGTATATACGAAATCATACAACCAATGGGTAATCTAATTATTTTAAATTTGGAGCTTAATTTACTTGGATCGTCTAACTCGTCGTGCGGAGTATCCAGTCATCTTGAGGTAACATTCGTTTCATACAACAGTTTGCTTGTTTTCTATGCCCAAAACACATTATAAGGTCAGAGATGGAGACAGCGCGAATTCCACCTTAATCGGAAGATACTGCGGACGAACGAAGATTAAAGTTGAATCGTCGACGAACCATTTGTGGCTAAAGTTCTACAAAACTAGTTTCTTCGAAAATTTCATTGCAAACTACACGTCGATCGACGTCGGTACGAATTTCATCCAGATTTGCCCTTATACGTTCACTATAAATTTTTTGCTGATACTTCTAGGATGCGGCGGCATTCTAAGAAAAGAACTAGGAACCATATCCTCTCCGGTGACTCAGGCTCACACCGGTGCGTACCCCGCTCACGCTAATTGTCAGTGGGTCATTATCGCACCACCCGGAAAGGTTATCCAGCTGACGTGGATGATGTTTAGCCTTGAGCAGAGCTTCGATTGTACTTACGACTACGTTCAAATATTCGATAACGCCACGGAAGGCTTAGGTGGACTGATGGGCAAATACTGCGGTCATACTTTACCGCCAGTAATGCTATCCACCTCCAATATAATGACCATAACTTTTATTTCTGACACAACAATCAGCAGCGAAGGATTTCTGGCTTCATACACGTTCATTAAAGAAACGAACGGTTCGCTAATATTCCATTGGGTTTCCGAAATATATAGCGGCTTTTTTAGTATGCGGGGGAAATTATTTCACCGCGGGCGGAGTGATAAAATCTCCCGGATACCCCAACCAATATCCAATCAACCGAGAGTGTACTTGGACCATCACCGTCCCCAGCGGCAGACAAATAATGCTTAACATCGACGACTTTAATATCGAATCGTACGCTAATTGCAAGTACGACTGGTTGGAAATAAGGTAATCATATTTTTTTTATTAATTTGTTGGCCCAAACAATCGTTATTGTAGAAACGGTGGAACGTCCGCTTCTCCACTCATAGGAAGATACTGCGGGACGACCATACCCAAAGCCATACCGTCACACGCAAATAAATTGTTCGTCAAGTTTTCTTCAGACATGAGCCAGACAGGGCATGGTTTTAAAATGACTTGGTCGTCCGCATCAACGGGTTGCGGTGGTACTCTCAGTTCACCATCGGGTTCGATAATCTCTCCACACTATCCAGAACTGTACGCTAAAAATACGGATTGCATATGGAAGATAACAATTAGCGCCGGTGCGAAAATTCAAGCCATGTTTGTTGATATCGATTTAGAAAAACACAGCGTTTGCGGACTGGACTTTGTCGAGGTATTTTGTGCATTTGTCAGATGTCCCAAATTGGGTCCGATACGTGCCGTGAATTTTGTATGTAACAGCTCTTCGATGGACCTCTGAGGAATTCGAAATCGCTGGGAAAGTACTGCACGACCACGACCAACCCGATAACATCAAGCGGCAATTCTATGTTAGTCCGATTTAAGTCAGATATAAGCTTCCAAGGCAGAGGATTCAATCTTCAGTATTCCACGCTGTGTCACAATACTTTGACCGGATTTAGAGGAGTGATAGAAAGTCCGAACTTTCCCAATGACTACCCCCAAGATCAAAATTGCGAATGGCATATAGTAGTACCGCAAAAAAATCGCATCAACATAACATTCTCTCATTTTCAGTTGGAACGGTCGATTACTTTAGGAAGCAACAATTGTTCCTTCGATTACGTTGAGGTGAGCTTTCCATATGCTATCGCACTAGTGGAATAATTGATTCGCAGATTGAGTATTTGGAGAGTCAGCCGTCACCTGATGACGGGGAACAGGTTTACACCAAGTACGGACGCTACTGCGGAGATAACAATCCAGGATTGATCACGATCAATTCAGATCAAGCGAAAATCCATTTTGTAAGTGACAGTTTGCTATTGGGATCCGGATTCAGGATCGAGTGGCAACTTTTCGGTATGTTCAATACATTTGCTCGATACTCCGAGAAAAACCCTCATTTTAAGGTTGCGGGGGGATTCTGACGGACCCTGTGGGGGAAATTAAGTCACCCAACTATCCACGGGGTTACCCACCGAACATCGAATGCAAATGGATTATAAAAGTAGCGCCAGGAAATAGTATCGAAATCACGTTCATAGAAATCGATGTTGAAAAGGACGATGTCTGCGACTACGATTTCATTAAGGTATTCCATAGAGACGTTCTTGCGTTGATTGTACCGACACCGTTTTTAGATTTACAATGGAGAAGATGAAAACTACAACCTGATATCCCAGTTTTGCCACCAATTAAAACCCATTACATTGACCACCACAGGGAATACAGCGTTTGTGCATTTTATAGCAGATTACAGCTATCAGGGAAAAGGTTTTATAGCGAACTACTCCTCAGTACCTACAAGTATACTTCTCAAGAGTTAAAAATAATTGCAAACTGATAAATTTGTCTTTCCCGTTGATAAGGTTGCGGTGGGACACTTACGGCGCCGTCCGGTAGCATATTTTCACCCAACTATCCCAAAAACTATCGCAAAAATGACACCTGCGGATGGTTGATCGATATCGATGAAAATCACGTGATAGAGTTAGAATTTGAAGACGTTGACTTAGTAAAGAATCGCTTAGTGACTTGCCAGACCAACTACATCAAAGTAAAAAATCTAGCGACGGGATAAAGTTACTCCTCCGATTTTCAAACGGGCTGCTAGTTTTTCCGAATGCGAAAAGTCCTGGAGAACTAAGAAATTAAGCCGTTTTAGTTTCTGGTTCCTGTTTTCTTAATTCTCAAAGTCTTTTCCAATGGAAGTAAAAGTTTAAGCGGGCCGTTTCAAAATTGGACACATATAACATACTACCATCGCATGTTGTAGGTTTTCGATGGTCCAACACAGGGATATCCCGTTTTACAAACGATTTGCGGAAACGAAAAACCGAATGGAACGATAATATCCTCGTACAATCAGATGTATATCGAATTCAGAGCTCATTCCGCGTTAACTAGCAAAGGGTTCATGGCAAAATACAAAAAGGTTTGAAATGTGACCAGATAGTCCTTTCGGAACAAACAAGTCAACATATTGCAGGGCTGCGGAGCGAGGATAACCACCCAAGGCAGTGGTACCATACAGTTGCATAAAGAATTTGACGTGGGTGCAGCAGGAAACTGCTCCTGGACCATAGAGTCACTCGATCGATGTAAATGACCCACCAACACGGAACCAGCAGTTAATTTACCATCCTCTACTTTCAGCTAAACACATTACATTAACTATAACGCATATGGGCTCGAATTACAATTGGTGTCCCGAAGACGAACATCAAGTGTCGATTTATAACGGACCATTTAGCGATTCGCCTTTATTGGGAGGGTACTGTGGCACTAAAGTGCCTCCCCCATTGGTAACGGATGGATCCACCATGCATATTGTAATCAAGGAGAATGTAGACTTTTTCGCTACCTACTCGGTGATGGATTCCCGTAAGTATTGAGGAATAAATAAAATCAAAAAATCGGCTGTGTTTTCCCGATGAAGAATGCGGAGGTACTTTGACGTCCATGGACGGTTATTTTGCAACACCGGGATACCCCAATAAATATCCGTTTGACATGCAATGCGAATGGACCATCGCAGCGGCTCCCGGCAATCAGCTAATCATAAACTTCATCGAATTTGATATATTACAATCGGAAAACTGCAACACTGATTATTTAGAAATTCGACAGGGTAATTCTTCGGGAAATTTACAGGGAGTTTATTGTGGAAATCAAGGACCCACCAACCTCACCCACGTAGGTAGTTTGTGGATGCTTTTTAAGGGTAGCCCGCGGAATACCTCGAACCAAGAAGTAACAGCTAAAGGATTCTACGGCCAATATTCAAGAAGTATAAATTTCAACTTCTGCTTCTTTGGGAGCACACTTATTTCGATGTACTCTTTTTAGGTATCGAAAACCAGATCTTTGGTAAACGAGGTGTGATTGCGTCTCCTTTCTACCCGCAACAATTTACGGGTTTTGCAACTTATACGTGGACAATTACGGTGCAAACCAGAATGAAAATCCAAATAATATTTAAAGAATTCTTCATGGAAGAAGGCGAGGAGGGAGTTTGCCACTCGACCAGTCTAAAAGTAATTATAATATTAAAGTGTAATTTTTATTGCGAATAAAATTTAAGGTTTATGATGGGCCAGATACGTCGTCACTTTTATTAGGTCATTTTTGCGGAAATAGTATCCCAGACCCAGTAACATCGTCGTCCAATGTGGTAACCATCGGTATGGAAGTATTTTCTTCACGTATGGGTTCAATTTTCTTATTCGAATGGGAAGAAATCGGTAGCAGTCCAAGATTAGTTTCTACCAACTCTTCAGGTAACCAAATAAATAGACCAAGACGATGTACGATATATATTTGCTCCGGTTACAGATTGCCAAGAAAGCATTTTTATCAACGAAATACACAACTATACTCTAAAATCCCCGGGGTATCCGAATGGATACGGATCGAACCTGAACTGCGAATGGATCTTCAGCACGATTCCGATGAACCACCTGAAAATCACATTTAAAGTGATCGATCTATTTACATTCGCTAACCGGCTCTGCAATCGAGCTGATGTTATCGAAGTCTACCAGAGAAAACATTCTAATCGGGGCTGGGAATTGGTTCGACAAATATGCGAAAATGAGGATGAGGAAACTATTATCCATGGCACTCATCTAATGAAAGTCGCGTTTAAAACCAACCAGTTCCTCAATAGGTCTGGTTTTCTCGCTGAAGTCCAAGAAGATTGCGGCGGAAGCCTGACCGATCCAACTGGGTATATCAATTTCAATGAAAAATCTCCTCAAACTCGAGAAGTAAGTATCTAAACTCAGCGTTGAGTAACAAACTTCGTAAGGGGTAATTTTCAGTGCCAATGGAACATAACCGTACGTTCTGGCAGAACCATCGAACTTGGTTTCGTGGAATTTAATTTGGGACCCAATGTTACGGGAGGATGTCACAACTATTTAATGGTAATGTATGAATTAAATTTCGATTTTGATGATATTTTTTGTTTACGTAGATCCGGAACGGGCAATATTCAGATAGTCCGATACTAGGTAACGGAAAGTATTGCGGCAATGACATACCATCACCAAATGTGCTGAAGTCAACGGGAAACCACATATATGTCAAATACACAGGCAGCGGCCTTATCCAGGTAAAATACGATTGGCAATTTTAGCAAATACGTACAGTTGTCTGTCCCCTTATAGGGATTCAAGTTGAAGTACCAAGAAATAGGTGTCGAGTGTGGCGGACAAATTATTCTGTCAGCGTTTGATAATTTCACAGAAATATCGTCACCAAACTATCCGAACATACCCACTCCACACACAGAATGCATCTGGATTATCAGAGCACCAGCGGGAGAAATTTTGCGTATCGACTTTGAAGAAAGATTTGATTTGACCAACGACCCTAAGTAAAAAAAAAAGAAGCAGAATTTAGTAAATGTTACACCAAACAATTTTAGCTGCAATCAAGAATATGTTGAAATAAGAGATGGCGGTACCGAATATTCCCCCGCGATAGGTAGATACTGCGGAGATAGTCCGAGCAGTAATTTTTCATCCGACAATATAATGTACGTAAAATTCTTCACTAACGTCGACGACCCTAAAAACGGGTTTAAAGCCAAAGTATCCATCGGTTATTGCGGTGGTACGTTGCGAGGTACCACGGGTGTCATCCAATCGCCGGAATACAGAAGTTTCGAAAGAAGTGTAAATTGTACCTGGCACATAAAAGGACCTATAGGTCATTACTTGGATATCTCTTTTACGAAATTTAACCTTATGGGCACGGCAGTATGCAATAAGGGCAGCAACCAGGTTCGTTTGGTACAAGTAAATCCTTATTATAAAAATGGTAAGATGTTTATTATAATAGCTACTTTTACGAATTGATGTTAAATACTGCAGCTAGCGAACTGGCGACTTATTGCGGAAGAAAACTTCCAGACAACATAACGACGGTAACCAACGAAGTGATAGTGCAATATCAAGGAACCAATTATCAGCAACAATCATTTTCACTGACATTTACCAGTAGCCAAGAGGGTAACGTAAATATATCTATCAAACTATCGATGTGTTAATTTTGCAATTACAGAATGTGGCGGAACATTGTCGCAAGAAACTGGAACCCTTACGTCGCCTGGATATCCGATAATGAACCACAAAAACCGATACTGCTATTGGCAAATCAGGGTGCCGAAAGGTCGGAGAATTAGTTTTTACGTTGAAGATTTCGATTTGGACCAATCCGGGCATTTCATATTCGTCGGAATTTTCAACGGCTTCGATGTGGGACCGAAAATTGCTTTTACCCGAGATCTAGCTACTGATAAAACCTTCTATTCGACCGATAACACAGCACGTATTATTTTTTGGTCCCAATATCCTTCGACGCATCGTGGGTTCAAAATAACGTATTCTTCCAATGAGCCGACAAGTGAGTTTCAGAACTGAATTATTTTATTTTATCGTCATTTATTACGTCACGTTAAACGGGGAAATTTGTTTTTGTTTTCAGTTTGCACTGGCGATTTTAATCAAACGAATGGAATAATCACCCATCCAAATTATACAAAAGAATATGTTTGTCAATGGGTGCACGATAACTTTAATCCGAATGAGACGCTAGCCATGACGGTAACTGTCGCGACGAATGTTACTTTTAAAGGAACCGCTTGCTTAGCCAGCAACACGGCTTTGACCATAACCGACCAAGACAACCATTTAATTTACGTTATTTGCTACACCACGTCTAGTCCGATCGTTATTAGGTCTCCGTTTTTAATGACGAAATTACTGGTACGAATTTCATTTTGTTCGCTTGCCGCCATAACCCTTTCATTTTCGTGCAGGCCCAAACACGTCCTACGTACTATTTAAATTTTTCCATTAACTACAAAACACATCCGTGTGGCGGCCGAATCGTCGGGGAAGAGGGTTCCATTGCTAGTCCCAACTATCCGAATAAACCCGAAATACCGTACGAATGTGCTTGGGTATTGACGATAGGTTCTGAACAAACTGTGAAAATTCAAATACAATCGTTAGATTTGGGTAGCGATTGCGATAAACATTCGCTATCGATTTACAACGGCCCGTCGGCTATCCATCCTCGAATCGGAAAATATTGCCGAGATGACAAACCCGACCAAAGCATTCTAGCACAATCGAATAAAGTTTATATAGAATACAGATACGAGCCAGGTCAGCAAAGCAGCGGGAAAGGATTTAACTTAACGTATACACCGGATATAACAGGCGAGCTTGATTTAATTTTATTTAACTACATCATCGACGTTGAGTCCTTTAGGTTGCGGAGGGATATTCCACGACAAATCGCGAATAATACAAACTCCAAAGTATCCCCAAGACTACTCCAATAACGTGGAATGCGTGTGGGAGGTCCGTAGCAACCCCGGTAACTTCATTAAACTAAATTTCATCGAAAGATTTCACATCGAAGAGGTAACCGATTGCGTCAACGACTACGTCGAAGTATTCGACTTCAGGGACGATAGTTGGATGTCACTGGGAAGAAAATGCGGTAGAACAGCCCCCGATGAATTCCGATCAACAACCAACAAAATGAAAATAATATTCCGGAGCAACGATAAAATAAGCGCCAGCGGATTTAAAGTAACTGAGGCGCGCGTTGCCTTCAAGTGGAATTAAATGGGCTCCTCGGTATTTCAGGCAAAATGGGATTGGCACTGCGGGGGAAGTTTCGAAGCGACCGATGTCGCCAGGTATATAGTCAGTCCGGATTATCCCAACGTTTACAAAGGCCAATTGAATTGCGTTTACAACATCACTAGCAAAAATCGAAACGTCTTGTACGTCCAATTTCTAGATTTTGATTTGGAGAGAGGTAGGGAACTAGTAAATTCAACAAATAGGTTCGCAAATCAAGTTTTAGGCTTTCCCGATTGTCGTTTCGATAACGTTACCCTATCCGGGGGGACTTTCCCTATTTCATTCGGCCGACGAAAGACGAACGATGTATATTGCGGCAACAGCCTTCCACCCCTTGTAAGAATGCGACAAGCAGTCACCATCACTTTCAAGACTGACAAATATGTCTTCGGTAACGGTAGAGGGTTCAAATTTTTGTACAAAGAAGAAAGTAAGTAATTTTGTGGCCCCGTTTCGTTCGATAACGCGATTTGTCGCTTCAGATTGCGGGGGAATTATAACAAAACCATCCGTTATCGAGGCAGCTGACATCAGTACATCTGTAAGATTTTACCAACCCTTCATGCATTGCCAGTGGAACATCACCGCACCTAGTGATCAGATAGCAGTTCTAAAGTAACTTTTAATTTTGACATAAATATAGGGATTTTGAGACAGTATCAAAAAGAAAAATTTTTTTGGTTTAAGTTTTTGAGGAAATTCGTTTCAGCATCCAAAAATTATCCATGTCAAACTCCGCAATCGGGGGTCGTTGTTTGAGCCAATCGTTGCAAGTATTCAACGGCGAAGAGAAGTCTGGCAACAGATTAATACAACTCTGTGGCGTAATTAAAGATAATGTCGTCGTTCCATCGGATTCCGGCAAAATGGTGGTGAAATTGAGTACATCGGCACACAGTTTTCGCGGTTTTATGGGAGAAGTTTATTTCACATACGGTAAAACAATACGTTAAGAATTTAAGCTGATCCGTCGAGAACACTAATCCGGAAATAGTAGACTCCAAAATATTATTATAGCCCGACATATGTCGCTGGTCTCGGAGATAAAAGGCTTTTAAAGTTTTATTTTTATTCCGAATGTTGGAGAAAGTTCTAATAGCAAAACCAAAATACTAGCTAATACCAAAAATTGTCAATTTTAGGTTTTGTGATATAACAATTACAAATTTGAAGCTAAATGGTGCTAGTTTTGTTATTGTTAAATATTGTTTTTTTTATTGCTCACCGTAGAATTTGAGAAAAAGCATTTTAAATGCAAATAAGGCCCAATCATAATATTTTCTTAATAGAGATTGTCCATTCTTTATCAATGAACCTGTACAAATAACAAAACGCTCATTAAAATCGACCGTTTCAGGACCTACCAAAGGTTGCGGTGGGTTTATAAATTTAACCGAATCGAAAATTATCCATTCTCCAAACGATCTGTCGGATCTAGATTGTCAATGGAAAATAATGGCCCCCAAAGACTACAAAATTCAAATGAATTTTACGGCTATCAAAATTCCCGGACACTGTGGACGAACAGCCAAGAATTTTACTTATTTCTGTACATGTGCCTTTATAGAGGTTTTTCAATTCCTACAATATCACCATTTTACAAATCCCTCACCCGATCTATTTTAGATTAACGACGGAGGTGGCCCATTTTCAGAACTTATGGCAAAGTTATGTAGTAGCGATAACAGAATGCCTAGATCCCTAACCACCTCATGGAATACAGGATTTATTAGAATGTTCGTAGCTGGAACCTTTAACGATGTCTTTTCGGTAACTCTCACTCCCATAAGAGGTCTGTGCGGCTCATCGGAGCTACATGTAACGAACCAATTACAAATTCTGACCTCCCCGAACTATCCCAACTCATATCCAGAAGAAATAAAATGCACGTGGGTGCTGCACGCCGAAATGTTTAAGAAAATCTTCTTACATTTTGAGGAATTTGACTTGGTCGACGAAGGCGAAAGAAACAAACTGACTAGATGCGAGCAGGACAAATTGGAAATAATAGAAGATCCTAATAGGGAGTTTATAAGCGAAGGATTCGGCACCAGTGCAGTGCACGCTCAACAAAGTGCTCAAACGCTGGTGCGTATACAAAACAACCAGAATACAGTCATTACAACGAATCATTCTAGCATTATATGTCCCGGGAATATAACAGACACGGATTTTGCGGCCGAAACGACAAACCTTTTGACTTTTATTCCGCGGATAACACTGTAACTATTGCTTTTAAGAGTCTCCCATCCGGACACAAAGGCAGAGGATTTAAATTATTATATGGTACCTCAGGTAAAGTGTTTATGTTAAACCGTTGATATTTTGAGCAGCATCGAACTCTAATTATACCTTGGGCTATAAGACTTTCCGAAATATGCATATGCGTATAACATAATAATGCATGCTTTTGCTTAAAGAAAATTACAAACATTTTTGGGAAAAACGGAATTTGCACCAAGTAAAATTAGATATTCGAATATAAGGAATACGCTACACATACATTTTTAATTAAATACAAAACTAAATCATTATATAAATATTGCTATCTGAAAATATCGGAAGCCATCACGATGGGGTTTACCCGCACAATTCAGTAATTGTCGTAAATGCCAAATGTCAATTGTTAATTTTTATTCTACCGGTCATTAGGCTGCGATCGAAATTTAACTGAAGATAACGGAAGATTGGTTAACAGCCATAACAGCAATAGAAACGATTGTACAATATCGATAACTGTACCCGAAAACCACACTATTTCATTGTACTTTTTATTATTCTACACATCGCAACGGCCCGACTGCAAGGATTTGGGAATCGAGGTTTTTAAGAACTGCCCTACGTACAACTCCTGCCTAACATATTTTCGAAAATTACTTTTAGATCCGAGAAACGAATTCTACGGGAACTGAATTACTACGTGCTTGCGGTTTCAAATTGCCCAATCCGGTGTTTTCCAACACAAATAAATTGTGGATCCAATTCCACAATTTACCAAACTTCATTTCGAGATATGACATAACGTATACCTCATCACCAAATGGACCAGGTTGCGGTGGTACCATTTACAACTACAAAGGTGTTTTTGCAAGTCCCTTGTACCCGAATCAATACCGAAAAGATTTCGAATGTGTTTGGATAATACGAGTTCCTTTGGAACATGAGCTAATTTTAAGAATAACAGGTAGAACATCAAAAGTAACACGAATACAACAATAAGAAGGTACACTTTTCGACCACCTTAGAGTGGCCCTTCTTGTTTTGTACATGTTGGAGAGCTTGTAAAAAGTTGCCATTTATGTTTTAGAATTCGATATACAGGGCGGATGTGATCGTAACAAACTTATGATAACTACATATGAGTATGACAATTCCGAATCCATGAATCATATCTACTGCGCACAGGTAAAACTCGTAAAGCTCGAACGACATTGTCGCTGACTTATTACAATAATTTTAGGACAAACCTGCTGAACTGCGTTCTAAAGGTCAAACCAAAGTCACCTATTACTCAACCGTTAGTAATGGCGGCACAGGATGGTTGGCACGATTTCAAGCTGTTAGGCCCGGAGAAAGTACAAGAGCAATATTTTTTAGTTAAATTTAATTAATACCGCATATTTTCAGCTTTGTTGTAAATGACAACCGATTAAAGATACTCACAAGGTTTTTAAATAAAATAAATCGTCGAATACTCAAAAAGAAAAAAATGTAAATGGATTTATAAGTTTAAATAAATAAATAAAATTTAAGTTTACGTTGCATCAATATTTACATCATAGAAAACAATCAAAAATATTTTGCTTTCTAAGTACTGGTTAGCAACGATCTGTGGGGGTCACTGTTAAATAATTGATGAGTTATAATGCAAAACTAACTACCACGAGGATCTATGGCGGTCGTCCATAACCAAAGATATCTGTCTCTATCGCTTTAAACAAATTATTTGTGATTTTCGAAAAACCGCCACGATGGCGTACGGAAATATTTGGTTACTTATAGCGCTGATTCTATACATAGTTATATCGAAAATTATATTCGATACAGTATACCAGACCTCTAAACTTGTAATAGACGAGGAATTTCATCTACCGCTAGGCGAAAAATACTGCGAATTTAATTTCCGCCAAGTAAGAAGCATTCGAGTTAATAGTAAATAGGGATTTATCCAACCTATATTTAATTTTAGTATTGGAAATATCAATAGCAATAGTAATTAACCCCTTTGATGTGATAGTAGATTTAATTTTAATTAATGATTTAAAAAGCACCCCGAAAATGATTATATTTCTATTCTTTAAATCTTAAATCCTATAACGAATTTGTAACAGCACTGCCCTAGAAAAAGTACAGAGAGCCCCTTTTACAGGTAATTTTATATGTAAATATGACTATTTATATTTCCAGTACTAAGATTAAATCATCTAATGATTAAGCCTTGTTACTATTCTTAATACCAAAACAATATCGCGTATTTTCTAGTGGGACTCGAAAGTCACAACTCTACCGGGGCTCTATATATTAAGTGCTTTGCTGCTTGGTCCTTTTGGATTGTGTTCAATATATTGGTTGAGAATGGTTTCATTCATATGCTCCTGTGTTAACTTACTCATGTTTTACATATTGTTTTCTCAAAATACAAGAGGAGATCAGAGAAAAATATTTTCTGCAATTATGCTGGCGCTGTTGCCTCCATTATATTTCTTTAGTCACTTGTATTACACAGATGTGGCCTCTCTCACGAGTGTCCTCTTTGTTGTAACATTTAGCGAATTTGAGTATTATTATTTGGCATCACTGGCGGGTGAGTTGCTAAGAATATTTATTAAACGCAAAATGATATAAAAATAATTATATCACAGGATTCATTTCAATAGTGTTTCGCCAAACTAACGTAATTTTCGTTATGATGTATGGAGCAAAATATGCCTTGACTGAATCATACAAGGTTTGGGCTCAACAACAAAATGTTACATTGACGGGAAAGCTGCCAGCCACAGTAAGTGAAAGGGGTGAATGAATTTCATAATGGTGTGCTAACCTTGTATTTTTTTTAGAATTTGAAGCCATTTCTAACACACTTTATAGCAAATCCTGCGAAGATTTTAAGCAATTTGTCCCTGCCATTTTGGCTAAATTTATCTTGCTACGCCGCGACTGTTATCTCGTTTTTAATATTTGTGGCATGTAATGGCAGTATAGTAGTCGGCGACAAAAATGCCCATCAAATGACTTTACATACTCCCCAAGTATTTTACTTTTGCATATTTTGCATCGTGTTTGGGTGGCCCCATTTCGTAGGAGAAATTTTAAAATTTTTAAGGTTTGCCAAAGCACACAAGTTGAAAATGTTCCTATATTTAATCTTATCTGGCTTAATCGTTCACTTAAATACCCAAGTGCACCCGTATTTATTAGCTGACAATCGACATTACACTTTCTACATTTGGAATAGATTCTACGCAAAATATTGGTTTTTCACCTATCTTATGACCCCAGTATACGTTTTCGCTGTGCATGTCACTGTTAAAGCTCTATGGAATAAACACGATGTTAGTTTCTGTCTTACCTATATTCCAGCTGTAACTATATTATTAGTTACGCAAAAGCTGATTCAAGAGAGATATTTCTTGGTGCCATATATTTTATTAAGATTGAAATTAAAGTACAAAAATTCTTCTGCTTTCAATGTCGCTCTTGAATTTGCTACATACATTATTATAAACGTAACGACGTTTGAAATATTTTTCAATAAAGTGTTATATTGGAATGATCGCGATGATCCTCAAAGAATAATATGGTAGTTTTTCATTGAAATTTATGTTTGTTCGAATTATTTTGTTTATCTAAGTCGTTTAAATGTGATCGTTTGTTAATATAAGATAAAATAGGAAATGTTTGTGGGTTTGGTTCAATGTTTGTACTTATATTTCTATTTTCTAAATATCTAAATAATATCGTATTAAATTGTTACCGAAATTGTCCTGAGAAAAGACTGTTACTGCAAATTTTTAACTTTTATTAGTGATTTAATTAAATCGATTTTTCAATATTTTCATATTCTTGTTTTATTTCCATTAACTAAACTAAACATTTGGTGAAATGCATAATTAGTTGCATATGATTTATAGGTACATAAAAATAACTCAATCGGCAAACAACACGAAGAATTTACAAATGCTTCTTCTTTTTCATTACATTCCTTCAAGCGATTCTAAGCATTTCTTCTTCCATTTGGTCTATAACCAGTGCGGGGTAACTGTGGAACGTGGTTTTCAAGAATAGTCTATGGTACATAGGAAATTTAGAAAATCCTGAATGCATTCGCAACTGTGCTTAGGTTTTATTGTCGAACGGACAGAACTCGCAATAATACAGAAAACTCGGAAGAAAGTGTTGGATGATTAAAAAAACGTTTTTTTGTAAATATTATGTTAACACACTAGTGAAAATGTTTTGAATGTAGGCGTCGTTTAGTGCGAAAAATTCTTTGAACACAGTTTGCATTAATGTATCTTTGGTTCATTTTCTTTTGTAAATTATAAAGAAGTGCACAACTTTGGACTTGAAAACGACAACTTTCATCTGTCTCGCACGTAATGAAAAGAATCACGGAACTATGAGTCATACAAGTGAAACCAATTCTTTATCACAACCCCTAAGAGTAGAAACAGAAGACACTGGTGGGCACCAAGACAACAGCAACTATTATGAAGAGGAAAAAGACAGCTTCAATCATGCCAACGAAAGTCATGATAACGACTCCTTAGGACCACTACCTCCAAAATGGGAAAAAGCATTTACAGAAAGCGGAGAAGTATATTTTATCGAGTAAGTCTATTAATATTTGTATATATTCAGTTGACATTTTTTAAACCGGAGGATGCTATTGGGGCACGGGGAGATTCGCAAGGATTTGAATTTCTAAAAGGGCTATACGAAAAATCAAATCATTAAAAACATATGAATGAAATATTTCAAACTCGCATAAGGACCTAACCTATCAATTTAAACATAGTCATTCCTCATAAACCCTTAAATGAACTGAAAACTAAAAATTTATTTGACAATTAGTACAAATAAAATAAACATAATTAATCGTGCATTATTTTTACCGAAAATAACGGATGACACAGTTTAAATTCATTTAAAAATATAATCTAGTCCCATTACACTCGGCATAAAAATTTCTCTTTAAATTTTCCCACACTTTATGCAGCTGATGTGGTTGAAAAAATTTTATGTAAACATTTATTCTAATTTTAAACTGGTTAGGCTACCGTTTCAATGATTTAGTAATTAGGTATGTCAGCTGTTTATGCTATAGTTGTAGGTATCCGATAAGTTTTGAATTTTGTTTTTTTTTTCTACTTGTGGCATATAAATGTAATAAAAAGAAAAAGAGATTTTACTTCCATTAAGTATGTGACCTGCTTGATGAACATCTGTTTAACACTTGCCAAAGTTTACCCAAGCAAATTTTTTACGCGTGCAGGTCTATAAAATGAATTTTTATTTACATTTAACAGCCATTCGACTGGAACATCGCATTGGTTAGACCCGCGGTTATCAAAATTTCAAAAGAAAACCCTCGAAGACTGCATGGACGACGAATTGCCTTATGGGTGGGAAAAAATTAGCGATCCCCACTATGGTACATATTTCATAGATCATGTTAACCGACGAACGCAATATGAAAACCCGGTAATACAGGCAAAACGGGCTGCATCTCAAGTATCAACGAGAGTGAGTGGTACATCATTCACCAAAGATCCTTCGGAGTTATGTGGCCAGCGTTTTAGAACGTCCTTAGTAAAGTCCTCTAGAGGCCTAGGATTTACGATTGTGGGCGGTGACGATACTGTAGATGAGTTTTTGCAAATAAAGTCTGTGGTTCCCAAGGGACCCGCATGGTTAGATGGGCAGCTACAAACTGGCGATGTTATAGTATACGTCAATGACACGTGTGTTCTTGGATACACCCACAATCAAATCGTACGATTATTTCAATCGATAAGTGTAGGTTCCACGGTATCCTTGGAAGTGTGTAGAGGATATCCACTTCCGTTTGACCCGAATGATCCAAATACTGAAGTGGTCACGACCATAGCCGTCGATGGTCATTTGCAGCCAGTTTCAACCGATAAAAGATTGTTAGACACGAATTACAATTTCCTAGATGGAGACGATATATCTAGAAATGAGGATAACATGGATGCTCCCGATGACATCGACGATTTACTTAAAGGAATCAATAATTTAACGCTAGGCAAGGTGGAAGTGAGAGTACACATCGTGAAGGGTAACTTGGGATTCGGATTTACCATCGCAGATAGTGCTTGCGGGCAGAGGGTTAAAAAAATCTTAGACCGTCAGCGGTGCAAGAACTTAATGGAAGGGGACATTTTATTAGAAATTAACGATATATGCCTCCAAAATATGTCCCACGATGAAGTAGTTCAGGTATTAAAAAATTGTCCATACAACAATGAAGCAACTATTTGTGTGCAAAGAGGCTGCCCTAATAAGACCCCCAATGTTCGAAATAAATCGAGGAAACTTGATAACAGATACGCAAAGGATATTGCGACAGCTTATAGAAGTAAAACACCGACTGCCGATATTTATAGCACACAGCCCAGGGAAGTTCTTCCCAGCAGACCCAAAACGCCGCTGGTAGACACTAGAAATCTAGCGAAAACTCCCGTCAAAGACGTGAATTCCAATTCGAGCGAATTGTTTAACGACGGATTCACCGCTGATCGGTCAAGACTTCGTTTGTCGTTAATTGATAACCAGGAAGACGACGATCTTGACATAGAAATACCAGAAAATAACCAAAATAAACAGTTGTTCGAATATCCACTTCCGGTAGATCCAAAGTTCAGCCTATATATGTCCGCCCCACACAGATACGACTGCGCTTGCGCCTTTTGCGCTAGTCCCAAGCAGCCTGTAATGGAATCTCGGGATAACTACGACAACCCGAACAACGTGAAAAAATTCGCCAACGATTGGTGGTGTCAAAATCCTCGGAATGATTACCTAACAACCGCGGTCACTCTGAACCGGCAAGAGACTGGCTTTGGTTTCCGTATAGTTGGAGGAATCGAGGATAAATCCCAGGTGAAGGATCTCCAAAGAAATGTATTCAGGCAATCGGCTTGTCACGTTTATAATTTGCAGGTCGCCGTAGGTCATATAGTTCCCGGTGGCGCTGCCGATTTAGACGGAAGAATGCAATCGGGGGATGAAATTGTCAGTGTGGAAGGGTTTTCTGTGTTGAAGGCCTCTCATCGTCAAGTAGTTCAGCTGATCAATGCAGCTGCAGCTAGGGGACAGGTTAATTTAATATTACGAAGAAGATTGTATCCCCCACCTCCGCCGACACTGCCATTGAACTTTAACGGAATGGTATGGTCTCAGGAGCATTCCCCTTCGCAAATTCCAGCGTCACACGCGGGACCTTTGGTAATAACTACCGCACATCCTGGTCCTACGTATGACGTCACTGTTCAGAGAACGGAAAATGAGGGTTTCGGTTTTGTGATAATATCATCGGTAAACAAGATCGGGTCCACAATAGGTAAACGGAGGAATTAGATTTTTTATTGAATGCGTAATGGCGTTGTTTTTTTTTTTAAGGACGTTTAATAGAGGACAGTCCAGCGGAGAGATGTGGAAGACTGAGAGTAGGAGATTTCATCGTGGCCGTGAACCATATAGACATCATGCATTTAACTCACGGAGATATAGTGAATTTAATCAAAGAATCAGGATTAACGGTTACTTTGACGATAGCGCCGAATTCAGATCTTTGATTAAAATTCGTCTTGATTAAACGATTCTGTTGCAAGTTTGTAACCTTACAAATGGATAGCAAGTGTATTAATGAATACCATATCAGCAAGTAGGTATTTGGCGTAGGTTTGTCTTTACAAATTTACATGCCTCGTTGTGATAAGTGTTACTGCCTAATTTTTGAAATTTTACCTGTATTTTCGGAAATAATCGAATTTAATGTTCCAATTTTTACATTCTATATGAACTAGAATTGTACATTGCAAGTTGTAAATAAATATTTAGGTTAAGTTTTGTATTGATTGCGTAGTCAAATCTATAACACCAATTTAACGGCTTTGGCAAACGAATATTTTATGAATAGGTCACCAGTAAAAACAATTTCAAGAAAATTTATCCATATTTATTTTCCAAAGCCTTATCAGTTTAGTATAGAATATTGTTGGAAATATATAATACAGCCGTAATACTAGGTAGTTAAATGTTTGGTTATTTTATTATTGCTTTTTCCAATATTTAAAGCTTTACATAATTTGGACTGATTTTTAGGTAATCTCAATAGCATAAAAGTTTTATGCTCTAAGTTATATTATTTAATTATGGTATACTTTAATACATCTACATGGCAAAAATTATTATTTATGTTACCGCCGTGCATTGATTTGCAATAAATATTAAATAAAGAATTATGAAGACCTAGCAAGGTTAACAATATTACTTTTGTTTGATCGTAAGCGTGTCCCCTTACTTGCCTTACAAAAAAAATGCAATTTTCGTGTAATCTAGTGTTATTGTTAAAGCTTATGAAGTAACTTCGACATTTTTAACTTAATAGTTTATTATAGATGTGGTTGAATCAAAATTAATATTATTGCATTCCGGCCAGCTTTTTGTAAATTTACACGTTAGACTGATTATTGTAATTATTTGTACATAAAACGTTTTCCCCCATTTTATAAATAAATTGTATTCGTTATTTCTAGAAAATATTATTTTTACCTGTTCAAAGAAACTTTTTATCGGAAGTGGCAAATCTTGTTGGTTCTAAAGGTTCCCCATTTTCAGTCCTACCATTTTTTGGTTATATAGTATATACAGCCAAACTTGGTGGGCATATAGGTAAACATACTTCGAAGATATTTTCTTAATTGACATGGGTGCCAAAAGTGACCTTTTTTTATCCTTGCTTTTGTATTAGCAAATATTAATCACGTAGTTTTGGCTGTTGTTTTTAGAGCAAATGTACATCACAGATCAAAAATATAAATAGTTTTGGTTAGTGAAAATTGAAAATGCCCGTTTTGGTAAAAATTTGGAGGATGTTGAGAACACAATATATTCGAAATGCGCTTATCTACCAGCAGACCAAGTTTGGCTAAATCGCTTTCTCGAAATATCAGTTGACGCAATATCGAATAGACACGAAAAATATAGCAATTTTATTGAAAGTGGAGATATACAAATTTACAAAATAAATATAACAAATTTTTCGCACAAACAACAACAAATTCAAAAGAATCCCGGATTCGTATGCTCGATAACGCACCTTTTGCAGTATTTTTTGACCGCTCTGTACCCTTCCAGGGATATCTGGCAGTCTTGGATGTTAAGCTGCTGCAAACCGCGACAGTAATAGGCTATACACTGAACTCCCCTGTCAGTCACTAATTCGCAGTTTCTCAAACTTAATTTTTTCAAATTCGGACAGCATTCGGCCAGCGCGCGTAAACCGGCATCACTAACATCACATTTTCCTATATCTAAAGCCCTGAGTCTAGTACAGGACCGAGCTAACACAGTTATGGCGTCGTCTGACACAGCCTCGCAACCTCTTGCGTTGAGGTATCTCAATTTGTAGCATTTTCTAGCTATTACCTTCAGACCGGCGTCGCTGACTTGATCGCATTTCGCTACCGATAAGTATCTCAGTGTCGGTCCCAATTTCGCCAACTCGTACAGACCGAAATCAGTGACGTTCGAACAATCGCTTACGCTCAGCTCTCGTAACGCTGAGCAGAAACTTGGCACAAATTTTAAGCCTGCATCTGAAAAAAAAAATTGTATGATAGAACCACATAATTTACTATTGTTGTGCAGAGTAAAAAAATATGTAGCACCTTTACAAACTAGCAATCACTGAATACGTAAAATATATATATATTTTTTTATTCATAATTACCAGTGATTTGTATACATCTTCGCAGGTAAAGGTAGGCAAGTTGGGGACAATTTTGCACTACGATCCTTAAGCCCCCATCTTGCATAACAACGCAATCTGTCAGATCCAAGTACTGCAGCTGCATCCTCTTTGTCGGATCCGACAGCGTGTTCAAACTAATACAAGAGATCTTGGTGCAACCTGACAAAATAACAACTAAGTTATAGCAATTTTCAATATCCAAAGCGTAGTTATTTGATCGACTTCAGAAAGTAGAAAAATTTATGTATTAAAAAACTAATAAAAACAATTGTTTTTTCTACTCTGTGACTTCGATCTGCTCAATGGGGAAGTCGTACCAGTCAAATCGAGGTGCTGCAAATTGGTACACCTGGTGGCGATTTCAAACAAGGCGTTGTTAGTGATATTAGGGCAGCCTTGTAGTTGAAGGTGGGTTAATTCGGGGCATCGCTTCGCGATCAGCATAAGACTTTTGTCTGACAATTTGGCACCGTTGCCGACATGTAATTTTTCGACGCTAGGACACGCCCCCGTCCTCCCTTGGCCGCATAATTGTCTCAACACTCCCCTTATAGCTTTGTCTCCGCTAATATGATCCCCTTCTAAACTGATAACCCTCCACAATGAAGGGGTCCATGCTAACGTATCGAATCTCCTGCATACCTGCGCGCACAGACTGAGATCGATGCTGTTTAAAAACGAAAATATCTTCACGACCAACTCGTCAGATAGCTTGTCAAAGGAGTTGTTCTTCGATTGATACCTTTTACCTTTGTATATGTTCCCGTCGCTCCAAATATTGTTAGCCAAAGAGCCGGTTGGAGCTACTAGGGTTGCATAGCCCTGATCTAAGCTAGGACTAGACTTGCCTAATTGTGAAAAGCTATCAAGCAAATAGTGCGTATCCGACACCTTGTGTTGCATACGGAAATACGGATCGGAAGTTTCTCTGCCGGCCTCTTTACTTTCGTACTCATCGTCCCAATAAGACCGGCTTAGGAATAACGAAGACAGCTCTACCGATTCTTTGCTGTAGTTCAAATTACCGCTTGCTAATGGACTGTGCATAGAATTCCTGTCGTAATCCAAATACGAACGTGGCTGATCGTAGTAGCTATGCTGAAAACGTTACAACTAGTATTTACGCCTTAGTAGACTCCTAGGGTTGTGATTGTAGTTTTTTTCCTTGAAAATATTATCAACCACGCAAACATCAAGGTCACATAAAGTGGACATTGACTTACCAAATAATCTGAATCTTCGGAAGATGGTTGCCGATTCTGGCGATAGCTCCGACTTACAGAACTCGGATTCCGATAGTACCTCTCGTCGTTGAGATTGTTGAAGTCACCGTACTGATAGTGATATTTGTCTGCATCGTCGTTAGAAGTATTAGTTTCGTCGGTGCTGGAGTTATTGTGACCGAGTCGGACCAAAGGGCATGCTGTAAGTCTTGGTGAAAGACGTTCATGTAGCCCCGTAGGTGGTTGATTCATATCTTACTCTATAGCCCCTGGAAATTTGGATTAGATCTTATGCAAAACTTAGATCTCCAACCATTTGTTGTTTTCTTAAAGTCCTTTTTATTCTACACTTCAAAGTGAAATTGAAGCATAGGTACTTTTCACAAATTATTTAATAGACAAGCCAAAAATGGGATAATACACACACGATGTGAGAGAAACTTGAAGCGCTTAAATTTGGTTTGAAAAATGTATTACGTTTCTCGGGGTAAATAAGATTACACATCTCGAATCGTTCTTATGTTAGAATTACACTAACGTGCATACACTGAAAGACGAGGTGAGAATAATAAATAACAAACAATTATACTTGATTATAATTATAAATATAGGCAGATAATTGAGATATCAATTATTCTAAGATCAAGTAAATAAAAACATAGAGAAGTAAGAATAATTTCAAAATAAATTGTAAAAAAAAACTGTTATTTACCTAACAACTTCATTTCTAAATTTTAGTCATTATGTTCAGAGTAATTAGATGAACCATAGTGGATAAAGTACTGAGAAATAATAAGAGGCTCTACAGTGTTTCTTCTATTTCAATTTCATGTTCGACGCACTTACTTTAACGTCCCTCATTTTAAATGTTCGTTCTCTATTAAAATATATTTTAAGTGACGAAAATGCATTTCCTTCAAAGTTTTCCACAATTTCATCATTCTCTTACATTTCAAACAATATTTTGTACGAAGTACTCTTTTTCTTTTCTTCTCTTTGGTGACCTGATGGCAAATATGCAAATTTTTTAAGGGTTTCGCTAGTAATGTGAAAAAAATAACTCCTAATCTTTTGCTTGTTACTTTTTTCTGTTTTTTCTTTACCTATCATAATATCACATTATATTCCCACGTCGGGTACACCAAATTAATAAATACGGTAAACGCTTTTTGTTTACGACGAAGAACGTGACTATGCGAAAAGGCGTCGCGGAAAAGGTAACAAACTCTTATTGCCTTCTCGAAACCCGAGGGTTAAACAATATGAGAATCATTGTTTCGAAATTCAATAGATTATCACGCTTGTGTACATATGTGTGTGAGTGCGGCTTTTAATATAGTCGTAAACTTCCGTTTCTAAGATATTTCGACCATAAAGTCGACTTCAATAAGACCATGCGGTAGGTATGGCAGGCATAGCTCTCAACAGCCTAGCTGCGTGGTTCGAAATACCAAAAACAACAATGCCACGCTTATCGGTGCAATAATTCAACTTTCACATATTGGAGTGTTACCGAGAGGAGAGAGGCGTCTACCGGTCGCGGGACCCCCGCCCCCCCGCTCACAGCCGCCAGAACCATCATCCTACGGTATCCCATTGGCACATATTGGCACACGGCGATTTTAAACAACACGTTTTGTTTTGTCTCCCGAGTTTTTCGAAAGTTTACGACGCCGTAACATTTACAAAATCGAACGCGTAAACTAACGAGATATTAAAAGTTTGAAACGCTTTTGGCATGTTTCCGCTCTACGTGACTTACGATATTCGTTTTAACGAATTAATAAACGTTTCGAGCTTTTTAATGCCTCGTGAAATTCGAAGGAAACGATTCTAAAATGCCACCCGCATCGAAATCGATCGGGTTCTCACTTTCCTAGCAAATTTCCTTAATAATGGTTATTACATAAAAGTGGGGAATTCATTCAAATTTTAAATAATCAGCTGAGTGTTTCAAAAAATTTTGCGCTAATTTCCTAGGTATGAAAAAAGTTACATCGGTCAATATACATGTGTCCGAAAATGTCTCCTTCACAAGATGCTCTGCAAAAGGGGCTCATTTTTTTTTTCTTTTTAAGACGGTTTCGGAAACCTAAATGAAATATAGACCACAAATAACCCAAAATATTGAAAAATTCAGAGCACGTGTTTAAACTCATCTATTTGACAAACAGGTAGAATATTATGCCTAATTGCACCGGTAGTACTGTTTTAAGAGGTATATACATAAATTTATTATATAATACGTTTATATATTTTTCTATAATCCAACTTTAACTTTAACAGCTTATTCAGCAGATAAAAATATGTAAAAAAGTTAATATAAACTTATGTCCAAAAACGCTTCGTTATGGAGACTGAAAAAATTGTTTTTTTTAACTTTCTTTTGGAGCATAGATAAATTTGTTTTTGTTTAACCACTGGCATTGGTTAGTTTTGGTTAGTTGGCAATGGTTTATCGGAATGTTGTTACCAAATTTGGATGCCCTGCAATTTTAAACAAAAGCGGTTTCTTCAGTTTTTTAGCTAAAACGAACTGTTTTCTGGGTTTGGCAAATTAAATTAAGATAAATCCCGCGATTTAAATTCGCTTTATTTACATAACAATTTCAGAAATTACAATAATAACTTAATAATAATTTATTTTGTTAGTTTAATTATAACTATTATAAAAGCTACTAAGTTTGGAAGCAAAATCTAGAATAGATTTTCTAAAAATAGGAAAAAACGATTTTTTTGAAATATATCAACACTCTGTATCTCCGAAATTTAACATTTTTCGAGACAAGTATAGATAAACTTTTTTCCTTACTTTTATCTGCTGAATGTGCTGTTTAAATTTCTCCATTATGATTCGGACCACCCTATATAAGTTTAGTATGGTAAGGATATAATTGGGTTTCTTTAAGTTATGAACAGCCTTAGGCTAGACTTCACCCTGTATATTTATTTTATGTTTGTGTGTAGTCCGGACAATTGCGGACATGTACAAGTGACATGGACGCGTAGCCTCTGAAGATGCCAGACAAAATTGTGGCGAAACGTCAGGCAATCGATTCTACTTTAGAATCAAACAACGAACGGATGAATATCCGGATCAATACCAGTACACATTTAACTCCAATCTAGTAATGTTTTTGATTTCAAACATGAGTACGTAAAAAATCTTTTATGAAATCAGTGTGTCAGAAATTTTTACAACAAACGAATATTCAATGAAAATGTATTATTATTAAGCTTTATTATTATATTAATTATTATATTTAAAATTTATTATTATTAAACTGAGAATGAAACTACTCATCAGTACCATAACAGGTCAAAATCGCTTAAATGTCAAAGTTTAAATAGCCGACATCTATATATATATATATATATATATATATATATATATATATATATATATATATATATATATATATATATATATATATATATATATATATATATAGGCAACATTTTCGAATTTTAAATCATCCGCTCACCTGGAGCACCCGCTGGATTTCTTGTATTCAGTTATAGCATATTTTCCCTTGGGCATGGTCGCCTAGCCAATGCAAATAAATGCAAAATATAAGAAGGACCACAACATATCAAAATCTATGGGATTATTTTTTTTTAACTTCGAGTATAATTAAATTTCGTTTAAGCTATAGAAGTATTGTGAACATGGGGACATTTAAAAATATTGCTAATGTAGCGATCTTATCAATTTGTCGTAAATAATTAAGCAATGCAACAATACAGTGTCAAATTAATTTGAAATTACGACTCCAGGATGTATTAGTTCAGCCGGTTATTTTACTAATCGCCGTTGCTTATCTGGCGACTGTGAAGTGAAATCGTTACTTCGCAGAGGCAATTTTATAGAAAAATGAAGTCTGATACTCCAGAAATTGAAAAAGTTACTCAAGAATACGAAGTTTTCCTTATTTTGTCGAAGCAAGGCAGGATCATGCTTTTCGCTCCGTTAAATATCGATAAATTAATGTATCTTAAAATCTTAAGTCCGTTTCTAGCCGTAATTACTTTTGTGATAACCGCCGAATCTTTTCGTGCGAGATTGCCGATTTTGAAGACGTTCCCGACATCCGTCGCAGTTATGGACATTTGGTACTCAATACTGAGGTAAAATTGGCACCAGATACGCAATTTTAAAATATTGATAAACTAAATTTTCAGCTGGGTGTTTGTTTCCTCCTGCTTATGGAACTCGGCATTTAAAGTAAAGAGTTGGAAACAGCTATTTGACTACTTAAAAACGGTTGAAAAATTGACCAACAAATACATGGAGCACAAGAAAAACAAAAGCAAAGCACCTTTGTGGTTAAAATATTTACTAATAAACTTGATGTTCGTGATCATTCACGGTGCCCACAATTATCTCTGGATCGCGTATAAAAAATATGCCTTAATATCGTCGTACTTATTTTTTCGGTATGTATAATTCATTTAGTAAGATCGAAATACTTTTGAAAAAAAAATTCCAGGGTGGCTCAATACTATATGACGACGGTTTCTGTATTCTTCTGCCACATTTTGCTCTTCGTGAGTGTAAAATACGATCAGCTAAACCGATACTTGCGGTACCATTTTTCCAGAAGAATAATTGTGGTTCGTCACAGTTTAAGCGAATTGAAATACGTGATGGAGATTTGCGAAATACTTTCGAAAATTGTCAAGAACGTGAACATAGTTTTCGGGCTGCAGCTTTTCATTTTGTACGCGTCAGCTATATGTTTTCTTATACACTCCATCAGTTTCGCCATCGTAACAAAATTGAATGCGTTCTATGTGTTGGGTAGCAGCGTAACTTACGTGATATTTTTTATAGTAAGTATAAAATAAATACCTTCGATCAAAACACTTGTCACGACACAATTGCACCAATGCACGTCGGCTAATGGAGGATGTGATATGGACCACACTCAAGACTGTTCTCGAGCTCCGTACTTGTCGTTTGTTCTTTTAACTCCATAATTTTAGCACGTGTTATTTTAGTTGGTTATAAACCGGCGGCGTATTTTATGACCGAAATCTCTCATTCCCGCATTGAAAATAATTACTTTTTTTAGATCAACATTTACGGATTAACATATTATTGTGAAATGGCTAAAGGAAAATGTCGAGCGCTTCTGCAGACGTGCTACTTTATCCAAGAAGATATGGAGCAAGGCGCTTTACGAAATGGTTTAAATAATTTAACCTTATTTATTAAAACTTCATCGCCTGAGCTTTCCGGAGCTGGCTTCTTCAAAATCAGCCCCTTGTTAGTGTCCTCCATATTATACACAACGATGACGTATTTGATTGTAATACTTCAGGTCAATATGGCTATTTTATAAAACATTTTTTCCAGTACTGTCATTGGATATTGTTAAAAATTTGAAAATAATATGTTTAATGAATTTAAATTATAATATAAAATGATGTATAGTGTAATTGAATGTTGTGCAGCCTTCAATGAAATACACTTTACTTTTAAATGTTACATTGAATAGAAAACGCAATGTGTTACTTACGTACCAAATACAAGATTTCGACATTCACTTGAACGTATTTACAACGGTTATATTCGAACTACATCCAGAAAAAAAATGCAAATTAAGATTGCTATTAAGGAACGCATAAATGACCTACCCTAAAATTTCGCATACAATTTGTCGAATCGAATACCGAATAAAATTGACTTCAAATTTCAAATCGCCCAAATGCCCTTGAAAAAAAACGCTGAAAAGGAAACCTTATGGAATCATACTAAGGTGAAAAATGAATGTTAATCTTCGATTGGGTTGATCGCCTACGCTCCCGTCGCTGTCTCTACTCGAATTTCGACAACACAAATCTCAAAGCATGAAAATCCGATTCGGAATTTCCAAAATCGATTAAGTCAACGTACGAGACATGCCCCCCGACTAGTAGAACATGAACTTACATACGACGATGTGAAGAGGCTTGGCGAATTCCATCGAACTATATCCTATGGCGGAGTAGTTTTTTCGGTTGCGTTTTTTAGGGGCACGTCAATACCCCAAAACTATTATTAAAATTCGTTTGGGTGTATCGCGTTTTAATTACAATAAAGAATTCCATAAGTAGGGTAAACTGGTAAATGTAAAAGTTCATCGACACTTTGACATACCCTAACCTAACATTTGCTTAATGGATTTAACAACTCGCTGGGCACCTTCGACATCGTCCTCGGCAAACGTAATCCTCCAATTCGACACTAAAACTACATAAAAAAGCCCGCACACACAACTACAACACCAAATCCTAGAACCAGAAGTTCTAAAATATCTCTTTGCCTCGCATATCTGTTGGTACGGTTTTGAAGAGTTGAACGGTGCAGTACTCGGTAACGGGCAAGAATTTACAGGCACGGACTTAGGCGCTGAAGATAATATTCGAGTCACGATTTCTAATTCGAAGGTTCGGGCCACATCAAAAATTTTTAAGTACGTGGAAGTGATGTCTTTATTCTTAATTTTCGTTACAAACTTTACCCAACAAACCGATGATCGCAACATGGTGGGGTTGATGCCAATTTTTATGCCATTTTTACTATGACCTCCCTTTAGTCGCCTCTTACGACAGGTGGGAGAACCCGCGGTACTATTCTTAATCCGGTAACCACACGGATTGATTAAATACGAAATTTTTATACCAGGAGTTTTCGGGAGAGAAACGGGAAGAAAGAGAGTCGGGGCGAGAGTAAACAGGAAGAGTACAAAAATAATTTATTTGTATTTATTAATTTTAGTGTGTTTATTATTGTTGCGTCAAAAAAGTCCTCTTACATGGAAAACAATGTTACTCTTAAAATGGTTCTTTCAGCTAATTACATAGGAACTAGAAAATGTTACTATTGATATCGGTAAAATATGGAATAACAGATTATTATTAATAATTAAGTGCATTACACGGAGGAATGGGGGGAATTATACCTGAAATTTTTCTAATAACTTTGTAAAGATAAATATTTTACAAATAGAATTGTACATGTAAAGGCATATCATCGAAAGATCTAGTACAAAAATAATATTTCAGTTCATATTTAATTGAGATATTTTGGGCAATTCCGTGCGACGGAACGAGACCAAAACCATTTAATTTTTTAACGCTAACATCGACACCAGGACCTCTACTAAATAGCACGCCATCATTATTCGTATGTACATTTATAAAAATAGAAAAATATCAATCAATATAAAATCACAACTAAGCATATGATAAATAAATACATCACATAATTTTTCTAGTCTATAAGCGAAACATTTACTTTATTGATTTACGTAACCAAGTAAAAATATCTTCTTCATTTTGCTGCACCCAATGGATGTTTAATTTTATTATCTCCAAACTTTGTTCCAGTGCCCTGGACGCAGCTCCTACGTTCATTCCGTTAAAATAAGTGGAGACCTATGAATTGTTAATTAATACTAAACAATTTTGGGGGACGTTTGAATTTTAGTTTTCGCGTACCTCGTAATAATCGTAGGGGGTGGACAAATGTGCAGTGACAGCCGATATGAGACTACCCATCATGAACGTAGCGTTCCCGAATATAGAATGCATCGTCGGCCAATACGCCTTCAAATGTCTCCAGGCTAATAACCTTCCTTCGGGATTCGCGGCGACTACCGCCAATACGACCTTAACGTCCTGCGGTTTAATTGTATTTTTGTCCAATGTTTCCATCAGGTACCTAAATAGACGATTTTTCTGTTACAACGTTCCAAAAATACTCACGATCTACCTTTGAAGAAGCCAAGGATCAGAAGCGACCCCTAGTGCTTTAAGCAACAACGTACGTTCGCTCGGCGAAGTGGTACTGTTGTAAACGTTCCAACAGTGCTGCCATTCTGCCATCCCGCCATATTTAATACCGGCGGAGTACACCACTTCTTTCAGATTAGAATCGATCGACTTGTTATGCGACATCCACTTTTGAAACATAACCTTAGCCTGAGTTATTGTTTCGTTCAACTCGCATAGCGTTGCGGCAGACAAAACGTCTTCTCGAATCAGTCTAAAACGCGAACCATTTCATAGAGAAACGTTTAGCGCGAGAATATACTCACTTGTTCAAATGCGACCCGCTGTTTTTCCAACCCAAATACGTGGCTATGGGTTTCAACAAATGTCTCATATATTTTAAAAATAATTTATAAGCCAGAGATTCGGAAAGTCTTGTCGCCCAATTTTGAAGGTGATCAATCGCGGTGGCCCAAGGCACGTAGTCCCTTTCTTTAACCAAGTACATCGATAGCTCCAGCGGGATACTCGCGTTGAGGAGGCCAGCTCTACGGTAATAAAATAAACAAAATAATATTTTCAAATGTTTGCTATAAATGTATATACGAATGATTTTAAGCTTTCATACCGGCATAATGTAAACGCGTCGTCGATTAAGTTGGCCCTATCGGCAGCGTTGAATGTATGGTGATTTGTTTTCAAAAGAGAAATTAATGAATGCCACATATCTTCTTCATACATAACTCTATAAAATCCGGATTGGTTGACGTTTGCTTTTATCCATTTTATATCGGGATCAATTTCGAATCGAGCTGAAAATATCAAAACTTCAATGGAAATACAAATTCGTTTAGCGAATTAATCACCTTCCGTCATGTTCATCCAAACTGTGATTACGGTTTCCGTATCGTTGCTGCTGGTGTATGTGAGTGGAACGTGCCATTTGTAATCGTACTTTGATTTTGGTGCCGATCTTATGCTGCTATTCATATTTTCCACTGTTAATAAAAATCTTTCCTGAGTCGCCACTATTTCGTTCCCAATTCGATTTAACGTGATTAGTGGGAAGCCCATTTGATTTGTCCATGTGTCCATTACAGTCTAGCAACAATTTCAAATAGAAAGTAAATTTATAAAATAATCTAGTTGGCAAATACCTTGACGTCGAGAGTTTGGTTGGTGTTCCTGGTAAAAACGTTCCACAAGTCTTTTGTATCGGCATTTGTATATTTAAATGTTTGAAGATAGTCATTAAGGCCGTTTTGTAAAGTTTCCTGTTGTAAAAAGTTACTGAGCATATGTATAATGGCAGCACCCTAGAAATAGACCCACGTATATGACGAATTGCTCATTCATCATAAAAAAAATGTTGAAATTTGGCAACGTCATTGATAATGATAAAAGGGCAATTTTGCTGTAACTAGATTAAAATTGTGAAGTATAGTACAACCCTGAGAGGTAGGGTTAACAAATAGTATAGTACAAAAATATCCTAAAATATTGTAAAAAACATTTACCCTGTATCTGGAAAAGCGAGTATTTCCGGACCTATACGTTTATATATTTTTTTTATGCCGAACGCTTGCGCGTGTTTGTTGGAATACCTAGCTTGGACTTTACCTTGCTATAAGAAATAGTATCAAAAATAGCCTCAATTTTGTCGGGATCGTCAACAGGGACGTTAACGGGATGACTACTGGATAGTGCATCTAAGGCAAGGGCGGGTTGCGTTTTGTCGATTATAAATTGATCCATCATCTTCCATTCGGGAAAATAACTATCTACCCCCAAATATTCGAGGTAACTGGCGAAACCCTCGTTCAACCATAGATCGTTCCACCATTTCATAGTGACTAAGTTCCCGAACCACTAACAACAATTATTACTGAATAAAATTAAAGGATTTGAATCCGTCAGAATTACTTGGTGTGCTAACTCGTGAGCTATAACCGTTGTGATCCATTGGTGGGCATTTATGGACGTTTCTTCTGGGTCGTATAAAATGGCAGTTTCACGGTACGTGACTAAACCCCAATTCTCCATCGCCCCGGTGGACAGATCTGGTATCGCCACTAAATCTAAAAGAATTGAATAAAAACGATACCTACCCTTACGTGGTGACAAATTTTAAGACTTACCTAGCTTGGGTAGCGGAAACGGCATTCCAAAAAAGTCTTCGAAAAAGTTTAAAATGTGCGTAGCTGTATTGAGAGCGAAATGTGCCTGTTCTTTATAAGGCGGAGGTGTGTATACAGATACCGAAATACCCCGCTCAGTAAGATTTCGTACGTTATCGTAATCGCATACAACGAACGCGACTAAATACGTACTCATCTCAACGGTCTCTTGAAAATCATCCCTTAACTAAAAGGTATAATAATAATTAGAACAATAACGAATAAAAGAAAATCAACACTCTCGAAATGAACTTACAAGCCCGGTGCCCATATAAAATCCCAAATCGTCGGTATTTACCACCGGCGTATTGAACAATGCTATGTGAAATCGATCTCTGAATATAGTCAATCGAAATTTCGCTTTAAAATGGGGTTCGTCGAAACAAGGGAACGCAGAACGGGCGAATATCGGTTCGAAATGGGTGGTTGCCAAATATCTGCAACGAGAGATAAACTTTAAATTAAACTGTCACTATACTTCTTTGATTTCTATATTTATAATTGTAATCATTGAATTAGGAAACCATACTGCCAGCTTTATCATAAGTATTGGACTGAGGTGGCTTTTACTTGATCAAAATCAATTTAACACAATTAAATTAGAACAAAAAATGATCAGATTTTCACAGTTTTTAATGATTTATGACAGCTGTTGGTAAAGGCACGGTTTTGCCGAAACAGCTGTCATTTTAATTCAATTCAATTGTGTTCATCGTAAGTACGACTCAGACCCTCTTGTTTTTGGAATTTTCAGAAAAACATTTTCGAAAATTGACATTTGATAAAGACACGGTGTTGTCGAAACAATTGTCATGTCATAATATGTAATTTCGTGAAAATCTGAACTTTCAGTTCTTATTTATTTTGATAAATGGATTTTCATCAAGTAAAAGCCACCACAGTTCAATAGAAGTCAATTTGTTTTGCACCAAAATATAGCTCGTGTAGACAGCTAAGTATTTAAGGTTCGAGATATACCGTGCAATATTAAAAAACGTAATAGTTACCCTAAATTTGCAGCTACCGAATTCAGGTTTGATAGAGAAGTAGAAGTCCGGACTCACATTTAATCAAATACCGCAAAGTATTTTTAAATTTTCTTTTGAGTTATTTTGGTTTTTAGAAAAATAGTATTTACTCCAAAACTATTAACCCGAACAGCAAAATTCTTTAACCAACAGACGCAGAAGATTCAGTACTGTAACTTTTATTTCAAGCATTTTTTCGAATGTAGAGAGGGTGTTTCAATTATGGACAAAAAATATCTAAATGATAATGTAAATTGTCCTTTTCCAAAGTTAATTATTACCCGTAAATCAAAATTCATAAAAAAATATTGCTAATTAGTTGAAAGAGTGTTATAGACCACATTGAGAGCTACGGTTTTTACGGTTTTCGCCTGTTACATACGTTGTTCGACATATTTGAAAAAATCCAAATGAAAATCACCATTACGATGTACTGCATAGTTTCAGAAAACAAATATTTATTCGAAAACCATTTACTCTGTTGGAAAAATTCATATACCAGGAAATGTGGCAGATCCAGGGCTATAACCTCTGTTATGAATATTGCTTGAATTATATACAGAGTGTGTCGTTTATGGGCAAAACATCTAAAAGATCCTAGAAATTCCCGTTTTTGTGAGTAAATTATTGGCGATAAATGAAAAACTGTTAAAGATGGGGTACTTTGATTTGAACAGTATCGTAAACTATGCCGAGAGAGAGACGAAAACTAAAATCGCCTATAATACAGGGTGCGCGAGATATTTGAAAAAATATAATTTTCAATCGCAATTAAAAGTAAAAAATTTTAATATTTACCAAAGTTTGCAGTAACTTCGAAGTTCGACGAGATGTGAACGACATTTTATAACCACAGTTAAATTACATCGATTTTACGAAAGTTCAAGCCGCAGGAGCACGCTAGAATAACAATGCCGTAATTTTTACGATAAAAACTTTCAAAATATTTTTATTTTTAGCTTTAGCTTTAACTTAATCGAAAATAATTAATTAACAGTTGCTTAATAAAAGAAACTATTTTTGTGGAAAAAGTTAACTATTAAGATTGTATTTTTAATTTAAGCAATATTTATAGAATTATTGCGAAGAACAATAAATTAGACTAGATTAAACACATAAATTTGCAATAAACTTAATTGTTCCAAATCCAAGAGACTTTTTCCTGGACATCCGGTATATTCGCGGTCCCGAAACATTTTTACCTAGCTTAATTAACTCCCCCTTGATTGATTGTTTTTCGATTTTAACTTTCAGAACCGCAATTAAATTAACTTCTACCCTTTCGTCCAGTCTTCGAAAAATATATTTAACAAAAGATGCAGGTTATCTGCGCCTTTAGGCGATCGTTATCGAGAAATTCCGTTCCCTCACACGTTTACGTTCGGTTAACTTTCCGCGCGTATGGCCTCCTGTTAGAAAATGTGTCCGAATCGATACGATAAATTCTGTTCCGAGCGCCCACAGAAGAAATTAATCTCCCGTGCGTAGGTAAGGGAGGGGCTACGCGGTTTTAAAAAACTCACCTTTTCTCCCCGTCCGTGTTAATATAACTCGACAAATAAAATCCCTCGGGATTCTTGTTTAACTTCGTATTAAATCGTATCCTTAAAGTATAATTGTGTTTCTTTTTGAACTTTTCGCGGATTTCTATATACAATTGACGCGCCCCTGAATATTCCAATACTTTGACTATAGTCAAATTGTGCCCTTTCCTATCCTGTATCATTTTGTCCATAATTGTTAAATTGTTGCTGTGCAAAACGATGAAATTCGTATCTTTATCGGCATGAAATTCGATCGAAACTTGTCCTGAAATAACAAACAACGTTAACATAAATGTTGCATAGATGACTTCGGTCCCACCCACCCCTAACTTCTAACGTGGTAAGATTCGGATGGATAGTTAAATTATATCTAGATGGTTTCAAAGTGGTCGGAAGACGGATGTTATTCCAAGGAAAGATTTCACCGTTCGCAGCGCGTGGTATAAAAGTTCTCGTCAAGTTGGTTTCTTCGTCCACGAAATTTGGAGGTTTCTCGCCAGCACACGTACAATCTGAAAACCGGAGAAATGTAAATGTCTCCCCCGATTAATTTACAGAGGGGTCGTTAAAGCGTGATTAACTTTTAATTAAACTCCGGACCAGTAATTGAATGTTTCCTATCAAACGGATTTTGAAGGTAAATCCGGAGCACAAAAGGCTCGGGAATATTAAGCAACTGCAGTTGCCAAGGTAATCCGCATCGAACGGAATGCTGCAAGTAACATAGAACTATACAAAGTTGGATATTTGGATTTGGATTAATCAATTAAATCACACAATACATGAAAATTTTTGAAACACGATGTTTAATTAACGATTGGTTGTATTTGTGGTCTGCCAATTAAACGCGTAATATGCTTGATGCATGCTACGTTAAGAGGTAGATAAACATTTACAATAAATACGTACGCCGCTGAACTGCGGGGAGAAATTGCGGTTGGATTGCAAATCGATAACTTGGCGGAATTTTATTATTATTATTATTATTCAATTGCAAATTTCCAACATATTTTACATTAAAAAAATAAAGCTTTCAGCCGGTGCAGTAAAATCTCGATTATCCGTGGAGTATGATGGAAATGATCAAGTTAAACTTACCGCTCTGTGGGCCAGTGAATGCGATAACGATAGCGATAGTAAACAGGAGAGCAAATACGATGGTAGCGATGCAAAGCGCTCTGTTGTGACTGCAGGCTGCGACTCCATTATTCTCGTAGAGGCTCTTCTTCTGCGGTTGACCGGTAGGACTTTCGGTTCCTACAACACCGCCTGTGTCACAGGGATTATGAATGAGTGGCGATGATTGACAAATGGAGTGAGTGATTTGAGCATGAATAATGGTACCTGTAAGAAACGCAACATCATCAACATCCTGATCGCTCATCACTCTGTGGTCTCGCCGCCAGACAACTGCCTCAATGTTGTGGTCTCCGGTAACAACTGAAACCTTAACTAGATGTTCGCGGTTTAGGCCCTCCACACTAGAAACGATTTTGGACGCACTTGGTTTAACCGGATATGCAGATGGGAGGACCGAAACTATATTCCCTATTTCGTTAATTAGGTATACTACATGCTAAATCTGATTGAATTTCCTTGGTCGGCGGCACTATTTGATATTTTCAGTTGTACTATACGTGATTATTTAATTTTGATTGCTAATTTGAGAGGTTCGGTGGACTAGAGATACGACGACGACGACCGTGTAACTGTGTATCTTTTTTCACCTCTCCTGCGATCGTCCTGCGCTCTTTCGCTGGGGTGTGCGCAATGCGTGCACCCCCAAGTTTCACGCGCGAAATTATCCCCGCGGCAGGGCGGGGGCGTGGCGGGGAGGAGGGCATGTTACTTTCATCACGTGCTTATCTAATCGAAATCTATGTACCTATAGACGGGAGAAGTGCATGCGAAAGGCTATATAACTGTCGTTGAAAAGAGGCAGAGTCTCACGGAAAGGAAAAGAAAACGCTATACCCACCTTGCGGTCTGATATTGCCATTTTGGGTTTGTTTAAATTTTCCAAGCGGCTCGAGACGGATGACGTCCTTCGACGGCCCGGTGTTCGATTGCATATTGGCTTAACCAGTCATAATCGTAATATACAGCCTACTCAGCAACTATTACTAGTCAGGATAATAACAATTGTTTCAATAATACATTACATTCGCCTACGTTTAAATACTACTAGCCCAAATACGGTATAAAAATAACGGCGGAACAAGGCATGCTGGAGCTCTACCTGTTGAAAATGGATTTCTTATGTCACTTTCAACACTTTGACACTATCTCGAACGATATAGTCCGCTATTTTCGCAGCCAGGTAGGTCTTCGAATTGAAGTGTTTTCGATTAATCTTAACAGAGTTTAACCGCTGGATGACGATCTCCGCCAAATAGTAGGGGTTGAACGTGACGAAATTAGTATTGATTTTCTATTTTACAAGGGTAGGAGCGAATGTAACCCTAGTTCGCGCCCGTCTATGCCGGCGCTTTCCCCCCATTCCCTTTGGCCAATGTTCGCGTATTACATTTGCCACGTGATCTTGTTATTATCGATCCGGTATACGCAGACGCTTGCGCAAAACCACCACCGCGATGAAAATTGACCTTAAAAAAATCGTCGGCTCGCTTCAACAAATACATAAGCGATCCCTTTTTTTTCAATAAATAACTTTGATTTTTAAAATAAATTTATTTACCAATTTTATTTACAAAACATAAATGGGATTAAAAACACGTACATCCGATTGGCTGAACAGTTTCGTTTCCATTGAATCAGGACTTCCAAAAAACCGCGCAATCGATAAGGAGATCTCGAAGCAAAATAACAAAAAAAAAAAAAGCAAAGTTGGGTAAACAGTGTTTATTATTATTGCAATTCCACCGCCTATAAAGGTGTTCGCTTATTTCGTTAGGTATTTATTTTTAGATTGGCGATTCTTAGGGGAATTTTTTGTTATAAATCATCAAGGGGATGTGCTACATTGACTGGTCGGCTTTTAACGGAAAAGGAAAACCAAAAGCGCATTGTAGACATTAATATTAAAGTTAAAAGAAAAATGAAAACCGCCAAATTTATACCAAAAATAAACAAAAATTAAAAAAAAAAAAACTACCGCAAGAATCTCCGCTATTTAAAAACATACCTAACATTCCACGTGGATAATAAAAAATAATCGGTCACTTAAGTTAGTCTGATTAAGTAGGGATTATGACACTAAAAGCGGAATAGTTTAAAAGAGTCCAGCAATTATTACACTTTGCCTAACAAACCATTGCCTATATAAGCTAACAATCCCAGCTAACTAACTATAATAATAGACATTCACAATATGAAATATTTATTTAAAACTCGTATCTAAATCATTTTCATGTAAGAGATAAACCACCATTAGAGTCACGCCGGCCAAACGATAACGACAAGGTCGCGTTTGATCTTCTGTTTCTATGTACAAAATGGCGACGGATCCCGATAACACCGAAATCCGGCTTCGACGCCCCCGATCGGAGGTGGTGTATCTTGCACAACCCTACATTTAGACGAGTTTCCCACGGCTTCCTACTTACACTATACAATGTACAAAAACCTACCTGCTGCTTATAAAAAAATATTAATTAATTAATTAGCCTAGTTTTTTAATGTATCGTAAGAGATTAATTTTATTCCAATCAAATAAAATCAAGTACGGTTTCTTATAGTAACAACACGGGGGCGTTTCGTGTTTTCATTACGCGCTCATCGAAAAATGATGATAAATCTAATTATACCGGGGGCTGTTGATGAATAATAAAAAAAAAAATGCAAGAGCAACCTACACCACGCAATCGAAAGTAATTTCCATCCGCGCCGCTCAATTATATCGTAATTATATTATATGTACAACTTTATGAAAAGGCATTTTCATCACCTGGTTTAGTTATAAAAAAATATATATTATATATTTTGCGTTACTGTACTACTAATCTAAATTGAACCAACAAGAAAAAAAGAGTAAATGCTTGCGCCAGCTTACACCGCGAACTCGATTTTCGCAGTAAATCCCGGAAAATCAAAGCACTCCCGTTTAGTCCTTTTGACTCTGGGACGGCTCTTTGCGTTCCGATTGGTTAGTCAACGCCGCGTTGGAACGCGGCACCATCAGAATCGAACCGTCCGCGGTTGTCTGAAGGCTGTACTGATAAGGGGAATAGTGGTTGCCATCGGGATCGCGTAAATTCTGAAAAAAAAAAACGATAAAAATATTCGCGCGATTCGAATTTTTTCTCCGACAAACTAACCTGGAATACGTGTCTATACAGTTGTTGGTACTTATCCTTCATCCGCTTCACTTCGTTCACGGCATATTCGTGATCGTTCATAAGTCTCATCTTCCTGTCCCTCATCTCCTTCACTTCGTCCGCCAGGCTGAGAATTTGGTCGAGCTTGCGTTTCCTGCAATTCTGGGCGGCCACTTTGTTCTTGCCTCGCCGTCTGATGTCCCGGATGAGGCTCAGCTGAGCCTCGCTCAAGTCGTACTTGGAAAGGCGCTCGTTAAACTCGTCCATGGGTAAATTAATAATGTCATCGACGGATATCGGTATGTTGAGCGCTCTGGCTCGTTTTTCGTCTCTTGTGAGGTGCTCCTCTTCCGATTTGCGAGCTTTCGACTTGTCCCGTGACACGGGCCTCTGCATCACGCCAGAATTCTCGGCCGGAAGATGGTAGCTGTGATTGTGTTGAATGTGATCGGCGGGAGATCGTGCCATGTGACTAAACTCTAACGAACACGAGTACTTCATCTCTGGCATTTTTGTCCTCGCAGCGCCGTCCGCTTGGCTCGGGCTATTGTAAGAAGTGCTACCGGTGTCCCTATATTCGTATTTAATCGGCGTATGGGGATGCGGAACGGTGCCGTTGGCGCCCTGATCCTGAAAATACCTTTTGCCGTACATCTGGTGCTTTTTCTGAGCTACGGGAGGCATGCGAGCGTTTTCTGCCAACTGACGATTTGAATAGCTGTAATCGAACGGCCTGTACTTGTTCTGGTAGTCCGTTATGTAATGTTCCCCGCTGGTGTGGCCCGAATCTGAGCCGGCGTCGCACCACTCCCCGTCGGAGAGCGAGGGTACCCTCTCGGAACCCATCGAGCTAACGGCACTATCGCTGGACGTGTCCAACCGTTCCATATCCGTTCTGGATACGCCGGGTGTCCCGGTAGTGCCGTTCATGCTCAGATTGCTCACGACATTGTTGCTCTCCAGCATACGCATCGTGTACATGCCTGAAACGAACACAAACACAATTTCTTGGTGGTATTATGAATTTTCGAAAAATTAGGAGACTCGATGAAAAACGCAACTCATCACGCGACGACAAAGGAACGTGGAGTGCCACATTTAAATGACACACGACAGGGTTATTTGTCTCCGTAAAAACGACTTACCATGTGTAAACGCATAGTCGCCGATAGCAGAGCAACATCTAGTGTACACGGTATCACGAATACAAAGGTTCATGTTTCAAAACATAGATTAATTACAATTGAAATGAATTGGCAAAAAACAACGGCCAGGTATTCACTTTATTTAAGCGAAAGGCTCGTATGGTCAAATAAATAATGCTTTTTGTCATAAATTTTATCTCAACTCATACACGTCGAGATATCTAACCTAGCTCTTCATATCGTTATCTGAATTTAAAAAAATTTTAATTGTATCACACGGGATTATCGTTAAAAAGTTCTAGCGAAAACTATACCGCGCGCGGGGTTTCTTGTCGTCACTATATGTTTTGACAAATCTCACGTCAAAATGGCACCCCGATAACCTTTCGCCGTCTCTAGCTGGATTAAAAAAAATATAAAACAATCTTTCATTTATCAGCCGTATCATCAACGAACATACTTAATGACGCAATCGTGTGATACGTCGCTGTTGCAGCTTCCTACGTCGATGACGCCGCGTGTACAGGGTGTATCATCGAAGGAATGCGTTTTTTAAGTCAAGTTTGAATTGTTTTTCTTCTCTCTGCCGAGCAATTTGGACTACGTATTTACGAGGGAGGGTTCGCGAGAAATTGTTGACTTATCTATGGCGTTAAATCATCGACGTTAAAAAAAAATCCCGTGGATTCCCAATTCCGGTTCGAATTCGGTCAACAAGATATGCCCAAATGCCGCAACTTACGTTGAACGATGGCTGCACGTTAATCCAAACAGAGAAATCTGCGAGCATAAAAATAAGTGATCAACGACACTACGCCTGCGACGAAGTAAGAAGTATCCGCACCGTAGTATTCATAAGTTCACGTTCTAGTACTCCCGTTTTAATTCCAGCTACCACTCATTCACTTTTCAACAACGCAAAACGCACGGTATAAAATTAAAAGCGTTATCTAAAATGGCGCCACCTGTTAGTTAAATTCGACACAATATATAATAGGTACATAAAACGTTTCGGTGGATTTTAAAAATAACCACAGCTATTTATTATTTTTATCTAGACTTAACAGCACCGTGCCAATGACTAGGCGAATTTCACTTATTTGTTAAAAGTATTTCGGTAGTAGGTAAGTTCAGACGTCTGTTCTGAATTACGGTTAAAAAATCAAATCGTTTGATATATCCATTTTAGACACCGTTGTTACATCAGTGTATATGAATATAGTGTTCTCGCTGCTTTATCGATACTTTTCAGTTGATAATGCAGTAACAGTTTTTCGTACAGTTTATACTGTACGAAAAACAGGGACAAGTTAAAATAATTAAAAACTGTTTAATTTTCATTCATTAAAAACGTGTTCAGTCTAACAATAAGAGAAAATAAAACAATTCCCATTTCCTTTACATTTTTGTTATACAGGATGTACCAAAAAAGGAAAAAAGTTTATATAAACGTTGATCTGGCAGGGCTTAGTTAAAAGAAACTACCTTTTAACAGTACACTCGATATTGTTTAATCCATTTTGTTGAAATTTGACGTCATTTACCATGATAAAGAGTTAATTTTCGTTCGATTGGAATTGTGAAGTCCAGTGCCGTCGCAGTAGTGTTGTCAAAGAAATAAATTTAATAACGTTTTTGTTGTTTTCGTATTTTTGCCTCGTTTCCGGGCGAAAATATAAAAATACTTTGTTATGAATTGATTAAATTATTTTTTCAATATTTACATTTCTAAAAAAGAATTATCCACATGAACACTGGAATTTTTCACCTCGTTTTGGTTAGTTTAATAATTTCATCCAATAAAAAGAATCCACACTTTTGATTGGCCGCGAATATATCGCTGCTTAATACGGATAGAACAATCTAATAATGAGGAGGAGTTTGACATCATTCATTGTTACGATTTAGAACGGAATATTCACCAGTTCGTCAATAGCAATTAAAAATTACAAATTACCTTCATTCATTGCCATGTCCATTAGCTGCAAATCCTCGTCGTTGAGGATCGAAGAAAGAAACCCGTCGGTCTGGTTTGAGCCGAATTCTGAGGTATTATTCTGAATTTGCAAAAAAGTAAAATTAGTGCTGCAATTCGTCGCGTAGATTTCAAGCTCAAGTCCAAGCGGCATTCGATTTTTTGTGAAATAAGTAATTTAAAAAATTAAATATGGATAGCGTAAATGTTAACCAAAATTCGTTAACCATGGGGATGACTATCGTCAAGGATAACTATGGTCATGGTCAAATTGGATGCGTAATAGATGTGCGAAGCCGTAATCACCCAGCGACGAATTTCAATTGATGAAATTAAGATTGGCGTACACGCAAACAACAAATAACGCAAGTTCAAACGAACGAAAGATAGTTGCATTTTGATAAGAAAATTAACTTTGCATTGTCTGAAAAATTTGTATATCGTTATGGTCTATTGTTCAGTACGGGAAAACAAAACAACTCCAGACGCAATAACACTTTAGGAATGTTCAATTATACGCCGTAATCATCGTAGTTTTTATAGCGTAAATAATACTTGTGCATTCTTGGAAAGAACTACAACATTAAATAACCAATTAATATGAAAAATGCCCTTTGCACGTACCGGATAATACATCATTTCGTTGGATGGTTCCAATTTATAATGGGGTGCGCTGCTCGATTCACCCATGGGCTCGCTACTGTTGGTCAGATTCATCGAAGTAGCTACCGCGTTCCCGATCGTACCTCCTATAGCACCGTAAAAATCATTAAAATTTGGCGAAAAAAAAATGGCGAATCCCATTACCTAAATTACCATATGGGACCGTGGAATTGAGATCCCCCATGGGCGGTGTAAGGGTCGCGTTGTGAAGGAGTACGCCCCTGGCGTCGGGACCGTAAGCAGCTGCGGCCGCCGCCGCTGCGTGCGCGTGCTGATGGCTATAGTTGTGAAGGGCGTGGTGTGGCCCAAAGGGGTGGTGCAACCCCGCAGCGCCGTCCCCGGGGCTGGGGAGGCTAAGCAAGTTCGCCAGATCCTGCCAGCGCTGTTCCATGCTCACCGTGCGTACGAACGGCATACGACTCTGAAAAATACGATTACTTATGAATTTAACGATTTTCTGTTATTATTTTAAATCGTTAAATCGTTTTAACACTTCGCGCTTTTTTCTTTTAAAAAAATATAGCGTTCACCATATTATATTATAGCTAAAATACATTTAGAAGTTCTATGTAAATAATAGGATACACCGCTAGTTTCAAAACCTTCCTTTTAGATTGTATTAAAACGACAATACAAAATGCTAAATTCAGACTAAACTAAAGAAGATATTTGGTCAATTACTCTCGTATGTTTTTATACAGGCTTTTTAAATTGTAGGAAAAAACATTTGAAATAGAAACCGTAATTTTTTATAACTATTTTTAATGGGTCAAGTACAGTTTAACTTACCCATGCTTGTCAAATTTCAAAGTTTTATTACTTGTTATTTAAAAGATATTTCACAAACATTGTTCAATGCAAAAAATGAAGAAACGTAATGTAACTCTACTCAAAAGGTATTGATTTATCATGTTTATAAAAACAAGTAAGAAATGTAGCGAATTAGCTGTATATTTAAACGTTTTGTTGACAAAAGTCTATTTATATTATTTTTTGTTTATTTATTATTTATAGTCTAGTCTAGTTATAGAAGATTAGAAAATAGTCGATAACGTCATATCTCAATTTTGTCTAAAACAATAAATGCTGTTTTTTATTATTATTATTATTGTATTAAAAAGGGTACAATTTAAAATACTAATCGATGTAATCAACTAGACACAGTCGGTGACATTTCCCTACATAGAAATCCTTTTTCATCTTTTATTATCACTAGGTATTTGGGCACAAATGTAGAAATCAATCACATCAGCAGAATTTAATTTAACAAAATAAATAACAACTAAAGGTTCAGATTTTCACGAAATTACACCGTGTCTTTATCAAATGTGATGTGTCTGACAAAGACACGGCGTTGTCGAAACAATTGCCACGTCAAAATATATAATTTCGTGAAAATCTGAACTTTTACTTCTTAATTATTTTGACAAATGGATTTTCATCAAGTAAAAGCCACCTCAGTTAATTTGCTTAATTTGTCAAAAGAAAACAATTGCGATTTTAAACAATGATCCCTGAGATTCCCGCCATTATACCGATATTATTATATATTATTAGTATATATTAGTTTTGGTCGTTTCGGTTTTAGGAAAATCATTTTTTGTTTACTTTTTAAAAAATATATAAAATATTAATTTATTTATTGTAAATTTTAAATACAAAAAACTGCAACATATATATTTTCGAGAGCATTTCCCGCTTTCGCCTCAAACCGGTACCCGAGAAATACTTTTTTTTTTAAAACAATTTTATCCTATCAATAATATGAATGCGGTATTTATAGAAACGGCAAAAAAAAATATTTATGTAGCCCACACGAGGTGTTCCGTGGACCGTTGCGTGGGAACATTGTTCCTTAAAATTCACGCTGCGACAAAAGTCACTTGTCTTTTCACCTGTCAGTCGAAGTGTTCTTGAGATCGGGATAAAAGTAATCAAAAGAACATGATGTGACTCCAAAACGTGCTACAATACAGGGTGTTTATTAATAAGTCTCTGATAAGTCGCACAGTGAATCTTTAAGAATTTTTAAGAAAAAAATCATGCACAAACTAAAGACCCAAAAGAGGGGTCAAATTTTGTTAATTATACTAATAAGTTTGAATGTCCAATATAAGTTGTCGGCAAGACGCTTAGTACGGAAAAAGCCTTGAACTGAGATGGCTTTTTACTTGATGAAAATCCATTTATCAAAATAAATAAGAACTAAAAGTTCAGATTTTCACGAAATTATATATTTTTACATGACAATTGCTTCGACAACACCGTGTAATATTTACAAACTACCTGTTACTACATATACCGAAAAATGACCATAAAAATTTTAATTATTGTTGTTGCGAGAATTTAAGTTCAATAAAGGAGAGGTATTTAAATCTAACTGATCGTTAAGCAATACATTTGAATGTCTTATTTTGTTAATCTCCACGGCTTCCAATAAATTTAATTCACTACTTTTTGTGGCTGTATGTAAAATATCAAAATTGTCGTCAAAAAATGTGTTTTTCTGTGTTTAAATAGATTCTAATCATGCTACAGCACACTTGAACACAGAAAAACACAGTTTTTGACGACAATTTTGATATTTTACATACAGCCACAAAAAGTTGAAAATTAAATTCATTGGAAGCCATGGAGATTAACAAAATGAGACATTCAAATGTATTGCTTCACGATCAAGTAGATTTAAATAATTCTCCTTTATCGAACTTAAATTCTCACAACAACATTAATTATGGTTTTTTCCCCTTACAGTTACCCCAGATGGATTATTTGAAAAACATTTAGCACCTGATGCTTAAAAAATATGTGTAGTAAAAAGTAAATCTTTCGATAGAATTTTTTCTTTATTAAAAAACACTCTGTAGAAGAAAATCACTTAAGCACCGATGGTATTCAAAGCGAAGGTTACAGGTATTATTATCGCCAGATCTTCAACTTAATTAAAAGATAAGATAACATTGTCCGACGACGCGGATAAAATCAAATAAACAAATTCGTCCAATATATACCTTCATATGTATTCCAAGTTATTTATTCCCGTTACGGGATTCAACAACACGGAAATACGTTCTCGATTTAGTTGCGGGGGGGGGGGGGGGGGGGGATTAACGGGGACAAAAACGAATCCTTTTAACTTTCCTCGTTGTTGTCTCTTCAAATTAACTCCGGTGCGGTCGTGGGCCCTTTTGTTAAAAATTTTCCGTTTTTACACCTGCGGCGACGTTTCGGACAGGTAGACAACAATGAATTTTCGATAAAAGATGAATAATACCGATGATGGCACTTTACAGCCTAACACGATGATAATTTGACAAGAGGAACCCGCAACGCACAATGGAAGCCCAACTACCTAAGTCAGCCGCAACACATTTGTCATAATAAAATTTTACTCGGAAAATAATACGAGTAGTACCACCCCTTGAAACCGTTAAATTTTTATTGAATAAGAACGCGGCCCCGACAGACACTCTTCATTTATTTCATTTACTTCAATCGAAATTTCGACATAATTTTTCCTTTATAATACCCACATACGAATCCCGACCTATACAAAGATAACACCGTCAAAAAAAAGTGGTAAAATAGCCGTGGCAAATTAGCTAACAGGTGGTAATCAGCACTTTCAAGGGAAACAGCGCTCCCGACTTTTATTTATTCTAAAAACAACGATTTAACTGTACTTCCTGCGGAATGGGGTTTTTCGAACATGCAGCGAATCGTTGAAAAGTTAATTGGAAACGACGGCCTGTAACGAACGTCGTTCGTCAAGGATATACCTACGAAGACATTTTATAACCTGTGGATTTTTATAATACGACCACGTGTAATGAATGCCCACACAATAGTTCGATTTTGACGACTATGTACGTGAAATGAAAAACTTACTTGGAACGCAGCCGCCCTGTGGTGGGGGTGGTGGAATTGAGGCGTTTGAATCATTTCTGAGAACAAATCAAAATCGGACTCGCTCGTATTGGTATTATTATTACCATCCGCGGCAGATTTCTGAAGACGGTCTACGTGCTCGGTATTGTTCTGCAACAAAAATGCCCGTCGAGCATATGTGGGTTTAAGTCGACGTTACAAGCTTTACCTGTCCTTCAGTTGCATCATCGACCAACCGTAAAGCTTCATCAAGGAGGAATTCGGAAAACGCTGGAAAGGAGAGGTCCTCTAAGTCACAGGATGAGTTAGAGTCCGCCCCGGCTTCGCCTTTTATCACATACTCTCCTGGAGAAATAAAAATAAAACACTTTTCAATAAAGGCGCAGTTAGAAAGATATATATCGACTATTTAGCCAGTATTAAAAGACACGTAACAACTTGGAATGCGAAAGTATCAAATTGGCACTGCGGAAAATAACCTGTCAATTATGTAGCATAAACACTAATCAACACATTTTAATCTTATAAATAATTACCAACATTAAAGAACATTATTAATTTGAATTCCTATTAGATCGTTTTATCTGACGATAATTTATCAACGGTGCAGATATTTTGAAAGTAATCACATCGGAAGAATTTGAATTACAGCTTAACTAGGCTAAACTAAACCCTAGCAATAATAATAGATGTTAAACGTTCCCGCTTTTAGATTGTCTTTTAAGCTTAATAGAGCAAATTAATTTTATTTTAAGCTATAAATAAAGGTCTTGTAAAACTGGAGACGTGGATTTTCGACGGCCTCAAAGTCCAAAAAAAAAAAATCAACTTTCAAGTACCGATATTATCCGCGAAAGCACTTCACCCACAAAGAATATTTGGATGCCCAAAATACCTTTATCATCCAAATATATCTTTTCGACGTTTTTGCGCGTCGTTTATTCGTTAAATAATTACCCCCACCTTTTACCTTGGAAAACAACGTGATTTGCAATATCGTCTGCATTTTAACAAACTCATAAAATTTTAATTTGGCATTTACTTATTAAAGTTTTGCTCAGAATTTGCACCGAAAAAAAAAAATGAGTGAATAATCTGCAACTAATAGATACCTAAATTACATTCAGATAAAATCGGAACCCCAGGCAGAAGATCGGACGATGGTTACGGTCCATTATTTTGTTGTGATTTTAACGAACGAACGATTTATTATAATTCTATTTTAGGCAAGTAAATCAAAGCCAAAAATTTCCCTTCAACGCACCAATAAGCGCACCGTTCACTTAACATTATTTTCACGCTGGTTTCACTTACAAAGTCATCCCGATCATTTCTCCTCCGAATAAACCACTTGAACCACCGAAAAGCGAAAATGTCCACTTGCAATCCTGGAAAATGGCACTACCGCGACACTGACTAGTATAGCTTATATATAAATATATATATATATATATATATATATATATATATATATATACACCGATTCTTCCTCAAAACGAGTTGATTAAGTAGCACCGGAAAATAATTGACAAATAACCGAACGAAAAGTGACCAAAACAAACCGCGAACAATAGAAAGCGAAAAAATATCCGACGAAACCTCAACATAATGACGATCTGATGATGGATGCGGCGTTACTAAAGGCCTACCTGAATGGCTCCCTTACCTCTCCACGCCCGTTGAAATTGACTGCATTCTCATTGGTCGACCCCCGAAATTGTAACACCGAAAAATGTTATGGGATTTTATTTCTCCACCCTGCGTGTTACTATTATTTTAACACGACAATGGCCGACAATGCGGGTAGGGTATACAGGTCAACATGGTTTGTTTGAAAAAAACTCTTTAACGCCCATACGAACGCTTAAATTTCTATCTGATATTCGCGGTAATGTTGTTTTTTTTTTATCCACGGCTTTCGTTTTCAATAGTATTAATATAAATCTTTCACCTCTTTTAAAAATGACTAGACAAATTTTCTGCTGACCAAGGATGACAATGTTGAAGAAATTTCAATTTTATTTTGGCACTACGCATAATAGTGAAACGACAGGTGCGGAATGGAATATATTATTGTTATTATTAAGCTACCCGCATTTAAATTATATATCTTTGTTCTTGTTTTTTATTCTATCGTCAAACTTTAACCTAAATCTTAACCTTAAAGATATATGGCAAATTTTCATTCACATTCACCAAATAACAGAATATTTAAACAATATTAAAATATACACTAGTTCCTCGGATTATATAATAGTTACAAAAGAATTGACCGAACATAACACTCAATGGAAGATAGATATAAAGAGCATGAAGAATTTTTTAATTCTGCTTCATCACTATGTTTCAGCATTATTTTGTTTCGGAAGATCCTTCCAAAACATGTTACGAATTATGCAACTTATGTAAGAATTACAACTTCCACAGGCTACTGTAATGCTTTTTACAAAACTTCTGGATTCCTCCTGCGTCGGTTTTTGCTCAGTCGAAATTGCTGACGTTTCGCCAATCATCCTGTCGGCTTCTTTCGAGTTCCAGTTTCAGTCAAGCTCTGAAGAAGCCAACAGGATGGTTGGCGAAACGTCAGCGATTTCGACTAAGCAAAAACCGACGCAGGAGCAATCCAGAAGTTTCGTAAAAAGCAAGAATTACAACTGGCAATAATTGTTAAAAAATACAGATAAAAAAATAGAAACCTCCAGTTATTCCAGACCATTTGAAATTTTTCTGTATTTATAAATACCTATAATTTTTACATTTAACCTGGAAAGTATTTATTTTCTGAAAATATATTAATTTTTTCAATAGACTGTCAATTAATACAGAAAGGAAATTGTTTCTAACAGCGGATATTTTTAGTCTGGTACCTTAAGAAATTAATTAAATTAAACCAATCATATTTCAAATCACGCAAACAAAATTATAATTCTTCTGAAATAAAAAGCAAAAAAAAAATTAAAAAGAAATAAAATTCCAAAATATGTAATCAAATTCATATCTACGTAATTTCAGTTTTATTAACTCTAATTATAATTTAATTTTCTCAGTTTTTTACCTACCTATGCCATGTTAGTACGCTGTATGTAATCTTTATTACGATTATTATTATTATTATCAAATTGCAAAATTATGATTCAATAATTTATGAAAAAAATATATAGCTACTCTAGTAGGCATAAGTAATTTTCTATGAGCAGGATGGGTATATGGAAATCGGTAAGACTTTCCCTTCCCCTTCATTTTGTACGACTTCGAGAGTAATTGAGAAAGCACCGACAATTCTTACACGAATGTATTTAAATAATTAAGAACGGCAAATCTTTGGTATCCCTAGTAATTGTAATTCAAAACTATAGATACTACAAAAAAATTAATGAAAATCATTTTCTAATATTCAATTTTTGAAAATATGACACATACAGTACCGAAAACAGTAGGTACATTTTGAAGGTAAATTGCTATGAGATTCTAAGAGTACCACAAAATGCGATGATTAAAAATATTTTTAAAAATTGATATTTGCAGTGTTAGTATATTGTTTACCATGAGTACATGTATTCATAAACATTCTTCCATATAACCAAACAAAACTAACCATAACTATCAAACACGAGCTAATATTCACAGAAATGTTATCTAGTTCATCAGCAGACAATAATTTACTTGGTTTCAAAATTTTATAACTCGCTTCTTATATATGTAAAGAAAATTAAAGTAACTAAGATATTTTCTAGAGAAGCCAAAAACGATATTTTGGATAACTCTCCCCTGTTTGCCCGGTATAATTATCTTTTTTAGTTTAATTCAAATTGATCACTGGATAAATTAATTTTGGGATTGACACATACAGGATTTTTAAACCTAGGTGTCTAGGTCAAATAGATATTGTAATTTTGTGAGTTACGTTTATGCATTGAAATTATTATCTAGCTGTTAATTGGCAGACAATAATTTACTTGGTTTCAAAATTTTATAACTCGCTTCTTATATATGTAAAGAAAATTAAAGTAACTAAGATATTTTCTAGAGAAGCCAAAAACTATATTTTTAAACCTAGGTCAAATAGATATTGTAATTTTGTGAGTTACGTTTATGCATTGAAATTATTATCTAGCTGTTAATTGGCAGACAATAATTTACTTGGTTTCAAAATTTTATAACTCGCTTCTTATATATGTAAAGAAAATTAAAGTAACTAAGATATTTTCTAGAGAAGCCAAAAACGATATTTTGGATAACGGTCCCCTGTTTGCCCGGTATAATTATCTTTTTTAGTTTAATTCAAATTGATCACTTGATAAATTAATTTTGGGATTGACACATACAGGATTTTTAAACCTAGGTGTCTAGGTCAAATAGATATTGTAATTTTGTGAGTTACGTTTATGCATTGAAATTATTATCTAGCTGTTAATTGGCAGACAATAATTTACTTGGTTTCAAAATTTTATAACTCGCTTCTTATATAGGTAAAGAAAATTAAAGTAACTAAGATATTTTCTAGAGAAGCCAAAAACTATATTTTTAAACCTAGGTCAAATAGATATTGTAATTTTGTGAGTTACGTTTATGCATTGAAATTATTATCTAGCTGTTAATTGGCAGACAATAATTTACTTGGTTTCAAAATTTTATAACTCGCTTCTTATATATGTAAAGAAAATTAAAGTAACTAAGATATTTTCTAGAGAAGCCAAAAACGATATTTTGGATAACGGTCCCCTGTTTGCCCGGTATAATTATCTTTTTTAGTTTAATTCAAATTGATCACTTGATAAATTAATTTTGGGATTGACACATACAGGATTTTTAAACCTAGGTGTCTAGGTCAAATAGATATTGTAATTTTGTGAGTTACGTTTATGCATTGAAATTATTATCTAGCTGTTAATTGGCAGACAATAATTTACTTGGTTTCAAAATTTTATAACTCGCTTCTTATATATGTAAAGAAAATTAAAGTAACTAAGATATTTTCTAGAGAAGCCAAAAACGATATTTTGGATAACTCTCCCCTGTTTGCCCGGTATAATTATCTTTTTTAGTTTAATTCAAATTGATCACTGGATAAATTAATTTTGGGATTGACACATACAGGATTTTTAAACCTAGGTGTCTAGGTCAAATAGATATTGTAATTTTGTGAGTTACGTTTATGCATTGAAATTATTATCTAGCTGTTAATTGGCAGACAATAATTTACTTGGTTTCAAAATTTTATAACTCGCTTCTTATATATGTAAAGAAAATTAAAGTAACTAAGATATTTTCTAGAGAAGCCAAAAACTATATTTTTAAACCTAGGTCAAATAGATATTGTAATTTTGTGAGTTACGTTTATGCAT